GGCACATGGCCCCTGGTACCTCCTACACCAGCCTCCAGGAGGGCACATGGCCCCTGGTACCTCCTACACCAGCCTCCAGGAGGCCACATGGCTCCTGGTACCTCCTGCACCAGCCTCCAGGAGGCCACATGGCCTCTGGTACCTCCTACACCAGCCTCCAGGAGGTCACATGGCCCCTGGTACCTCCTGCACTGACCTCCAGGAGGCCACATGGCCCCTGGTACCTCCTGCACCAGCCTCCAGGAGGTCACATGGCCCCTGGTACCTCCTGCACTGACCTCCAGGAGGCCACATGGCCCCTGGTACCTCCTGCACCAGCCTCCAGGAGGCCACATGGCCCCTGGTACCTCCTACACCAGCCTTCAGGAGGGTACATGGTCCCTGGTACCTCCTACACCAGCCTCCAGGAGGGCACATGGCCCCTGGTACCTCCTACACCAGCCTCCAGGAGGCCACATGGCCCCTGGTACCTCCTACACCAGCCTCCAGGAGGCCACATGGCCCCTGGTACCTCCTGCACCAGCCTCCAGGAGGCCACATGGCCCCTGGTACCTCCTGCACCAGCCTCCAGGAGGCCACATGGCCCCTGGTACCTCCTACACCAGCCTCCAGGAGGCCACATGGCCCCTGGTACCTCCTACACCAGCCTCCAGGAGGCCACATGGCCCCTGGTACCTCCTACACCAGCCTCCAGGAGGCCACATTGCCCCTGGTACCTCCTACACCAGCCTCCAGGAGGCCACATGGCCCCTGGTACCTCCTGCACCAGCCTCCAGGAGGCCACATGGCCCCTGGTACCTCCTACACCAGCCTCCAGGAGGCCACATGGCCCCTGGTACCTCCTGCACCAGCCTCCAGGAGGCCACATGGCCCCTGGTACCTCCTACACCAGCCTCCAGGAGGCCACATGGCCCCTGGTACCTCCTGCACCAGCCTCCAGGAGGCCACATGGCCCCTGGTACCTCCTGCACCAGCCTCCAGGAAGCCACATGGCCCCTTGGCGCATTACTCAAATAGCCATTCAATCACGCAGCTGGTCAGCCAGTCACTCAGCCAGCGAGCCTTTCAGCCAGTCTCCCAGCTCCTAGTCAGTCACTCGGCCAGCCACTCATGCAGCCACCCAGACGGCCATCCAGTCACTCAGCAAGCCAGCCAGCCAGTCAATCAGTCACTCAGCTAGCCAGCCAGTCACTCTGCTATCAAGCCAGTCAGTCAGTCATTCAGCCAGCCAGCCAGCCAGTCAATCAGTCACTCAGCTAGCCAGCCAGTCACTCTGCTATCAAGCCAGTCAGTCAGTCATGCAGCCAGCAGTCAGCCAGTCACTCATGCAGCCAGCAGTCAGCCAGTCACTCAGCTACCCAGCCAATCACTCAGCCAGCCAGCCAGCCAGGCAGCATTTCAGAGAGAGCACGTTTTACAAGCTTTACAAAATCAATTCGGAATACCGCTGTGTATCTACGCTCTTTCCAAAATTCTTCGGCCGTTATTTCAAGGGCCAGCTCTCCTCCTTGCCCGCCCTATCACACGCGGCCGAGGCGCGCGAGTTTGGCACCCAGTCGTCCTCCACCCAAGGTCCAAAATGCCTTATCTAGAGGCTGATGGAGGCAACTTCCGGCAGGAGCGAGGGGTGATGACGTCACTTCCGGCAGGCGGGCCCCAAACACAACGCGGCCATCCAGTTTTCCCGCGCTTTTCCGCATGAAACAAAGAGGCAGCGCCTAAGAGGTCTGATAACAAGGGTCTCACGCCGCACAGAAACATATAATTAAACGGAGCTCCACGTTAGTTTTATTTCCTCCAAACGTATTCCCTAGAACAAAAATACTGTTTGGTAGTCTTTCTCGACTATATTTAACATTCTTGGAGGAGTTGTAATAGTGGGTTATAAGAGTCTAAGCTACTGTAGCCTCTGGTGATGTATTGTGTTGTCTGGATAAACTTGCTTGAGCGGTGACTGGGAGCGCTGGTGGAGGGTTAAGTCTTGCACTTGAGCGCAGGTATTGCCAGTCCTCTCACACGTCGCGTTAGTTACGGAACCGACCAAGTAGATTATAATGCGGCGTAGTGTGGAATATTACAGCACCGTAATATTGACGCAGTGAATGTATCCCAGTACGTTAGGTGGGTTGCTTAGGTTTGTACGTGTCTGATTAGGCAAAACGGTTGATTTTCTACAGTGTGGCAGAGAGGAGGGCTGTGTCACGCTGTGTCACGCTGTGTCACGCTGCGTAAGGGACGTCTTGGGCTGCACGGAACCACAGCCTGAATGTGGCCCCCAAACGCCTCCGTCAGGCCTCAATATCATTGTCACTTCCTACTTTACCATAGATCTTAGTGAAGGAACTTTGCTACAGTTCCGTAACGCGTGAATGACGGTGAAGGAAGGACCCAATATATGTATAAGTGTATTGAACCTAAGTTTTCGGCGGCAGCTTCCGACCTGCCTCAAGGTGCGGTAAAGACAGGGTCCACACCACCTTCAGGAAGCATGGAGCGTGTACGGGAACAGTTGGGTTTTAACACACACGTATATTGGGTCTCTCCTTCATAGATCTTTGTCTCACCTGCAAAGTTGATCATTTTGTTTGCGATATTCTCATACATGTTTTTGATGTGTATGACAATAAGGGATGACCCCAACATGGTCCCCCAAGATGGCTCCCAAGATGGCCCCCAAGGTGGCCCCAACATGGCCCCAACATGGCCCCCTAGCGGCACACGACACAACACTTTCCTCCGGTCAGATACATTTCCCCTAAGGACGACTCTCCGTTTTCTTTGTTTTAACCTTAGCGTGATCTCATCCAGTACTCAACCGCTTGTCCCTCGCCTCCCACAACACGCTCACATGTCATCCCAACTTGTAAAATACTGAACAAGTTGGAGGATATTAATCCGGATCACATGTTCAAGGGGCATACAACCGCATACAGGGCATAGAGGAGCATACAGGGCATAGAGGAGCATACAGGACATACAAGAGCATACAGGACATACAAGAGCATACAGGACATACAAGAGCATACAGGGCATAGAGGAGCATACACGGCATACAAGAGCATACAGAGAATACAGGACATACAAGAACATACAGGGCATACAATAGCATACAGAGCATACAGGAGCATACAGGGCATACAAGAGCATACAGAGCATACAGGAGCATACAGAGCATACAGGGCATACAGGAACATAAAGGAGCATACAGGGCATACAAGAGCATACAGGTGCATACAGGGCATACTAGAGCGTGCAGGACATACAAGAGCTTACACGGCATGCAAAAGCATACAGAGCATACAAGAGCATACAGGGAATACAAGAGCGTGCAGAGCATACAAGTGTATACAGGGCATACTAGAGCATGCAGCGCATACAAAAGCATACAGAACTTACAAGAGCATACAAGGCCTACAAGCATAAAGCATACAAGAGTATATAGGGCATACAAGAGCATACACGAATGTACAGGGGCATACAAGAGCGTACAAGACATGCAATAGCATACAGGACCATACGGAGCATATAATAACATTCAGGGCATACAAGCAGATACAGGGCATACAAGAGGCAAGAGCTTCAAGCTCTACAAGACACAGTGGAGGGAGAAGACAAGCGCTGGCCGCCCCCACAAATACCAAGACATTACTGCAAGTTCAGAATTCCGGCTGGAAAGATTCCTTAGGAACAATGGGGGGGGGGACCTCTGACAAAGAGCTGGCTTCCTGTCCCCGTCGAGGCCACTAGAGAGGTCGGCTCTCAGGTAAATTGCAGTAGAGAAGGAGTTTAGAAGAGAAGTGTATATGTGCGTGCAGCATAGCGCTCTCACTAGACCGTCTGACACTGTAATTGTCAAGACTAGGCTGGAGTATCATTAAATTCAAATTGAATTTGAAAATCAAATTCAATACGCATGGGAGGTGGGTGAAGACTCCCTAGCGGTGAGCAACTAACTGTACACGGTGTCAACACACGCCATACTCTTCCCCAACACCATGTAATATGGTGATGAACGACATGTTATTAATGATTTTAGACCAAATGGCGGGAGATGCCTCCAGTTATTCCCTGTTGCATTCACTCATGGAGATCTCAAGAGTGAAGGAACCTTACGCGAGCCTGTACCAGCAACTCCTATTATTATTATTATTATTATTATTATTATTATTATTATTATTATTATTATTATTATTATTATTATTATTGTTATTATTATTGTTATTATTATTATTATTATTATTATTATTATTATTATTATTAATTAGTATTATCAATTAGTATTATCAATTAGTATTATTATATTAGAAGAAATTATCATAGTCTACCCAAATTTCGCTGGTACAGGCTAGCAGACTAGATTCAAATCATGCAGGTCAAGCAAGCAAACTCACCCCTCATATCGTTTATGATTAGGAATATTAAATTCACTTATAACTAGTGAAATAATGGCGCTCAGGAAAATACAGCGATAAAATATTTCAAAATTTGTGCATTCTCCACAGAAAATGGGTAAGTCAGAAAACGCGGCCGAGGTGCTGCCATCTGTTGAGGGTGAGTGGAGTGAGGAGCCGCGCCGGGGCTGCCAGCTGTGACAATACACTAAAGCTTTCCTGTCTTACTCTTCAGAGTAGTTGAGTACTTATGTTTTTAGTGAGAAGGTGGACAATAAGACGAAACGAGGCGGTTACAAGGGTGCTCTCGGGTCGTGTACAAGTTCCAGTCCCGTGATGCTTCATGTTGGGGCTCACGAGAGCTTAAGAACCGTCATAATAACTTCATTTTATGAGTAATTTTGAGCTACTGTTTGTGTTTCAGTGTTGCGCGTTGTGGGGGGACTGGCCGGTGTCTAAGAGAGCGCAGCGCTTTATTGGAATGGTTAGATTTCTTTGGGGGCACTGTCGTGTGTAGTTGCCATATGGGGCACTGTCATGTGTAGTTGCCATATGGGGCACTGTCATGTGTAGTTGCCATATGGGGCACTCGTGTGTAGTTGCCATATGGGGCACTGTCATGTGTAGTTGCCATATGGGGCACTCGTGTGTAGTTGCCATATGGGGGTACTGTCATGTGTAGTTGCCATATGGAGCACTGTCATGTGTAGTTGCCATATGGAGCACTGTCGTGTGTAGTTGCCATATGGAGCACTGTCATGTGTAGTTGCCATATGGGGCACTCGTGTGTAGTTGCCATATGGGGGTACTGTCATGTGTAGTTGCCATATGGAGCACTGTCATGTGTAGTTGCCATATGGGGCACTGTCATGTGTAGTTGCCATATGGGGCACTCGTGTGTAGTTGCCATATGGGGGTACTGTCATGTGTAGTTGCCATATGGAGCACTGTCATGTGTAGTTGCCATATGGGGCACTGTCATGTGTAGTTACCATATGGGGCACTGTCATGTGTAGTTGCCATATGGAGCACTGTCATGTGTAGTTGCCATATGGGGGCACTCGTGTGTAGTTGCCATAAGGGGGTACTGTCATGTGTAGTTGCCATATGGGGCACTGTCATGTGTAGTTGCCATATCAGACACTGACATATGTAGTTGCCATATGGGGCACTCGTATGTAGTTACCATATTGGACACCATCATGTATACTTGCCATATTGGGCACTGACATGTATACTTGCCGTATTGGGCACCGTCGTATGTACTTGCCGTATTGGGCACCGTCGTATTTGTATGAACAAGAGTTGTTTCATTCTTGAAAAGCCACCAGCACTCAGTGTTTTGGGCAGGTCCTTAATCCTAATTTTCCAAGGAATACGACCCGCCAAATCGTTTAACACATTCACTACTGGGTGAACAGTGGTTAAAGATTGGCGCCCAGTCAATCCTCCCCGGCCAGGAGACGAACTCAGGACATAGCACTCGCGAAGGGCTGGGTGAGGACACTGTGCCATTTTATGAGTATATATATATATGGGGCTATACCCATAAAATGTGACCAAATCAGGAAAAGCATCGACAACCTAGAGGACTCAAAAGTCCTAGGTGTGGATGGAATTCAATCCAAAGTTTTAAAGGAACTGGCAGATGAACTATGCCTACCACTGAAACAACTTTTCAGAAAATCTGCATAAATCTCTAGTGTGACCCCACTTGGATTATTGTATTCAAGCATTTAGACCTCTGTCTTCAGAAAGACATAGCTGCTTTGGAGAAAGTACAACTCCGGGCCACAAGGGCCACAAGACAAACACTGCAAACCAGACATGATAGAACTGATCCCATTGAAACGTTCAAAATATTGTGCTGAACAATTTGGAGGATGTTGATCTGGACAACTTATTCAAAAGGTCATTTGTAACCCTAACAAGGAGTAATGGTTTCCAGCTCAAGTCAGTGTTGGACTGAAAATAGATGCTTTTACACCCACAGGGTTATAAACGTATAGAACCACTTGCCCGCCAAAGCTGTAAATGCCAAAACTCTGAACTTTAACATCTAGCTGGAAAAATTCATTACAACAAATGGGGGGGGGGGGATCTTTGACAAGCCACTGGCTTTCTGTCGTCGTTGAGGTTACTAGTGTTAGTGGCCCTTGGGTAAATTCAATTAAATATGGGGTGGTGTGATAGGCCATATCATGTCAGGTGCTGTGATACATGGCTTATCACCTGGAGTGCTGCATTATATGGCTAGTCACCAAGGCTGTTTTCTTCTACAATCTGCTGCAAGGTAATAGTTAATTTGGAAGCTGTGACGTGGACTGTTATGTCCCACAAGCAAGGTCTTGTATTTTTCACTGTCAACAAGCATTTGCCAATCTTCTGACCATTTGTAGAGTTCATATAGATCTCTTTGTAAGGCCTCAATATAATTTTCACTTCCTGCTTTACCATAAATCTTAGTGTCATGTGCAAATTTGATGTGGTGTATAATATTCTCATCTGTCATAGATGTACTGTATATAACAAAAAGGGTTGGCCCCCAGAATGGATCCTTGTGGTACCCAACTCACCACTTTTTGCCAGTCAGATTCATTTCTGTTTAACACTATCATTTGCTTTCTTTGTTTTAAATGTTATTCATCCATTATAATATTCTATTATTTATTCCACGTGCTTGTAATTTCCTTGCTAGTCTTTCATTTGGTACCTTATCAAAAGCTTTATAAAGTCTGTTATAATACATCTACTGGAAGTCCTTTGTCTGAATAGCTGGTTGCCGTTTCCAAAAATGTGAACAGGCCTGCAAGGCAGGATCCGTTTTTAACAAACCCATGTTGCATTGATTTTTCTACATTGTTCACTGAGAGATGGGGAATGATTCCTTTGCTTAGGATAATCTCCATGAGCTTACAGATGTGTGAGGTCAAGCTGTCTGGACGGTAGTTTTCAGCTGAGCTCTTTCTGCATTTTTTTTTTTAATATGGGTGACATTTGCATATTTTCAATCTAGGGAAACTATCCCTTGGTCCAGAGATCTTTTTGAAAAAGTTTGTAGTAGGCATAGTTTATCTGTCGGTTCCTTTATGACTTTGGATTGAATTCCATCCACACCTGGAGTTTTGGGTTTTTTTAGTTTGTCAATTATGGTCATGATTGTTGCATGATGTGGGTATGTGCCTTAATTTGTTCTCTTCACCTCTTTCAAATACCAGTACGTACAGTATTTGTGTGGGTAATAGGATGTCTAATCTCTCTTAGTGTGAACACTGATATAAAGTATTCAGAGTATTTGCTGTCAATTACTAAGTACTTTTAGTACTTTAAAGTACTAAGTACTTTTTTATTTTAATTCTGATACAGGCATGAGAAGTATGCCTGTATAAGAAGCTGTATAAGATGATTCAATATTCACCATTTACCTATACCAGTTGTGATTCAGAAGTCATCTTTATGGCATGCCATTGTTAAGGACAGGGGAGCCTACTAGGCTTACTGAAGTTCCCCATTGATCCAGAGGAAGGCTGTCAACTTGGTCACTAATCCCGTTAATGATGCAACGTAGTAATGTTTAACATGACTATGCATGATTAGTGGCATTATAAAAGTAGAAGAGCCTAATATGCATACAAATTATACTGTAATCTTGTATTCTTAATAAAACTATTTTGATTATTATTGTAATTATTACTTTATTGTTGTCTTAATTCTCCTCTCTAACTCCTTATTACCATATTCCTTATATAATAATAATAATAATAATAATAATAATTTTATTTACAAGAAGGTACAATGGGTTTGAGAGATTACATTAGTGATATTTTTACTCTTGCAAAGCGACTAACATGCATAGTGTTTCGGGCAATGCTATGTACTCAAAAAACATCGCATATATTATGTTATATATTATGTTATATAATATATTAACATTGTTAACATATTAACAAGCAGCATTACTTTCCAGCTGAATAACAAATAAAGAAGATGGATGCAATGTTGTGCATGCAGGAAATGATGAGGAACAGAGAGGGAGGACAGCCATCACTCTTCCATGGTACATTATAAATATCTATATATACTAGTACTGTTTAGTGTATTTTCCTGTATTTGCCTGATGACCGCACACTCTAGTGGCTGTGGCAGAGATGGGAATCCAGTGGCTTGTGGAGGGTCCCCATTGTTCGTGATTAATTTTGATCTGCAGAACTCATTGCAGTTGTATTTTTTTTTTTTTATGGAAGGGGGGGGAGGGAAAATGTTCTGTACAAAAATTACTCCTTGTACAGTAATGTTAAACATTTACTAATTAAAAAACTTTACATGGGAATAGATACATTTACTGTACTCATGTAATCAAGGCCAATGTTGGGCTCAGTATTTTAGGCAAGTCTAAAGCTAGCAGAACTAATGCAATTTTGGTTAGGGCAAGATAAATTAAGAACATGAGGTTAGTACTGTAAAAATAAAGATTTTGGCAAATTATTACATATTGTAAATGAGTAGGGCAATGTAGTTGTTAATAATATGGATATTATTTGCTTAGGTAATACTACAAATATTTATAAAGCATAAACATGTACAATAAAAAAATCATTTTTGTTAAAAGATACGAGAGAATTTGAGTCTTGTTACATGGAGGTAATGGGTTAAAATTGTTTGTGAGCTAAACTAATATATATATGAACAGTATTGTATATAATTTGTAATAGGTTAAATTAATTTATCTAGGTTTTTTATTTCATTTGAGGATACAGGTAGGTAAATGTGAGCATATTCTCTATGTACAGGGCAGATGGATTACAGTATTGTATATTTACATTTACGATGTAAATTTATTGTTCCATAATAAAGCTTATTTATGGATTCTCCCATTATATTTATAGTAATGCGGGCTGCATCTTATGGTATACTAATTACTAATTTTGTAATTCAGTATACCATGCAGGGATTCTTTGTACATAAACTGGCAAGTATAATCCCTGGCTAAACAACAGAAGTGACATTCAAGACCCAATATACTATACTCTGTTATTACTGACAGATGTGGAAGTCAAATAACTTTACAGAAAATATTTAAAACCAAATTGGTAGAATATCTTGAAAGAAATGATAATGGTAATTTTATTGAGGGAAAAGCATATGTACATACCAAATGAGTTAAAGGAAGAATTTTAAATTTCTACATAGAGCTTGTATATACTATATCTAAAGCCACTAATATTCACAACATTTCGAGCAAGATGTGGAAAAATAAACTTAAAAACTAAGACTTAAAAGTAACAGAGATCAAAGAGCAAGAATTGAACTGAAGTAGAAAAAGAATGACAATAATTACACGTTGAATAGAACAGCAGAAATTGCAACAGAACAGCAGATAGTAATTTTAACTTTCTAAATAGATGGAATACAATTTTCTCTTATTTATTTGTTCAATTTTAAGATGATACTTTTGATTTATGACAGTACATAGCATAGATGTTTTTACATTCTTTCAAAGCCGCTAACAAGCATAGTGTTTCGGGCAGGTCCTTAATCTAAAAGATAATTTTCAGTAGGTAATTTGTAGCAAAAATAAAAATTATTAATAGATAAATTGTAAGAAAATTTGAAGAATATTAATAGGTACATTGTAGCAAAATGTGCGTCTAACATAACAACTATGATGTAAGTTGATAGCAATGATTGCAATGTGAAGTTTCATGTCTTGGGCACTTATATTGGGGGAGCAGGTGCCCCAGGATACAGTGCGAGTTTGAAGCACTAGGTAGGAAACCATGATGATGAAATTAGGTACTTTTTGGTTATACTTTTGAATAAGGCATAGATTGGACAGCTTTTTAATTTGTTAGGGAGTAAGTTCCATAGATTTGGTCCCTTTATTTGCATAGTTTTTGCACAGATTTAGTTTGAATCTGGGGATATCTGATATTTATTTCTGGTGTGGTGATTATGGGTTTGTTACATCTATCAAGGAACAGTTTCAGATCAGGATTTACATTTAGGAACAAGGTTTTATACATTAAAATGACACAAGAGAATGTGTGGAGTGAGTGTATGTTCAGGGATTTAAAAAGAGGGGCTGTGTGTTGTCTGAAAATAGTTACTGTTCTGATAGCAGTTATTTGCCGAGTGATGATGGGCTTGAGGTAATTTGCAGTAGTAGAACCCCATGTACAGATACCATATGTAAGATAAGGATAGATTAGCGCATAATATAATGAGGAAAGCAGAGTTTGGAACATATGATTTTAGAGTATACTGACAGTTTTTGAGGCTTTTTGGCTTATACATTGCAGATATCAACAGTTTTACAAGTTAGTCATTAATCTTTGATAATAGCAAACCATAGGTTGACATTTAGGAGGAAAGGTAGATTACGTGGAGTTGATTAAGTAGTACTTAGTTTTTCTCTTAAACTGGTTGAGAAAGGGGTGCTCTGCACCCTTGATTTGCGGAGCATTTCTGTTTGGTTAAGTCGCACTCTTAGAATATCAAATAGATATTTGTTTCTATAACATAACAGATACTATAGGTTTCTAAGTATTTATCTGGAATTAAAAATGGCATTTGATAGTCCCACAAGTGGCTGTTCTGGAAGGTAAGCAGCAGTGTGGAGGTGACAGGCAGACTGCAAGCATGGATGAAAAGTTTCCCCAAGATAAAAAAATGACATCTGTGATATAAGAGACAGTCACAATGAAGGAACGTCACTAGCAAGCAGTTCCAAAAGGTTGAGAATTAGTGCCAGTAATGTATTTTATATATATATATATTATATATATATATATATATATTATATATATATTATATATATTATTAAATATGACCGAAAAAGTAAGATTAATAATTCTAACACGAATTTTCTCAATCTTTCGTACATTACGCTTCACTGTTGGAGGTAAATCAAAAATCACTTCTCCAAAATTCATTTTTATTTCTAGTCTGACGCGACACAGGCGCGTTTCGTAAATCTTATTACATTTTCAAAGACTTCACAAATACACAACTGATTAGAACTTGCGTTTCCCTGATTTTATATCTACATTTGAGTGAGGTGGGATGGGTGATGTGGCATTACATTTGAGTGAGGTGGGAAGGGTGATGTGGCATTAACACAAGACAGAACACTAGGGGATATTAATAGGGTATTAAAAGTATCAACACAAGACAGAACAGAAACAATGGGTATTGAATAGAAGTGTTTGTAGAAAGCCTATTGGTCCATATTTCTTGATGCTTCTATATTGGAGCGGAGTCTTGAGGTGGGTAGAATATAGTTGTGCAATAATTGGCTGTTGATTGCTGGTGTTGACTTCTTGATGTGTAGTGCCTCGCAAACGTCAAGCCGCCTGCTATCGCTGTATCTATCGATGATTTCTGTGTTGTTTACTAGGATTTCTCTGGCGATGGTTTGGTTATGGGAAGAGATTATATGTTCCTTAATGGAGCCCTGTTGTTTATGCATCGTTAAACGCCTAGAAAGAGATGTTGTTGTCTTGCCTATATACTGGGTTTTTTGGAGCTTACAGTCCCCAAGTGGGCATTTGAAGGCATAGACGACGTTAGTCTCTTTTAAAGCGTTCTGTTTTGTGTCTGGAGAGTTTCTCATGAGTAGGCTGGCCGTTTTTCTGGTTTTATAGTAAATCGTCAGTTGTATCCTCTGATTTTTGTCTGTAGGGATAACGTTTCTATTAACAATATCTTTCAGGACCCTTTCCTCTGTTTTATGAGCTGTGGAAAAGAAGTTCCTGTAAAATAGTCTAATAGGGGGTATAGGTGTTGTGTTAGTTGTCTCTTCGGAGGTTGCATGGCTTTTCACTTTCCTTTTTATGATGTCTTCGATGAAACCATTGGAGAAGCCGTTATTGACTAGGACCTGCCTTACCCTACAGAGTTCTTCGTCGACTTGCTTCTCAGAATGGAAGCAAGTCGACGAAGAACTCTGTAGGGTAAGGCAGGTCCTAGTCAATAACGGCTTCTCCAATGGTTTCATCGAAGACATCATAAAAAGGAAAGTGAAAAGCCATGCAACCTCCGAAGAGACAACTAACACAACACCTATACCCCCTATTAGACTATTTTACAGGAACTTCTTTTCCACAGCTCATAAAACAGAGGAAAGGGTCCTGAAAGATATTGTTAATAGAAACGTTATCCCTACAGACAAAAATCAGAGGATACAACTGACGATTTACTATAAAACCAGAAAAACGGCCAGCCTACTCATGAGAAACTCTCCAGACACAAAACAGAACGCTTTAAAAGAGACTAACGTCGTCTATGCCTTCAAATGCCCACTTGGGGACTGTAAGCTCCAAAAAACCCAGTATATAGGCAAGACAACAACATCTCTTTCTAGGCGTTTAACGATGCATAAACAACAGGGCTCCATTAAGGAACATATAATCTCTTCCCATAACCAAACCATCGCCAGAGAAATCCTAGTAAACAACACAGAAATCATCGATAGATACAGCGATAGCAGGCGGCTTGACGTTTGCGAGGCACTACACATCAAGAAGTCAACACCAGCAATCAACAGCCAATTATTGCACAACTATATTCTACCCACCTCAAGACTCCGCTCCAATATAGAAGCATCAAGAAATATGGACCAATAGGCTTTCTACAAACACTTCTATTCAATACCCATTGTTTCTGTTCTGTCTTGTGTTGATACTTTTAATACCCTATTAATATCCCCTAGTGTTCTGTCTTGTGTTAATGCCACATCACCCTTCCCACCTCACTCAAATGTAATGCCACATCACCCTTCCCACCTCACTCAAATGTAGATATAAAATCAGGGAAACGCAAGTTCTAATCAGTTGTGTATTTGTGAAGTCTTTGAAAATGTAATAAGATTTACGAAACGCGCCTGTGTCGCGTCAGACTAGAAATAAAAATGAATTTTGGAGAAGTGATTTTTGATTTACCTCCAACAGTGAAGCGTAATGTACGAAAGATTGAGAAAATTCGTGTTAGAATTATTAATCTTACTTTTTCGGTCATATTTAATAATATATTATATATATATATATATATATATATATATATATATATATATATATATATATATATATATATATATATATATATATATATATATATATATATATATATATATATATATATATATATATATATATATATATATATATATATATATATATATATATATATATATATATATATATATATATATATATATATATATATATATATTATATATATATATTATATATATATATTATATATATATATATATATATATATATATATATATATATATATATATATATATATATTATATATATATATATATATATATATATATATATATATATATATATATATATATATATATATATATATATATATATATATATATTATATATATATATTATATATATATATATATATATATATATATATATATATATATATATATATATATATATATATATATATATATATATATATATATATATATATATATATATATATATATTATATATATATATATATATATATATATATATATATATATATATATATATATATATATATATATATATATATATATATATATATATATATATATATATATATATATATATATATATATATATATATATATATATATATATATATATATATATATATATATATATATATATATATATATATATATATATATATATATATATATATATATATATATATATATATATATATATATATTATATATATATATATATATATATATATATATATATATATATATATATATATATATATATATATATATATATATATATATATATATATATATATATATATATATATATATATATATATATATATATATATATATATATATATATATATATATATATATATATATATATATATATATATATATATATATATATTATATATATATATATATATATATATATATATATATATATATATATATATATATATATATATATATATATATATATATATATATATATATATATATTATATATATATATATATATATATATATATATATATATATATATATATATATATATATATATATATATATATATATATATATATATATATATATATATATATATATATATATATATATATATATATAAATAAATAAATGATCTACTTGAAGGGATACAGAGTTATAAGAACATGCTTACAAGTGATCCTGAGTGGGAAGAATACGATGAACAAGATAAACAAGCACATGGATCAACAAATGGCAAATAGAATTTCAATGTTGACAAATGGCCAGTAATGGAATATGGAATACGCTAATCCAGTCCACAATCGACTTACAGTTGATGGGAAAAGACACTTAAGGAACTTGGGGCAAGGAAGAGCTCTAGTAGTGGTGCCAGAAAGGAAACTGTGACCAAAGAACCACTTTAAGGGCATGGTAAGATGAGCCTATACTACACTGGCTAGTTTCAGAATTGCATTTAAATTTATAAATTAACAAATGTTAAAAACAAAATTTTCTCAACATAAGATACCTAAATTATAATACTCAGCAGTTGTATGGTGGTCATATTTCAGAAAAGAAATCAATAAATCATTAAATATGCAAAAGCATTTTATTAAATAGATCCTGAATTATAAATGTGAAAGATATCGAAGGGGCTGGAGGTATTAATACTGTCTGCCAAAACTAGTAGTCGGAAGAAAGAGGCGATATGATCACCTCTGCAATCGCCAGGAAAAATCATAGAGGAATATTTTAAATATGCAACATTGAGAACATGGAGTCATAAGATAAAGTTTAAAATTGACATAGAGGCTGAAAACACACACAAAAATTCTTGGATAAACAGTTTCAGATGAATGAAATAAAGTAAATGAGGGGTAGTGTATGCCAAATCCACCACAAGCTTCAAAATATCATATGAAAGCTTATAAGGAAGATAAGCTCCTATTGTGTAAGTCTAGTAACACCATGTAGTTCTTATTGTGTAACTAGAGTTGGGGAATTACACAACAACAACAACATCATGTTCCACACAAGTCCTGTCCCTACCACATCCATTACACACCATCAAGACAGTAAACACACTGTACAGGTCAGTATCATGTCATTGTGTTCTGATATTTTAATTATTTTTGCTATCAAAATAAACCATATAATGAGCTTGTAGATTTTAACTGGTCGTTTTCTCTCTTACCTACCAGAACTTTATGAAGCCAAGGATCAGGGAGCACAAGTAATGTTTTCCAAATTTGTGGCTCCCACGATTGAAGACTTTGCATGCACTAAAACTATTTATTACCCCATCAGAGGACGAATAAATGTGATTTCTGCAATGAAGGTTAGTTTTAAGAAGATATTTCTTTTAATGCAGGATATGTATTTATAACATATTTTACAGACATTTAAGTACTGAATAAGGTAGACATTATATTTTCTATGCATCCTTAAAATCGGTCCAGCGCTGTCCCTGTTGGCAGCAAACTTTTGTGTATTCCCCTTGTTACGGTAGCCCCAAATTCAAGTCTAAATCAAAATTTCATATTTTTGTTAGTAGTTGGCATCTTCCATTTCTTTGTACAGTACCTCTTTCAATGTGACTATTACAGCCATTAGACATCATTCCTTTATCAAAATTAGTGTAATTAACTAAAGGAAAGATGGAAATCCTTCAGGTTACATTTGCCTTGCAGTGCAAAATGAGGAAAATTCACGAGTTGGTGGACAGGGAAGGAATCTGTTTGCTTAACCAATAGGCTTTTGCCCAAAAATAGGTTATACATTAAATATATACTACAGTATACAGTAATACAATTAATTGCTAATAATAAACTGTTTAATAATTATTTTAAATGCTCATAAGAGGGGATAAATTATACATTTGATATTTTTCATGTTTTTCATCTAATTGTATGCTGACAAGTTGCAATCTCACGAACATACAACAATGCTCACATGGAGGTAGTTTTCTGAACCAGCTGTTCTTGGCCGGAATGCTCAGTCTTCTGCATGCAAAAAACCACACAAAAGTCTGTTCAAGCCAATTTTATTTGCATACATATTGTAGTGGGCAAATGTATCTATACTAGGACAACAAGCAGGTCCCCTCCATAATATTTATTCTGAAACAAGTTGATTTTAGTGGTATAAGATTCTCAAGCTTTCACTGTGCCTTATATGATAAATAATTTGTTTCATGTTTTTTTGTTGTGTGTGTTTCTGTGGAGAGCTCCTCCGGCTCCTCCCGGGGCTATATCGAGCTGATATGTATGTATTAAACCGTGGCATAATCAATTCGATTGGAGTTCTAGCTTACAGGCCCACTGTTATAATAAAATGGTGGGCTTGCTATGGGGAAACTAGTGCTATTCAGGGGTAAGGTCAGTCAGAATAAAGATGTATGTATTTGGGGAGATCAGTAAGGCCCAGCCCCCATGGAAACTAGAAGTAGTGCTGACTACTTGGCTACACAACAAGGTCAGTCTAGGGAATGATCAAGATCTCCTACACAGGAAGAATGATACTCTTATAATTCATGTACTTATTTATTAACCCCTTAACAGCCCCCCATATACATTCACACCAATAACAATAATAATAATAACTTTACCACACTACCTTACGTTAAAAGCCTTGGTCCACATAAGCAGGATACAAGGTTTTACACTGAACACAAGCTAGGGTAAAGCTCTACTATTGAATTATTTGACGTTAGAGTCAGCTTAGGGTAGGGGACCACGTGGTTCCAATGGGACCCCCTTTAGAATAACTAGTAATATAAACCCTAAAAACACCTACTACACACAGAGTATACTACTCTACACATAGAACATGAGTATGCCAGAGATTGAATAATGTACTCAGTATACTTATCTTGAACAAGACACAGAAATAAGGAAACGAAGAGGAAGGAGGAGGTAATTCCTTTCACTACAGCCAGCAACCAGAGAAGCCCGCTTCAGCCCCGATCAGCCTCCCGCATTCGTGTGGTGCCAGGAAGAGCCTAATTGATCGTGCAGCTAAGCACATTAAAAATCTTCCCCTATGCAACGTATTGTTACTTTACAAATGATTAAAGTATTAGTAAACATAGTTGGTGCCTATGTTATTATTTAATAATCAACCCCCAGCTCAGTCTTTAAATGCTCTTTGAGAAACAAGAATAGTCTTACGTCTGGCAGGGAAGATACAAACAAAAACACATTGAGTTGCGTTTTGCTACTCTAACGTAGCTTATTTAGTTCAATTTTGACCTCTGGTTTCCACTGAAGAACCCAGGGTCGTAACACCCACGGTCCAGAACCTGGCCTCTTCGGAGAGGCACGAGGATCACTGGCCTATAGAAACCCCCATGTGGTTGGAAACATTCTATGTCTGCTATCTACCAGGTTAGGCACCCAGAAAGGTAGGCGTCTCAAAATAAACTCTTACCTGGTTAAAATTGTTACCGAAAACCGAACTATCAAGCAGAACTCCACTATGTGTAAACATGCAAACATGCATGATGTCACAACCGCCGCCATGCTGCTGTCTGCGCAGCTCCCACCTCCCCAGGAGGGTGAAGGGGGAGCCCCAGACCCCTTGCGCCGGCCATTCAACCCCAGTTCTGAGGCTTATGTGTTGTGTGGCGGTCGTTCGGCTCTGGCTACTGTCACTGAGCAATGCTGTACCTTTGCGGTGTTGTTCTGCTGTGTGGTGGTGTGCAATCCAGGAGTACTGGGGCTGCATGCACTTAGGGCTGCCTTCTCTAGGTGCCCTGTAAGTACTGTACAGTAGAACCTCGGCTTGCGAATTCCCTTCCATGAATTTTTTGGGCGATGAGCCCAACTTCTTCATAAAATTTGAATCGGTTTACGAGCTTTGCCTCGAGTTACGAGTTTGCTGATACATGTATGGGTTGATCAAGTGTGTGGTTCCTGGTGGCACGAGAGACCACGCCTCAGTTTAACAGTGCCTAATGAGTAGTAACGATCGTAGTTGAATTCGTTGTAAAGAATTTCATTGTTTTTCTGCTTTTTTGGTTTTTGAACATAAAGGTAATTATTATATATCATGTCATGGATCCAAAGAAAGTCAGTGGTAAGGTTCAATCTAAGAAAACAAATGTGATGATGACGATAGAGGAAAACGAGATCATTCATAGTGAATTAATGTGAGGTCTCACTACAGACAAGTGTTAAAACATAGGAAAAACAAGTGTCTTTAGACAGATTCTTAGTAAGACAAGCAAGCAGTGAGCCACAACCAGATCCTATTGGTATACCTGCAAAACGTAGGAGAGAGAGTACCCCAGAAAAGTCATCACTGCCTGATGTTATAATGGAAGGCGACTCCCCCTTCCAAACACTAACACCTCTCCTTCTCCCCCCCCCCTTCCTCACTGTCTTCCATACACCAACAAGTCATCAATAAAAGTAAGCTATAACTTGTATATACTATAGTACAAAATATTTGTGTTTATTATGTATGAAATGTATTTTGAAAGTTAATCTGTTCTACACTCCCAGAAATATTAATTAAATTTACCTTACACACAGAAATCACAATAACGTGATGTATCAAATGAACAAATCCACAAGGGCCGTGACGAGGATTCGAACCTGCGTCCGGGAGCATCCCAGACGCTGCCTTAATCGACTGAGCTACAACATGGTTAAAAGAGTTGAAACCGAAGTTCTACTGAACTTACTGGATCCCGCAGCCTCTCCGAGACACAAACCAGGGTTTTACACAACTCCCCCATGCACTCGAGCTATGTCAATAGGCCGTTCTCCCTCTTCGCCCTTACATCATTACACACAGAAATCACAATAACATGATGTATCAAATGAACAAATCCACAAGGGCCGTGACGAGGATTCGAACCTGGGTCTGGGAGCATCCCAGACGCTGCCTTTATCGACTGATCTACGACATGGTTAAAAGAGTTGAAATCGAAGTTCTACTGAACTTACTGGATCCCGCAGCCTCTCCGAGACACAAACCAGGGTTTTACATAACTTCCCCATGCACTCGAGCTATGTCAATAAGCCGTTCTCCCTCTTTGCCTTTACATCATTATACACAGAAATCACAACCAGGTTGAAGGTGACACCTTCAACCTGGAGTCCTGCGAGTGGTGTTTCTTGCTGGTTCTCCAATTCACCCAGTCCACTGATACTGATAATAGAGTGCTGTTTTTGGTAATATGTCTTGGCCTGACATTTGGGCGCAAGGATTTTGGAGGTAGAACAGGGTCCTGGCTGTCTGTTACCTCATTAATGTTCCTGGCCCTAATCAGGCGTGTGTCGCTTTGGGTTGTAGGTTCTAGCTAGGTGTCTTGACTTCGCGTTGAGCAGTCGCCTCCTGGGCAAGTCCCTCTTTTCTTTTTTGTGGCTAGGTAGCTCCAGGGACCCGGAGGGGCTTTCCACAGACAACCAGCATTGAATGTAATGAAATGCCTTTATCTGGGTGAGTCCCATAAGCTCCCCCGGTAACCCTCCCTCCCTCAGGTCGGCGGCTTTGCGTTTTGATATTCAGCCTCTGAACTGGGATTGGATGGCCAATGCGAGAGGTCTGGGGCGCCCTCCTGTGGAGGAGGGAGCTGCGCAGTCAGCAGTGCCGTGGCGGTTGTAACGTCATGCTTGTTTGCATGTTTTCATATTGTGGAGTTCTGCTTGATAGTTCAATTTACAGTAGCAATTTTTACCTGGTGAATTTTGTTTTGAGACGCCAACCATCCTGGGTGCCCAACCCAGTAGATGGCAGACATAGAATGCTTCCAACCACTTGGGGGTTTCCATAGGCCAGTGCTCGTCGTGCCTCTCTGAGGGGGCCAGGTTCTGGCTCGTGGTCCCCGGTAGGTTAGAATTCCAATCGAATTGACTGATGCTATGGTCTATATACATACATATCAGCGCGGTATAGCTCCAGGAGCCTCCAGGACTCGCCCAGAAAATGGTGTTTCATTACATTCAACGCTGGTTTTTTATCGTTCTTACAAAGTGCGAACATATTTGCAGGAGTATTCGAACAAATCACTGGAAGAACTTCGACATGAATATTACCAGGTGACACCAAGCAGCAGGAAGGAATCGTGCTGTGTGGGTGGATTATTTGAACCTATGGAAGAACTAGTTCCTGAACATTACCATGGGAAACCCATCGTTAATGTGTCAGCGGTAGAAATGCCATGCAATCCAGCATCACGGACGAGATTCATTGGATTATATCCAGGACAGGATGTGACCAGTGGCACATACAGTTTGGCTAACAAGGCACCTTTTGGCTTTGCCACAGAATGTAGTTCATCGACTATTTCTCCCTCTGTATCAAAATGTGGGGCATCAGCAGTGTTTGGATCTATGTTCGCTGGTACAGCAATACATAGCCTTGTTACCTCACCAATTTTTGCAGCAGGCATGCTCAACCACCCAGTTACCCCAGTTTTTAGTACAGTTACTTCGTGGGGACATGTATCACCAGTCTTCAGCACAGTCACTTCTGGGAGTCATGTATCACCAGTCTTCAACACAGTCAATGCTAGGGGTCATGTATCACCAGCCAGCACAGTCACTTCTGGGAGTCATGTATCACCAGTCTTCAGCACAGTCACTTCTGGGAGTCATGTATCACCAGTCTTCAACACAGTCAATGCTAGGGGTCATGTATCACCAGCCAGCACAGTCACTGCTGGGAGTCATGTATCACCAGTCTTCAGCACAGTCACTGCTGGGAGTCATGTATCACCAGCCAGCACAGTCACTTCTGGGAGTCATGTATCACCAGTCAGCACAGTCACTGCTGGGAGTTATGTACCACCAGCCAGCACAGTCACTGCTGGGAGTCGTGTATCACCAGTCAACTCAGTCACTGCTGGAAGTCATGTATTGCCAGTCTTCAGCACGGTCACTTCTGGGAGTCATGTATCACCAGTCTTCAACACAGTCAATGTTAGGGGTCATGTATCACCAGCCAGCACAGTCACTGCTGGGAGTCATGTATCACCAGTCTTCAGCACAGTCACTGCTGGGAGTCATGTATCACCAGCCAGCACAGTAACTGCTGGGAGTCATGTATCACCAGTCTTCAACACAGTCACTGCTGGGAGTCGTGTATCACCAGTCAGCACAGTCACTGCTGGAAGTCATGTATCACCAGTCTTCAACACAGTCACTGCTGGGAGTCATGTATCACCAGCCAGCACAGTCACTGCTGGGAGTCATGTATCACCAGTCTTCAACACAGTCAATGTTAGGGGTCATGTATCACCAGCTAGCACAGTCACTGCTGGGAGTCATGTATCACCAGTCTTCAGCACAGTCACTGCTGGGAGTCATGTATCACCAGCCAGCACAGTAACTGCTGGGAGTCATGTATCACCAGTCTTCAACACAGTCACTGCTGGGAGTCGTGTATCACCAGTCAGCACAGTCACTGCTGGGAGTCATGTATCACCAGTCTTCAACACAGTCACTGCTGAGAGTCATGTATCACCAGCCAGCACATTCACTGCTGGGAGTCATGTATCACCAGCCAGCACAGTCACTGCTGGGAGTCATGTATCACCAGCCAGCACAGTCACTGCTGGGAGTCATGTATCACCAATCTTCAGCACAGTCACTGCTGGGAGTCATGTATCACCAGTCTTCAGCACAGTCACTTCTGGGAGTCATGTATCACCAGTCAGCACAGTCACTGCTGGGAGTTATGTACCACCAGCCAGCACAGTCACTGCTGGGAGTCGTGTATCACCAGTCAACTCAGTCACTGCTGGAAGTCATGTATTGCCAGTCTTCAGCACGGTCACTGCTGGGAGTCATGTATCACCAGCCAGCACAGTCACTGCTGGGAGTCATGTATCACCAACCAGCACAGTCACTTCTGGGTGTCATGTATCACCAGTCAACTCAGTTACTTCTGGGAGTCATGTCTCACCAACCAGCACAGTTACTTCTCAGAGTGATGTATCATTAGCCAGCACAATTACTTATGACAGTTTTATGGCAGCCAAACCTGGCAGACTGAGTGGCAGAATGTTCAAGCATCCAAAGAAAGTGTCAACAAAAGCAAAGTTTGAACCAAACTTTGATCCAGCGACTGTCTTCGGCCGAACAGTAAAGGCAACACAGACATGGTTTGAAGGTACAGTATTTACCTGAGGCTGTAGGCTTATTGTAAGCATTTGAGGTTTTAGACACCATACCCACATTTGTGAAAGAAAGGAAAGTGAGAGCGTTATGGTCCATACAGGAGCTTTATGTTGCTGCGATAAGGGCCATCGTTACTTTGCTTTCTTTTCACGTGTGTGGGTTGGGTGTCTAATTTTATCACTTTTTCAATTGTGACCTAATCTCTGTATTTTAGATTTTGATGCATGGTTATGGGTGATAGTGAACTAGCCATTATCCATTCTGGGGGGGGGGGGGTTTACTGGATAGAGATGGTCGGACACATTTCCTTTCACATGCATGAAGCCACCGTTCATCTAGCAGTAAATTTGTGCTTCTCAGTTATGCAGCTGTTGTGGGTAGCATCATGGTAAGGTGAGTAGTTGGCCCAGTGGAGGACCTTGATAAGCCCTAGTACAAGTTTCCTGTCCCTGACAACATGAAACCATAAGCTAGATGACATTGCATTGCCTCAAGACAGTTGTACCTTAACTGATGGCCAATTGATAATCCAAAAATATTTGCACTCTCTGGTTATGGTGTTTAATAATAATTTTGTGCTCCCTGTTATCTGGGACAGGAAGCCTATAGTTAGGCTTATTGTGGTCCTCTCTAGGCCATCTACTGCTGACCTTTCTAAGGATGTAACCAACAACAATCTCCTGAACTCCCCAGTATCTATTTTGCTGCTCGGTGATCAGAGGCATCAGGTGAAAGGAAATGTGCCCAACCTTTTCTGTCCTGCTTGGAGATTGAACTTGTATCCCTTGTTTATGAATAGAGGACAGACCACTGTCACTGTTAGAAAAATAAATTTCTAAAGGTTGCATTGAACCTTAAAGTTAAGGCATCCCTGTACTGTGTGTTGATTATAACGTGCTACCAGAGTTGTTTGTTACCCCAACCAGGGGCCATAGAGATTCATGCATTATCACACTGACATGCATTGCATGAACTGTATTTGGTATTCTCCTCTTTCAACTCTTCAAATTACAGAACCTGCTATAGAGGCGCAGATCTCGTGTCCCATTTGCTTGGAAACATATGTGGCCATGACCAAGACCCCGGTTGCATTGCCTAGCTGTGGACACACCTTTTGCCGGCCATGTCTTCAAACGTTAGAGGAGAAGGGCAGTGTGGACTGCCCTTCCTGCATGACACATTTGGGTGTTGCAGTGTCAGAGATCCCAACTCTACATTCCATTCTTAGCTTATCTGAAGTTTATAGGAAGGCTAAGGTAAGGAAAGTATATTTTCCATTTGGACCCGAAACCTTGTACAGGCATGAAAATTGTCATTAACGTCGCATACATAGTGTACACGTACATATATAAAACACAAAATGTTCTCTTATTTCTACTGTAGTGATAGTTTTATTTCATAAACCATTCATGATATTCAATACATCACTCGGTACCCCTACTCAAATCTCTGAATATGTTAGATATTAAGTCACTGCACATCCTCTCATGTGTATTTTTATTTATTATATATATATATATATATATATATATATATATATATATATATATATATATATATATATATATATATATATATATATATATATATATATATATATATATATATATATATATATATATATCTATATATCTATATATATATATATATATATATATATATATATATATATATATATATATATATATATTAGTGACGGGAAAGTGTTGGAGTGTTGATGTTCGGCAGTCCTCCAATGGCAGGTGTCAAAGCCTGGTCACACTTTAAACAAAAATATAGACTGCTTGCCTGTTGTCTGTGGTAAGTTAGAGGGAGGAACACGTAAAACACAAAATATGAGCAATGAAACTTTAATATATTTACTTTAAACATAAATGAAAATAAAGACAAATCTCGGGAAGTTATATTACAGTTAAATAATAAAGAAAATACAAAGACAATGTGAAATACAAAATTACAATGTAAAAATGGTGCTGAGAATATCGGCTATGGCTGAAACCTCCCTTCGTATACGAGCTAATGAGCTAGTATGCCAGAGAGAGACATCAACCGTAAGAGCACAAGGAATATTCTAAAGTGGAGTGCTGGTCAGGCTCAGACGTCGATTCGTGTAGAGGGCGCTGAAGTGCTGTGTGCAGGTGTGCAGCTGGCGAGTCACCAATCAGAGGCAGGCAAGCTGGTGAAGGGTAGTTAGCTGGTTTGATGACGAGCCGGCGCGTGGAGGGTGTGTGGAGTAGGGGGATCTTGGATACGTTTTGCGCTACTGGTGACATATCTTGAATGTAGCATCTTATACTTGTGTCTTTGGCGTAACTTAAAGTAGGGAAGAGCAGGCTCAATCTCTCTTGAAAGAGATTATCGTCACAAAAAAAAAAAAAATATATATATATATATATATATATATATATATATATATATATATATATATATATATATATATATATATATATATATATATATATATATATATATATACTGTATATATATATATATATATATATATATATATATATATATATATGTCGTACCTAGTAGCCAGAACTCACTTCTCAGCCTACTATGCATGGCCCGATTTGCCTAACAAGCCAAGTTTTCCTGAATTAATATATTTTCTCTAAGTTTTTTCTTATGAAATGATAAAGCTACCCATTTCATAATGTATGATGTCAATTTTTGTTCATTGAGTTAAAATTAACGTAGATATATGACCGAACCTAACCAACCCTACCTAACCTAACCTAACCTATCTCTATAGGTTAGGTTGGGTTATGTAGCCGAAAAAGTTATGTTAGGTTAGGTTAGGTAGGTTAGGTAGTCGAAAAACAATTAATTCATGAAAACTTGGCTTATTAGGCAAATCGGGCCTTGCATAGTAGGCTGAGAAGTGAGTTCTGGCTACTAGGTACGACATATATATATATATATATATATATATATAAATAAATATAAATAAAAATAAAACACTGAACTGTAATGTCAATCCTGACCTTAAAAGCTTCATTGAAGGTTGTAATAGAACCTATGAGCACCACACTAGAAACAAATACCTTTTTGATATTCCAAGAGTATGACTTAATCAAAGTAGAAATGCTCTACAAATCAAAGGACCCAGAATGTGGAATGACCTTCCCAACCATGTTAAAGACTGTACCTCTCTCAACCAGTTTAAGATAAAAACTAAGCACTACCTAATTAACTCCCTGTAACCTGCCTTACCCCTATAATGTCAACCCATGTCTGCTGTTTATTTAAACAATGCTGTTTGTCAACCAAATTGTATTTTTTTGCTGTTATTCTGCCATGTTCCCCCCATTTTTATTTTTATGTTTTCTCAACACATTTTATACTTTAATCTCAATTAGTATTAAGTTTGTCTTTAGTGTTTTCCTGCCCAAAACGCTTTGCATAATAGTGGCTTTAGGCATTGTATGTACTAGCTCTATCTATAAATTCATAAATATTTGTATCACACCCTGTATGTATGTACTTTACCTGAATAAACATTTGAATTTGAATTTTAAATTTTTGAAAAATATTCATGTACAGCCGATGAGTCACAATAACGTGGCTAAAGTATGATGACCAGACCACACACTAGAATGTGAAGGGACGACGACGTTTCGGTCCGTCCTGGACCATTATCAAGTCGATTGACTCGACTTGATAATGGTCCAGGACGGACCGAAACGTCGTCGTCCCTTCACATTCTAGTGTGTGGTTTGGTCATCATTTATGTACAGTGTTGTTATAATACAATTATAGTTCACTAAACAGTAAATATCAATTAAATGTACAGTAGTAAGTATGGTAGTATTGGTATCATAAGTCACGTTTGTTACCATATGTGGATTTTATGACCTCGCATTTGAAACATCAATATCAAATATATTGCTGCAGTTCTTAACATCTGTAGAAACATTTCTCTGCTTTGCAATGCCAGCATGATAAAGATTACTCATATTTTATCACTTTTTTCTTATACACCTTTTAATGGATATATATGGATATTTTACGGATTTATTTTAACTGTTGTAGACTGAAGTATACTGTACTTGAAGTTTAGTTTAGTAATGCAACACTCTTCCTCCTTTTCCCTCCTGCCCGTTCTCTCCATTTCCCTCCTGCCCGCTCTCTAAATGTTGACTGTGTTGCAGGCATCCGGATCAGTACTGGAGAGATGCGAGAGCCACGGAGACCAGCTGTGTGTGTGGTGCCGCCACTGTTCGGAAGCTCTGTGTGGCTTGTGCCTTCTGGATACACAACGCCATAAGTGCCATAAGCTCGAGAGGATCATTAACATTGCAGACATCTATAACAATGTAAAGCAACAAGCCAGGAACTTCTTTGAGTACTCTGAGAATCGACAGAACAAAATTATGAATGAAATGCACGTCGTCATCAAGAGGATTGTCGAGTTGTGTCACATGAGCAACTCTATTGAAAGTCAAGTCAAAATAGTTTCCGATGTAATGAAAAATAAAGGAAATAAAACTGGAATTAAGGTTTCAATGCAAACTTTGAGCAAATTGGATGATGCCCTGAAATTTTTGCATCAAGCAACTGACTCCCTGGATCAAGAGAGTGAATTATCCTCACAAGATGACCAGTTAGTCATGTCAGCAGAAGGAGTTAAGGATATTATTGAGTGTAATGAAATGTTGAATATAAAATTAAGCCAATGTAACATTAATGAAAGCAAGGGATCTGACAATGGACAAGGTGCCATTAGCCAGGTTAAGAGGTCTGATAGTGGAGGTGCAAGAATCCAGGTTGAGGAGTGCGACGAGAAAGAAAGTTGCAGTATCCAGTTTAAAGGGTCTGAGATTGAGGAAGGTGGCAGTATTCAGACTAAAGGACCTGATAAAAGAAGTGGAGTCAGCAACCAGGTGGAGATGTTGTCACTCGGATGTTGTGGAAAAACTAGCGATGGACGTCAGATGAATTTGATGGTAGAAAATGACCAGCTTCACTTTTGTGCCTTGGAATACGCTGCACAAGATGCTCTTATTACTGTTCAGGTAAATTTGTGCTTAATTGTCCTTTTAGTATTAGTATACTGGTATATTTTTCCTTGTACTTTCTCACTTAACATGTTTACAGGGCAAGCCATAGTCTTTCCACCCATTCTTGTTACTCATTGCAAGTAAGTATTGCCTGCTTGAAGTTTGTGAATGACTACATAACCCTGAAGGATTCTCCATGGCGTGTTGTGAGTCCACTAGCACAAGATCATGAGAATGACATTGCAGAAGGCCTGTTAACCCATGTGGGGCTGTTCGTATTAATATCCACCTACAAGTACAGGTACTAAGAATTTCACCCAATTCTTTGTCAATATCGGTTAATTTGACCGGTTGAAATTTTCTACGAGCTAATCTTAATCTTTGATATATCTGAAAGAACTCTTTAGCATTTGACTGCTTCCTATGCTGCAAATAGTTCTGGTTGTTATACTGTAGTGCATAATAGACATGGGCTCTAGAGAAAATGCAGAGAAGGATAACCAGTCTGATACCAGGACTTTTTTTATGAAGGTAGAGTGAAGTGTTTCAATTTGCAATTTGCACAGGGGGGAATGGAGTGAAATTGTCAGGAGAAAGCGCCAAGCCATTACTACTATACAGGTATAGCACTGGGAAAGGATCAGGTTTAGGATTTGGGATGGGACGGGGGGAAGGAATGGTACCCAACCACTTGAACGGTCGGGAATTAAACTCCGACCTGCATGAAGCGAGGCCGTCGCTCTACCATCCAGACTTAAGTCGTTGGATTGAACAGAGCAAGGGAAGGGAAGAGAACTTTCAGTAGAGAGCACCAAGCCATTACAACTATATAGCACTTGGAAGGGGTCAGGATAAGGATTTGGGATGGGATGGGGGGGGGGGAGCAATGGTGCCCAACCACTTGGACAGTCAGGGATTGAACTTCGACCTGCATGAAGCGAGACCGTCGCTCTACTGTCCAACCGAAGTGGTTGGGTTTGCAACCACTTGGGCTGGACGGTAGAGCGATGGCCTCTGAAGATGACAAGGGTTTTCTGGTTGATTTGGGGCATAAACAAGGTTCTGAAACTGTCAAAACCTGCAACAGTGAATAAAAGCTGAAGAAATCTTAGTTTTAAAAAAAGAAAGATAGGGAAGTATGGGTTTGGAAATTGGGTTGTTGGTGAGTATAATGGGCTGCCAGTTAGAATTATTGAGATAGTGTAATAAGAAGGTTTGAAGAATAGATCAGATAGGCATATGGGTGAGATGGGTGGATTTTAAAAGTGCTTTATAGTTCATGTGTTCTTATATATAGGCTTATGAAAGATTGTATGATTTGCGAGTGAAAATGTCATACAACGAATAAGTTATAGCTTATGACTTTTGCATGAAAGTACAGGAAACCACCAGTATATATGTAGGGAAGATCTTGTATATTGGATAATGTATCTGTCCAAAATTATATTTCTGAATATAGAACAGTAGAATAAAGACTGAGACATTGGTAATGCTGAAGGTCAGTCATAGTGCATACATTCCGTTTTTGTTTCTGCAGGTACCATTGCTGGAACGTTTTCTCTCGAGAGAGAAGCCAGAAGTTTTCTTTGAACTGAGTGTTGACAATAAGTGCCTGGGACGAGTCTATATTCAGTTGTGGGGCGACATGCGTCGTGCTAAACACTTTCTGGCGCTCTGCCTTGGCACTCTTGGACCATCTTATAAAGGCTCCAAGTTTGATAGAATATCCGACTGGAGCCAACCAGGAGAAGTCCTACACTGCAAGGGTTACTCTGATAAATCTGGTCCCAGCTCATTAGGGCTAATGGACAATTTAGAATGGGATGGAGAATACAGACAACTTCAGAAAGCTGGACAACTCATTGCCTCGGGAGGCGGACAAGCTGAAAAAGATGGTAGTTTTGGTATATGTACGAAAGATAACTTGTTTAAAACCTTCTCCTGTCCTTTTGGTATGGTGGTGTCGGGATTGGATGTGGTGCGTGAGGCTGTTAATCACGTTGGAGATGTTGTGGTCTCAGAGGTTGGTGCTGTTGCTGTCGATATATTGCACTAGTGTGATGGATGTGCTATTACAGCTGGCCTCTCTTAGCTAGTATACTTATACATTTCATGAGTTTTAGAAGGAAAAATACATTGGTTCAAGAAGGCAACACAAGATGCAGTAATTGCTATTTTTTACCCTATCTAGACTTTTTTTTTATCCAGGTATGGGGACTATTCCATCGCAAATACATTCCATCATTAAAAACTAATATAAACTGATACAAATCATTCCGGAAATCACCAACTTTGGGTACCAGGATGCAAAGGACTGATATTTCTTTGAGCAAGGCTTGATATGGCTGATTTCAAAACATTTAAGATACTTGTAGTGACTAAAATGTATAACTTTAGTCCAACACTTCAGGATAGTTCCATTGTTCCAGCCATGGAAGCCTGTTAGGCAAGCTTATTATAGACCCTATCCAAGAGCAGGGCTGTCCATGCAGTCACCTAACCAGTTACTGGCCAGATCCAACGATATTTGATGCACATATCCTTAAGTGTGCCACTCCAAAGGAGATATGAAGAGATTATTGTTCTCTTGAAAAGTAATAAATTAATAAAGTCAATGCACTACAGCCATCATAGTAAGGACTGTAGTATAATATAGCTTACAAATGTATCTTAAGAGATAGTGGCCGCCAGCACTCTTATGCCATGCCTGAAGAATGGGTGTATGCCAGCCCTGCCATGCCCAAAGAGTGGGTGTATGCCAGCCCTGCCATGCCCGAAGAGTGGGTGTATGCCAGCCCTGCCATGCCTGAAGAGTGGGTGTATGCCAGCCCTATCATGCCAGAAGGGTGGTTGTATGCCAGCCCTATCATGCCAGAAGGGTGGTTGTATGCCAGCCCTATCATGCCAGAAGGGTGGTTGTATGCCAGCCCTACCATGCCCGAAGAGTGGGTGTATGCCAGTCCTGCCATGCCCGAAGGGTGGGTGTATACCAGCTCTGTCATGCCTGAAGAACAGGTGTAGCCTAGCCCTGTTATGTCTGAAAACCAGGTGTATGCCATCCTATCATGCCTTGCATAAAGAACAAATATATATGAACATTTATCTATTGGTTGTCATAGAAAATGAAGTACATGGAGATGTCTTGCAGGGCATTTTCTGCTTGGAATACTGTTGTGAAGAAACAAAATGCTAAAGTTTTAGCATGACATGTTAGAATATAGCACTGGGCATTTCTCGCTGTCTCAAGGCTGACTGAAGGGGCTTTTCACAAAACTGGACATATCTTTAGTGTTGTTGACTTGATTAGTAATCGTTTTGTTTTTGCATATGCTGTATTGTGGTATTAAATATTTCTTTATTGTCCGAGTTTCCCTTGAGATAGTACGTTGAATGAATTTTTATAAACATTTTGTTGGTCTTTTTTGTTGATGAATGGTTGCTTACAAAGAATGGGTAGATGCTTAACTCTAAACTGTTCTAACACTATTGTGTATTTTAAAAGGTATCTATTTTCATCCAACACTGAAATGCATACATGCCAACTTGTTAAGTGTTGTCATGATAGAGGAATTCCAGGACTAAATTCTTAGCAAATTTTTGCAGTCATTTAATTGTATAAGGTCACCTGCTAGATCTAATAAGCTGTAATTTTTCTACCATAATCACATTATAAGATTATTCTGAATAATTGCTTCATGATGTGCTTGCATTCAAATGCTAATGCTGCCATGCAAGTAGACTGTATTGAAGTTAAGCTCAGCTGTGCCTATAGCTGTATGATGGAGCTTCTTGAATGATTGGTTGTGTTGCAAGTGCTTGAAGTCACATGTCAGAGGTGCTGCTCACTTGAATTGCAAGAGTTGGTTTAGTACTGAGAGATTAGAACACACAGATAGTCACCATCTTGGTGTGTGTCATTATTACTGGCGAGTGATATCCCCATTAATCCCCACTGCTTTTGAAGCATACGCCATGTCTGTTTGCCGTTGTCATGCTTGGTATTACACGTGTCTGGTGCATGGGTGTTATTGGTCCCCCGAGTATTGTTCAGTTTGTTGTTGACCATTGTTAATTTATATGTCAGTTCTTTACACTATAACGTCTTTATACTTAGTAAATTCACATCTGGTAGCGTCATTTTCTGCAGAGACATCAAGTTTAAGGATTTATTTAGTCTATTTGGGTTGGTTTATATGGTTATAGCATGTTGGATTTTTTCATATTTAGCTGCCATCATCTGTGAGTCGGTGGAAGCTGTAGAAGCACAAAATGTGGAGCTTGTCACATGCACACTCTTGAACAAACATTCCAATGAACAAACACAAACCTTAGTAAAGCCAATTATATTTCATGACCATAATAATAAAGTTTAGATTTAATGTATTTAATGAAGTTGGTACAATTAAATTTTTTGTTATCAGTATACAAAATGGAAATTTGTCATGGTTTTACCAGTCTTTTCTAATAAATAATGCCTCTGCAAATAACTTAGTTAAATCAATGTGTTCCTGTTGAATTTAGTTATTTTTTGGTAATCTTTCATTGCTATTCTGTTGATTTAAAAAAAATTCTTCAGTAACATTAAATTAAAAAATGTTTATCCACTTAAATATTAGCCTAACATTTACTGTATAAACCCACATTCATTTTGCAAACACCTGTACTCTGAGAGCAGTCGTTTAACACTTTCACGCACCCGGCATCTTAAAACTAGTCCCATAATGATCGGATAAAAAATATAATTTTAACAAATATTTTAAATTTTGACGCAACATGCGTCACCAGCAGACATCCGTCAGTTTATTTGTTCATGCAGACTGCGACGCCGCCGGACGAAAGTGTTAAGTAGTGTAATGGTACTCTTTGGTGACAAACACACAGTAGGGTAACTAAATATATATATATTGATATAACTTGGTTAGAGAGGCTGGTGATGAGTAGTATGTGGTAGAGATTGAGGCGTCTGGTTAGGCAGGTTGTTGTATATCTGAAGTGGTGATGTTCTTAACCACCTATGGAGTGAGGCTGGTTCCTGCTGTGATTTGGCAGCCTTATATTCCTGTCCAATTGATCCTGTTTCTAGATCCAGGCTGCTTGTAATTTGGTTGATGGGGGAAAACTGCTTGGCTTCTGTTGGGTATTATTAGTAGTTTATGGAATGCCTGGGAACATGTTACATTGGTAACTGGGGTTGCTGCAGATTATCATTTACATTACATGGAATTCCTTGGGAAAATGGTTTGATGTAATGAGTGAGTGAGAGATTCTTGGAAAACTTTTAAGTTTTTGCCATAGAATTTCTTGGCATGTGGAATAACTGCCACATTATTGCTAATGTGGTTGCTACAGTAGCATTAAGACCTGCCCAGAACAATTTTGTGGGGACTTTTCAACAGCTTTGTCTAACTAAACATATTATCCATATACTGTACTGTATATTGTTACTTTCCCTATTGTATACATTTTACAAATAAAGAGAATATATGTTGTCAGCTTTGTGAATTTGACTCCTTCAGTGTAGATAAACGCTGTCTTTTTGCTACCATTGAGGCTTCCCAGGTGATATCTAGAAACCTTATTTGTAACGTCCATTGTATTGTTATATAACAATACTAGCTTTGCTCCTTCTTTTGATAGACGATGGTCTTGGATTTTCGAGGCTCGCATTTGAATCTCTGATGATCCAAATAAATGAAATTACTGTTATACTAACTTTGTGGCTATTGAGTCTGTAGAAATATAAAGTAGCTGTATAATTTAGCCCAAAATGGTGCCTATGTATTTCTTCCGACCAAACCTGAATACCTAGTGGCATTGCTCCAAGCCAGGAATTTAAGGAATTTTTGTATCTACAGTATTTGATTTGTTTAATCTATTTTTTTTTTTTTTTTTTTTTTTTGACAGGCTATTCAATTTAATTAGGTTGTACTGGGTGGATCAGTGGATTGTTTAGGTTCACTCCCATTTTCTTTTTCTTCAGTAACAACTTTACACTTTACACCCATCAAGCTTCATTGATCCATTATAATCATCATGAGCGCTGTTTCAAATTTCAGTGTTTTAGACATGTGACAATGTATGGCATCAATGATACAAACTTTGCAAGCTGTAGACAAAGCCTAATGTCAACATTACCTTCAGAAAGGTGAAGTAGATGCTCTGCTTGATATGAACAGATACTCAAGATACTATTCAGTACATAATAGACATGCAGTGTTTAGGGAAGGCAGAGGAAAATACACAATGTGAACTCAAAAAGATGAAAAAGTTTTAATGGAATTTAATATATTGAAAGCATACACAAGTGGTTTTTTTTTTTTTTTTTTTAGATATATACAAGAGTTGATACATTCTTGTACAGCCACTAGTACGCATAGCGTTTCGGGCAAGTCCTTAATCCTATGGTCCCTGGAATACGATCCCCTGCCGCGAAGAATCGTTTTTTCATCCAAGTACACATTTTACTGTTGCGTTAAACAGAGGCTACAGTTAAGGAATTGCGCCCAGTAAATCCTCCCCGGCCAGGATACGAACCCATGACATAGCGCTCGCGGAACGCCAGGCGAGTGTCTTACCACTACACCACGGAGACTGCAAGTTGAATAAAAGAAAGTATAGAACAAAAATGCAGTATTCATAAAGAGAATGTAGTTTCCTTTATGAAAGCAGGAAATCCTTCTAATTGAAGTGTAAAGAAAACTCAAATCCAATGTATAAAGATCTTACAGTAGGAAGTAGTCGTAAGTCCAGTGTGCTCACAGTGACTCTCACATTAACACCTTCAAATTAGCTATGTGAAAGCAGGCAACAAAGCCCCTAACTCTTACTAAAAGAATAGTAAAAATAATGGGCTGAAAAAAAAAAAGAGGCCATATAATAATAATTTTTGTTAGGTTCAGGATGCCTGTACTCAGGCTTGCCGAGATCCCACTAGGCCAACTACTGACCTTTGCCTGGATGCAACACAACAGTTGCTTATCTCCCTGGTACTTATTTACTGTTAGGTGAATAGAGGCATCAGGTGAAAGAAAATGTAAATAGATACATCTCCTGCCTAGGGACTGAATCCGAATCTGTCGATTGTAAGCTGAGGATCTACCAAAGGTTCGAACATTCATGTGTGGTACAAGTTATGATCACCACGATATTCTATAGTTCAATAGTGATTACATAGTTAACAACTGTGTGATTTAATAGGCATCTACCTGTTGTTGGTTCTGAGACTCAATGCCCCCACAGCCCCATCTCCAACCACACTTCCTGGTAGGTAGTCTAGTCAGTCAGACTATTAGATGCCGCTCCTTGAAGTCTGAGGTACGAATTGCAGCCCAGTTGATCAGGTATCGTGTTGAGGTGTTTATCAAGTTTTCTTAAACACAGTGAGAGATAGCAAGTTAGCCCCCTTATGCTTAAAGGAAGAGTATTGAAAAACATGGACCCATAATGCTAAAATATATTGCGGTAGTTCATTGTGCACCCCATACTCGTTCTGCAAGTGATAATTAAGGGGGATGTAATTGTGGAAAATGACCCTACTGTGGGCCACTTAATTACAATTAGTACCAGTTAGGAAAATGGTATATCTACGTTTATTTGTTAATTTTTTAAAGCAGTTGAGGAATTCCTGAGAGTTGTTGAATTTGTGATGGGTTTGTACCTGTAAAATATATAAGAACAAATTCATAAGGGGCGTGATGAGGGTTCGAACTTACACCCGGGATGATCCCAGACGCTGCCTTAGTCGACTAGGCCACGACATGGTCAAATTTATTTCTTGTGGATTTGTTCATTTGATGCATCACGCTATTGTGATTTGTGTGTATAAGTATATAAGAAATTAAGAGTGGTTGGGCGACGATGATATCACTTTTATTATTATTATTATTTATATATACAGGAGTTCTTACATTCTTGTACAATCACTATCACACACAGCATTTTGGTCAAGTCATTAATCGTAATTTTCCCTGGTTCTAATTTGTATTTTGTAATGTAATTGTAATTGTAATTTTGTAATTGTAATCTAATCGTAATTTTCCCTGGTTCTAATTTGTTGTCAAACAAATCGTTTGACAACCAAGTACCCATTCACTGCTTGGTGAGCAAAGGCCTACGGTTAAGGAACAGCTCCAAGTAAATCTTTCCCGGCAGGATACGAACCTAGACCAAAGCCCTCGTGAAACACCAGGTGAGTGTGTTTTCTGAGGTTGGAAGAAAACGTGCTCAGATTGGGGACTTGTTTATTTTATAATGGTAAATAATAAATTAATATATAATAAATTAATAACTAGTAAATTAATTATTATTATTATATAATAAATAGTAATAAATAGTATAATGATAAGCAATTATTTTTAATGAATCAAATAGCTAATTAGGATGAATGATAAATAATTATTGACTAGTGCATATCAATAAAGTATTAAGGAATAATTATAATGAATAATCCTTAATGATAAAGTAGAAATCAATTACAATTAATAACTACATCCATAGGTAGTAAATGAAAGTTGCATTAATTTAATTACAATTCATGGGAATATTTCTTAGCTATCTGCAGGCTTATCACTTTGGGGGTTCCGGCGAGGCACCCCCAAAGATACAGCAAATGCTTAGCATGCTAGAACAAGTGCCCCTTGAGCACGTCTGTGGGCCGTCCCTTTCAAAAATAAAAGAGGATGCAGAGGATCCCGGGAGGAGGGTGGGCGTTTTGTAAGAGAGCAGCTGCTGGCTTGTCGGGAAGAGGGGCCACGCAGTCTGCGTCTGGATTTATATAACCTCGGCTTGTTGCGCGCGCAGCTTGGGGCGGTTAAAGTCAGCTTCCAGACATACGTTTTCTCTTCCCTCAGAAAACCCACCGTTTTTGGGAAAACAGTGTTCTTTTCTCCGTGGCCACGGGGACTACTGGGACCCAAGGTTGACTTTAACGACGTTGATAGAGTAATGAAACTACGTTGATTTAAACATTAATCAAACATTTTTTTTTTTTGAGATATATACAAGAGTTGTTACATTCTTGTACAGCCACTAGTACGCGTAGCGTTTCGGGCAGGTCCCTGGAATACGATCCCCGCCGCGAAGAATCGTTGTTACAACCAAGTACACATTTTACTGTTGAGTTAAACAGAGGCTACAGTTAAGGATTTGCGCCCAGTAAATCCTCCCCGGCCAGCAGGATACGAATCCATGACAAAGCGCTCGCGGAACGCCAGGCGAGCGTCTTACCATTACACCACGGAGACTGTAATGTTTATATGTTTATATACACCGTATTAGTTATATTGAAGGGAAAACTATATTTGAGTTGCGAAGGATTTTTTTTTAAGAGAAAGCGAATATAAATAATTGAAGCTATGAAATACTTTTACCTATATAGTATATTGTTAAGAGTATTTATAGAGTGGGAGGCTCACGGATAGTGTGTTGTAACTGCCAGTGGTGGGTGTGTGGTGAGTGTAGTGGCTGCCAGCGGTGGGTGTGTGGTGAGTGTAGTGGCTGCCAGCGGTGGGTGTGGGGTGAGTGTAGTGGCTGCCAGCGGTGGGTGTGGGGTGAGTGTAGTGGCTGCCAGCGGTGGGTGTGGGGTGAGTGTAGTGGCTGCCAGCGGTGGGTGAGGGGTGAGTGTAGTGGCTGCCAGCGGTGGGTGAGTGGCGAGTGTAGTGGCTGCCAGCGGTGGGTGAGTGGCGAGTGTAGTGGCTGCCAGCGGTGGGTGTGTGGTGAGTGTAGTGGCTGCCAGCGGTGGGTGTGTGGTGAGTGTACTGGCTGCCAGCGGTGGGTGAGTGGTTGTTATAAAATTGGTGGTGCTGCTATGGGGGATCTAATATTAAATAGAAGTAGGGGCAGTAGTTAGAACAGTCTCCGTGGTGCAGTGGTAAGACACTCGCCTAGCGTTCCGCGAGCACTATGTCATGGGTTCGTATCGTGGCCGGGGAGGATTTACTGGGCGCAATTCCTTAACTGTAGCCTCTGTTTAACGCAACAGTAAAATGTGTACTTGGATGAAAAAACGAATCTTCGCGGCAGGGGATCGTATTCCAGGGACCTGCCCGAAACGCTAGGCATACTAGTGGCTGTACAAGAATGTAACAACTCTTGTATATATCTCAAAAAAAAAAATAAAAAATAAAGATGTATCTCTGGCAGTGGAGATCAGTAAGCCCCGGCCCCCAATTAAAACTATACAAAAGTAAACTTAGTGGCTTATTACTGCAATTGTCAGCCTAGAGGTTGATCATAGATCTCCTACACAGGATGAATGGATACTCCTTTAACTAACTTACTTATTTATTAACCCCTTAACAACCCCCATATACATTCACACCAATAACAATAATAATAATTACTTTACCACACTATCTTACGTTAAAAGCCTTGGTCCACATAAGCAGGATACAAGGTTTACACTCAGAACAAGCTAGGGTAAACTACTACTAGTGAAGAGCTAGAAGCTGAGTCAGCTTAGGGTAGGGAGACCACGTGGTTCCACTGGGACCCCTTTTAGAATAACTAGTAATACACACACTAGGAACACCTAATTCATACAAAGTATAATACTCTACACATTAGAACACGCCTATGCCAGACAATGAGAACGTTACACAGTATACTTAGCTGGGTATCAGCGACACAGAAATAAAGAAACGAGAGAAGGGAGAGGAGGTCCCTTTCACCACAGCCAGCCAACAGAGAAGAACGCTTCCAGCGACCAGGAGCCAGATTCATGAAACAACTTACGCAAGCACTTACGAACCTATGCATCTTTTCTCAATCTTTGGCGGCTTTGTTTCCAATTATTAAACAGTTAATGAGCTCCGAAGCACCAGGAGGCTGTTTATAACAATAACAACAGTTGATTGGGAAGTTTTCATGCTTGTAAACTGTTTAATAAATGTAACCAAAGCCGTCAAAGATTGAGGAAAGATGTACACGTTCGTAAGTATTTGCGTAAGTGCTTTCGTGAATCTGGCCCCAGCAGCTCAGGGCTCCCGCCTAGTGTGGTGCCGGGAGGAGCCTAATTGATCGTGCAGCTAAATACATTAAAAATCTTCCCCTATGCATCATATTGTTACTTCACTCGTTCTCAGGATAGTTAATCTTATAACAATGTTATACTTAATCCACAACAAGCTCAAGAGTCTGAATGCTTGTGAGCAACAAGATTCGTCCTACGTTTGGCAGGGAAGATACGAACAAAGACGCATCGTGATGCATTTTCCAATACTAAAAGGCAATTTATTAGCTCAGTTTTGATCTCTGGTTTCCACTGAGGAACCCAGGGTCGTAACAGTGGTGTGTGTAGTGGCTGCAGTATGGGCGACTGAACGGGGAAGAGCGCAGCGCATAATCTCGTGTCTTAACCAGCACGCGGGGTGTTGCGGTGTTGCGTCTCGGAGGGTCCGGCACGCCGTCCCATGCCGCCTAAGTGAAGCTTGAAAGCGGCCACTACCCATGAAGCCCGGGCCGAAGTGGCAGGGCCCGCGACGGCATAAATGGGGTTGTCGGAAAAGGCGGTGGGTGAGAGGTGAGTGTAGTGGCTGCCAGCGGTGGGTGAGTGGTGAGTGTAGTGGCTGCCAGCGGTGGGGGTGTGGTGAGTTTAGTGGCTGCCAGTGGTGAGGTTGTGGTGAGTGTAGTGGCTGCCAGCGGCGGGTGTGTGGTGAGTTTAGTGGCTGCCAGTGGTGAGGTTGTGGTGAGTGTAGTGGCTGCCAGCGGTGGGTGAGTGGTGAGTGTAGTGACTGCCAGCGGTGGGGGTGTGGTGAGTTTAGTGGCTGCCAGCGGTGGGGGTGTGGTGAGTGTAGTGGCTGCCAGCGGTGAGGTTGTGGTGAGTGTAGTGGCTGCCAGCGGTGAGTGTAGTGGCTGCCAGCGGTGGGTGAGGGTGTAGTCTTGCAGCGTCCCACCACTGTGCACAGTACACCATACACACACCATAACATGGCAGAGAACAGTGGTGAAGTGTTCCTGTTTGTGTTGTATTATTACAGAAAGTTGATTGGTATTTGTGATAGTGTTATCAAGTATGTGATCGCCAAGTTTGTGTCAATGTTGACGTGACAACTGTTTCCATAGTAATAATGAACTGTATACATTTCAATATATAAGACTAATATAGTCTTATATATATATATATATATATATATATATATATATATATATATATATATATATATATATATATATATATACATTATTTTTATTCGTGTGTTTGTAAATATATTTTGATGTTTTGCAATCATACATGTATTGCTCGTGTGTAGTCTTCATACCGTGTGTAGTCTATTCGTACATTATGCCTAAGAGGCCAAGTTGCCTAACAAGCCGAATTAGCCTGGAATATTGTTTCACAATTTTTTTCTTTTATAATGATAAAGCTTTCTATTGCATTATATGTCATTTGAATTTTTGTTTAACTGAAGATGAAACTAAAAGAAATTTTATGAAACCAAGCCAAAGCTAACCTAACTAAATTGCTAATTCAGGTTTTAATATATTAGTATTAATTGAAATTAACCATTTTGGAAAGAAATATTTCAAAATGGCGAAATTCACTCTGTTTGTTACGTAAATCGGGTCTTGCATTCTAAGTCAAGTACTGCAGTTCTGGCATTTAGCTAGAGTGTAATGTATGCACTGTATATCGTACTGTATATATAAATGTAACGTGGAAAGTTGTAGAGGAAATAACGCATTTAACCACGACGGAAAATTGGGTACGATACTTTGTTGTTGTGAGACATGGAGCAGCGCTGCCATCCGCCGCCCAGTACGGTACTGGCGGACATACGATCACTACCCTTTATTACCCTCAACTATGGTCACACTCGAGACACGTGGCTTAGAATCGACCGCTGCGGGTTTCCAGTGGGTGGTATATAGTTACCGCAACTACAGTTGCAGGAGAGATGGAGGAGGAGGTTACAGCACCTGTGTACTATTGCACCATGGCAGGATGTTCTCCTCTATGATAACTATTTGTTGATACACAAACCTCATTGTTCACAGTTACATGGTTGGATATTGTTGGTCTGGATGTGCTCCAGTGTGTCCTTGATACCCCGACGGAGCAGGTCCTAGTAGTTTTGTTTTTAGTTTAGTTTAGTTAATTTATTATGCACCCCCATATCCATGTTGTGGGCGGTAGTGGAAAGGGTTACAAAGGCACATAATGGGCTCAGGGACTGAACCCCACAATTCAATGCACATCGTCACATCAACGATGGGCTCGAGACCGACCACAAGTACAGTTTGTAAATTAAGCAACTGACATATGTGGAGAGCTAGTGTCACAATTGATATGTTTGTCCTGCACACCGCCCCCCATCCAGTGGGCAGCGGTGGATAGGTTACAATCACTTAGTTACTACCTACAGTTAGATAGGTTACAGGTTAGTTACTACCTACAGTTAGCAAACTGGGGATATTTGGCTAAAATTTCTGGTGGCAGATCATTTGGATGAAATATTTACACATTCCATTAACATTTGTTATAGACTTGTCTCTGAAATCACGTATCTTTCCGCACTCCATCACATAGTGACGGAGGGTGTGCGAATAATTTAGCTGACAGTTTACATTTGGTCAGGTCTACATCAGTAGGTAATGAGAATTCCCAGAGATACTTGTAACCGAGTCTAAGCCGAGCAGTAGTAACATCTATATACTTATATATAACTCAAATATACTCAACTATAAACTCAATATACTTAGCCCTTGCCAATATGGCTTCAGACCCAAAAAAAGCACTAACGATGCACTTATTAGTATGCTTAACTCGATTCATACAGCTCTTGATAAAAAGGAGCTCCCTGTTGGGTTATTTGTGGACCTGCGTAAAGCTTTTGATACTGTCAACCACCAAAACCTTCTTCTTAAACTACATCATTATGGAGTCAGAGGACACTCCCTACAATACCTCGAGTCCTACCTTACTGACAGGCTCCAATATGTTTCTGTGAATAATACAATTTCTCCCACCCTACCCATCAACATTGGTGTTCCTCAGGGCAGCATACTTGGCCCTCTCCTCTTTCTCATCTACATTAATGACCTTCCAAATGCCTCCCAACACCTCAAACCAATTCTATTTGCTGACGACACAACCTTCATTTACTCCAGTCCTGACCCTCTTGCTCTAAATGCCACAGTAAATACTGAGCTAAATAAAGTCCATCTTTGGCTAACTGCCAACAAACTCACCCTTAACATTGACAAAACCTTCTATATTCTGTTTGGCAATAAATCCTCTAGTCTTATAAATCTCAAAATAAACAATACCCAAATTTGTAACAAATTAGATGGCAAATTCCTTGGCATTCTCATTGACCACAAGCTGAATTTCCAGGGACACATTCTAAATATATCAAAAAAAGTTTCAAAAACTGTGGGCATTCTTTCTAAGATCAGATATTATGTACCACGCCCTGCTCTGGTGACTCTCTATTACTCCCTTATCTATCCTTATCTCAACTATGGTATTTGTGCTTGGGGTTCTACTACCCAAAATCACTTACGTCCTCTAATTACCCAACACAAAGCCGCTATTAGAACAATATCCAACTCTGGCCCCAGACATCACTCGGTACCCCTACTCAAATCTCTTAATATGTTAGATATTAAGTCACTGCACATTCTCTCATGTGTATTATACATATATAAAACGCTAAACTATAATGCCAATCCTGATCTTAAAAGCTTCATAGAAGGTTGTAACAGAACCCATGAGCACCACACCAGAAATAAATACAGTTTTGATATTCCTAGAGTACGTCTTAATCAAACTAGAAATGCTCTGCAAATCAAGGGGCCCAGAATGTGGAATGACCTTCCCAACCATGTTAAAGACTGTACCTCTCTCAACCAGTTTAAGATAAAAACTAAACACTACCTAATAAATTCCCTGTAATCTACCTCACTCCTCTATTGTCAATCCATGTCTGTTATTTTCTTTTTTTTTTTTCTTTTTTTTAATCAACACTGTTTGTCAACCTATTGTATTTGTGCTGCTTTTTCAGTCATGTTCCCCCTTTTTTTTTTATCTTTATTTGTATTTGTTCTCAACATCTTTTATTCTTTATGCTCAATTAGTATTAAGTTCTAGATATTAATGTTTTTTCTTGCCCGAAACGCATTGCGTAATAGTGGCTTTAGGCATTGTATGTACTAGCTCTATCTATATATCAATCCATTAATGTAACATCACTTGTATGTATATACCTTACCTGAATAAACATCTGAATCTGAATCTGAATCTAGTTGTCTGCTGATATTATTGGATGATCCATAGATGTGTGGCTCCTCTTGCATGATAGTATGATGATGGATGGAATTACTGGTGTCAATTTCACTTTACCTCAGATCTACAAAATTTTGTTGAAGTTCTTGGTGTACTATTGTTCTCAGACTGCTCATTGACAATCCAAGGTTATACTCAATTTCTCCTTTAAAGGCAGATTGTTTGGCTAACTCATCAGCTCTATCATGCATTCGAAGGCCAACATGAGATGGACTGTTTTACCATCATTAATAATTTTGTTGTATTTGTGTCTAGCTTCGGACACGAGCATGTTACACTTGTGTCCTGGAGAGTTGAGTGCAATTACGGATGATATACGCTTACAATTAATGTTGAGATAAAGCTTGGAGGACTTGAACAAATGCATGTCCTAGTGGTGGTTTAGGAACTTTTTTCAGGGAAAGTCCTGCGCGGGCCCTAAGCCTAGCATGTTTAGGGATGTAAATTCAGCGAACCCAGCCCAACCAGACCATCACCAGATATATCCTCACAAATAGCACCCAAATACTCGACAATACATCGACAACAGAAGACTGGGCATGGGCGAGACATTATACATGAGGCTACACATCAATAACCAACTACCACCATATTACACTGTCAACTTCCAGAACATGACAGAACACACTACACGCTGCACCAGTAGAAACCGTCAGTAGTTTCAAAGCGTTATAAAAAAAAGAGTACAAGGAAGACCGGCCACCACAAGTGTAGCTCTCATCCTGTAATTACACGTAGTAATTACTTAGGTTAATTACCAGCCATCATGCAAACAGGAGTGACAAGATACAGTGGACCTATAAGTGATTATAATATATATATATACACATTATATATATATATATATATATATATATATATATATATATATATATATATATTAGTATATTTTGGTAGCAGTCTTTCCTGTAGACATATATTATTAAATATAACCGAAAAAATAACATTAATAATTCTAACAATTAATGTGTCAACACAGAATTCTGTGCTGCGTTTCACTTACGAGATGGAGAAGGATGGGAAGCTGCCCTTTCTAGATGTAACAGTCATGGAAAGGAGCAGAGGTTTCCACACTGCAGTCTACACTAAGGAAACGAACATAGGAATGTGCCTCAATGCCAACAGTGACTGCCCAGACAGGTACAAGAGGAGTGTTGTTAACGCTTATGTCGACCGTGCTCTCAGCCACAGCTCAGGATGGAAGCAAGTCGATGAAGAACTCTGTAGGGTAAGGCAGGTCCTAGTCAACAACGGCTTCTCCAATGGTTTCGTTGAAAACATCATAAGAAGGAAGGTGAAACGCCATGCAGCCTCTGAAGAGACAACTAACACAACACCTGTACCCCCTATTAGACTATTTTACAGGAACTTCTTTTCCACAGCTCATAAAACGGAGGAAAGGGTCCTGAAAGATATTGTTAATAGGAACGTTATCCCTACAGACAAAAATCAGAAGATACAATTGACGATTTACTATAAAATAAAAAAACGGCCAACCTACTCATGAGAAACTCTCCAGACACAAAGCAGAACGCTTTAAAAGAGACCAATGTCGTCTATGTCTTCAAATGGCCACTTGGGGACTGTAAGCCTCAAAAAACTCAGTATATAGGCAAGACAACAACATCTCTTTCCAGGCGATTAACGATGCATAAGCAACAGGGCTCTATTAAGGAACATATAATCTCTTCCCACAACCAGACCATCACCAGAGAAATCTTAACAAAAAACACGGAAATCATCGATAGATACAGCGATAGCAGGCGGCTTGATATCTGCGAGGCACTACACATCAAAAAGTCAACACCAGCAATCAACAGCCAATTAATGCACAACTATATTCTACCCACTTCAAGACTCCGCACCAATATAGAAGCATCAAGAAATATGGGCCAATAGGCCCATTGCAGTTACTTCCATTCTTCCCTTTAACTTACCCAATATTATACCCATTGTTTCGTGTTCTGTCTTGTGTTGAAAGTTTGTTTTCACCTCATCCAAAACTGTTGTAACATATTGTTACGGCCCTCTCGGGACGCAACGGGGTTCTTACTCTGATGTTGTTAGAGGAAGTTGTATCCGACCCCAAGCCAGTAGTGGCTTTCAAGGGATGTGATCCGTGACGCAAGTAACTTAAAGGGGAAGGGAAATAAAGGCAAAAACTTAAGATTATAATTATTAAACCATCACCAAATAAATAATATAAGATTACACAGGGGGAAGGGTATTAACACTGTACACAATCGTCTTCTCCTGAAGACTCTGGATCCAAACTCTCGGTGCTAAGTCCTCGGTGCTTTCGTGGCCTCACAACGAATCCTTTGAGAAGCTGAGCCTACCCTGGCCACAGGTCCACTGGGGGCACCGCCGTGGAGGCCGTCAACCACAAGTCCAGCAGGTCTGCTGGCAGGTTCTGGACCAACCACGCTGGTAAGGCCACTCCACGAGCGATATTAGGGTAACGCCCTAGTCAGGAGCCTCGTGTGATACCACAAATCACTCTCCTGTCCTCAATACCCCAGTGGATAATCGCCTCCAGCAGTCGGTCCCGGGTAATCCTTCTACTGCCACTCCACTGGCAGGGTAACACCACAGTGTTCTTCCGGGGGACGACTTCACAGCTGCTGCAGCAAAGCACAAGGTATGGAGACGGCTGCCTTGGGTAGACTGACTCAACTTCCATCACAGCAGTCCCAGGTCGACTCTGTAAGCAGACACGTCATCAATAACTGGGACACACTAAAACACCTCACTTACAGGCTCAGACACAAACGCCCGACATATCCACTTCATAGATGGCGTTGTAGTCTGAGCACCACCTCACCAGAGGTCAGCAGCGGCTGTGTTGAGCGCTGAACAGGACTGGAAACTGGCCCTCGAGGCCAGTACACGTCGTCCTCACCAGGTGTCGTCGTCCGTTTGGAGGGGGGTTTCGGGAGCTGACCCACAGATGGCGCGGTCGTCACTGCTCCGGGCTCGGACGCTGGATCCGGGTTCGTAACACATATCACCTCACCCAAATGCAGGTATATAAAATAAAAGGTTAAGATAGGTTTAAATTATTACGGGCTATTCATGCCCGTGCCACCTCTTGGGTGGCTTAATCTTCATCTAGGTTTAAATTATAGCATAGTAGAACTCTGTTTAGTGTTTGCAGGTTATAGTTGTGTGTGTGTAAACTAAAGTCTTTGAAAATGTAATAAGTTATTACGAAACGCGTTCAAGTGTCACGTCAGACTAGAAATAAAAATGAATTTTGGAGAATTGATTTTTCAATTACCATCGACAGTGAAAAGAAACATAAGAAATATTGAGAAAATTCGTGTTAGAATTATTAATCATACTTTTTCGGTCATATTTAATAATATATATATATATATATATATATATATATATATATATATATATATATATATATATATATATATATATATATATATATATATATGTGTGTGTGTGTGTGTATATCACGAAAATAAACACGTGATTAAGAATGTGACAATGTCAGACCACGGAGGAAAAATGAAACAGGAATTTCCTTAAGTACTTTCGTATATTAAATACATCTTCAGAAGGTCACCTTCTGAAGATGTATTTAATATACGAAAGTACTTAAGGAAATTCCTGTTTCATTTTTCCTCCGTGGTCTGACATTGTCATATATATATATATATATATATATATATATATATATATATATATATATATATATATATATATATATATATATATATATATATATATTTTATTAAATATGACCGAAAAAGTAAGATTAATAATTCTAACACGAATTTTCTCAATCTTTCGTACATTATGCTTCACTGTTGGAGGTAAATCAAAAATCACTTCTCCAAAATTCATTTTTATTTCTAGTCTGACGCGACACGGGCGCGTTTCGTAAAACTTATTACATTTTCAAAGACTTCACAAATACACAACTGATTAGAACTTGCGTTTCCCTGATTTTATATCTACATTTGAGTGAGGTGGGAAGGGTGATGTGGCATTACATTTGAGTGAGGTGGGAAGGATGATGTGGCATTAGAGGATATTAATAGGGTATTAAAAGTATCAACACAAGACAGAACACGAAACAATGGATATTGAATAGAAGTGTTTGTAGAAAGCCTATTGGTCCATATTTCTTGATGCTTCTATATTGGAGCGGAGTCTTGAGGTGGGTAGAATATAGTTGTGCAATAATTGGCTGTTGATTGCTGGTGTTGACTTCTTGATGTGCAGTGCCTCGCAAACGTCAAGCCGCCTGCTATCGCTGTATCTATCGATGATTTCTGTGTTGTTTACTAGGATTTCTCTGGCGATGGTTTGGTTATGGGAAGAGATTATATGTTCCTTAATGGAGCCCTGTTGTTTATGCATCGTTAAACGCCTAGAAAGAGATGTTGTTGTCTTGCCTATATACTGGGTTTTTTGGAGCTTACAGTCCCCAAGTGGGCATTTGAAGGCATAGACGACGTTAGTCTCTTTTAAAGCGTTCTGTTTCGTGTCTGGACTTTCCAGACACGAAACAGAACGCTTTAAAAGAGACTAACGTCGTCTATGCCTTCAAATGCCCACTTGGGGACTGTAAGCTCCAAAAAACCCAGTATATAGGCAAGACAACAACATCTCTTTCTAGGCGTTTAACGATGCATAAACAACAGGGCTCCATTAAGGAACATATAATCTCTTCCCATAACCAAACCATCGCCAGAGAAATCCTAGTAAACAACACAGAAATCATCGATAGATACAGCGATAGCAGGCGGCTTGACGTTTGCGAGGCACTACACATCAAGAAGTCAACACCAGCAATCAACAGCCAATTATTGCACAACTATATTCTACCCACCTCAAGACTCCGCTCCAATATAGAAGCATCAAGAAATATGGACCAATAGGCTTTCTACAAACACTTCTATTCAATATCCATTGTTTCGTGTTCTGTCTTGTGTTGATACTTTTAATACCCTATTAATATCCTCTAATGCCACATCATCCTTCCCACCTCACTCAAATGTAATGCCACATCACCCTTCCCACCTCACTCAAATGTAGATATAAAATCAGGGAAACGCAAGTTCTAATCAGTTGTGTATTTGTGAAGTCTTTGAAAATGTAATAAGTTTTACGAAACGCGCCCGTGTCGCGTCAGACTAGAAATAAAAATGAATTTTGGAGAAGTGATTTTTGATTTACCTCCAACAGTGAAGCGTAATGTACGAAAGATTGAGAAAATTCGTGTTAGAATTATTAATCTTACTTTTTCGGTCATATTTAATAATATATTATATATATATATATATATATATATATATATATATATATATATATATATATATATATATATATATATATATATATATATATATATATATATTGCCTAAGCGTCTCCGTCCTGTCGCAGAAATCATTATCTTGAGGAATACTATTTTTGTTTAATGTTGTGTTGTAACTGGCAGGGAGGAGGAGTGAGGACCAGGGAGCAGCACCACCACTCCCCAAGTTTGTGGCCCCAACCGTTGTGACCTCTGAGGGTTACGGTCAGCCCATCACAGAAGTACTGAATGTGATTTCGGTCATGCAGGTTAGTTATAAAAGAATATGATTCTGTTTAACACACGATGCGAGTGCCCCTTGAGCAAGACCTTCAGTGTCGCAATGCTGCTAGAATTTACCCGAGGGACCCTATCTTTAATGGCTTCCAGGGGGACAAGAATCCGGCGGCTGGTCAGAGGTGTCTACCAGGGTAAGGGTGTACTAAGGTTACTGTCTCCGTTTCATGGGTGAGCTGTACTATTTCATCAAAATATTTATAGTGACTCCTATCCTCAGTCACATTTATTGGCCGCTTGTAAGTGATTGCGATGATATTTACAGGAATTTTGTGACAAATCACTGGAAGAGCTGCGACACGAGTACTACCAGGTGACGCCAGCCTGCAGGACGGTGAGAGGTGGTGGAGGTGGACCTTCAGAGTGGCCGGGAGTGCAGTTACCTGAGCAAGACTGCTCGAGGCTGGTGAGTAAGACGAAGGGGAGACCAGTGTGGAGGGAGCTGCGGCAGGGGAGGCTGACCGCCGTCCTCGCCAAGGGCCGCCTCGCCGCCTGCAGCAGCTCCACCAACACAGCACCATCTCTTGCCTTCGACGGAGTGACCCCACTATCACCGCGCTATGACCCGAGTGCTGAGGGCCACACCTCCACGGTGCTTGGAGCAGCACCCTCCCCTGACACGGCCACACCTGGCGCTGGTACTTCACCAGTGTTCGGCGCTTTTGCTACTAGTAAAGCATCTTTATCATTCTCTTTTAGTAAACTTAATATTGTAGGAGAGGGAGACTGGAGCACAACAAGAGTGTATGACAGCGCCGCCTCGGCCGGGTATAACAACAACACAAATGTACCAAAAGACAAGATATTTACACCACAGTTGACCCTCGACCTCCCGACTGTGTTTGGCCGCACGGTGAAGGCAACACAATCCTGGTTTGAAGGTAACTATATTATAAACATTGTTATTAGCACAGTTAAGACTAAATAATAGTAATAATAATAATAATAATCCCCGTTATCGGTGACGTCTTATGGAGGTCCTCCAGAGACAGCTACCGACGTCCCGCAGACTGCAACCCACAACAGTTGCCCGGCTTCCAGGTACGAATTTATCACTAGGTAAATAGCGGCATTAGATGTAAGGAAACGTGCCCAAGTGTCTCTGTCGTGGCCGGGAAGAGGACCCGGGTGCCCCAGCTGTGAGTCAGGAGTCCATATGCTCAATATCACATCGTCTAAGTGAGGCAGAGGCGCCATGCCACTTTTAAAATGGTCCCGGGTTCGGGTCCCGGGCAGGGCGAGACCTTTCCTTACATCTGATGCCTCTGTTCACCCCAGTGATAAATACGTACCTGGGAGATACGGAACTGTTGTGGGTTGCAGTCTGGAGAGAGTCAGCTGGTGGACTAGGGGGGACCCCAGTAGCTGTGACAGGCTACCTGTCCCCGGCCGCGAACAGCTGTACTCCTCAACATGCTTTAGTCTTTTATGTTAAATATTATCTAGATTTGCATATTAATAATTCACGTTGTCCGGGACAGGAAGCCTGTGTATATACACACATATACTTTAGGCTTGTATTGAGGTCCATCAAAGGTGGAACAGCTGACCTCCCCCAACTAACCTTAGTTGTCTAAGTTACTAGTACCTATTAACTGCGAGGTCAACAAAGGCGTTAGGTGAAAGGAAACATGCTCAACCATTCTCTGCCCTGCCCGGGAATCGAACCCGGATCGTCAGTCTATAATTGTTGTTGTTTCCTCACCGATGATATTATGCAGGTGATGTTTAACTTGTACCTGTTATACTCTGCAGAGGAGGGGGGGGGAGGGTGTGTATACTGAGATCTGTTACACTGGCACACTAAGGAGTATACATGCCATTGTCTATGTATACTGAGAGGTATACACCAAGCTTTCTTGTGTGTATACACTGAGTATAATTTAGTCCTTGACAATGGACTATACTTGCTGGTTGGTCAGTATATACTAAAATATACTTGCTGGTTGGTCAGTAAGCTGTTGTGGTGACTTTCATGACCCACCAGAGGTCGATAGGTCTTGGGCCAAATACCAACATCTTGCACAAGTATTCAACAAATCATCATTGTCGTCTTAAGGTTGATCTGAATGTCTTTAAATGTGCCATTGTCTTGAAGACGTGTGGTGTTGCAAGGGGTATAGGTCTTGAGAGTTTTACATTCAACTATCATTCATAATAAACGTTGCATGTAAACTGACAACTGTCAGTGGCGCAGTGGTAACACTCGCCCCGCTTTTCGCGAGCGATTTGGCATATGTTCGTATCCTGCCCGGGGAGGATTGACTGGGCGCCAGTCCTTAACTGTTCACCTTTGTTCACCCTTAGTATGGCTTATTATAAACTGTGGTGGGAGGTGGGGGGCGGGGGGAAGCTCTCAGCCTGCTAACAGAAGTCGTCTGTTCCTATATCCGTCTGTGTAAAAAAAATATATATTAGTCATCAATCTGCTCTTCAAATTTCAGAACCTGCCATAGAGGAGCAGATTTCCTGCCCAGTGTGTATGGAGACGTACCTGGCTGTGACCAGGAGTCCGGTTGTACTGCCTCGCTGTGGTCACACCTTCTGCAGACCTTGTCTTACACGCCTAGAGGAGAGAGGCGGTGTACAGTCTCCTGCCTTAGAGGAGAGAGGCAGTGTACAGTCTCCTGCCTTAGAGGAGAGAGGCAGTGTACAGTCTCCTGCCTTAGAGGAGAGAGGCAGTGTACAGTCTCCTGCCTTAGAGGAGAGAGGCGGTGTACAGTCTCCTGCCTTAGAGGAGACAGGCAGTGTACAGTCTCCTGCCTTAGAGGAGAGAGGCAGTGTGCAGTCTCCTGCCTTAGAGGAGAGAGGCAGTGTGCAGTCTCCTGCCTTAGAGGAGAGAGGCAGTGTACAGTCTCCTGCCTTAGAGGAGAGAGGCAGTGTACAGTCTCCTGCCTTAGAGGAGAGAGGCAGTGTACAGTCTCCTGCCTTAGAGGAGAGAGGCGGTGTACAGTCTCCTGCCTTAGAGGAGAGAGGCAGTGTACAGTCTCCTGCCTTAGAGGAGAGAGGCAGTGTACAGTCTCCTGCCTTAGAGGAGAGAGGCAGTGTACAGTCTCCTGCCTTAGAGGAGAGAGGCAGTGTACAGTCTCCTGCCTTAGAGGAGAGAGGCAGTGTACAGTCTCCTGCCTTAGAGGAGCGAGGCAGTGTACAGTCTCCTGCCTTAGAGGAGAGAGGCAGTGTAGAGTGCCCGGTCTGCAAGACTGCACACTCCGGTGTGTCAGTCTCGGAACTCCCCATTCTCTATACCATTCTTAACTTATCAGAAGCCTACACGAAAGCTAAGGTAAGGAACGTGTTTATATCTACATTTTCCTGCGTTATTTCAGAACACAGCAGCTGTGTATATAATTATAAGTTATGTCTCCATATGAGCCCAGCAGTAAGAGCAGCGTAGTTGCTGTGTACAGTAACATCACCACTAGTGACGGTACGTCACACTTCAGCTGGTGACGTACCTGGAGGCTTAGCATAGTGGGCTACACACTATGACACTCACCCCTTTACCGGCCACTTGGTACAAGGCGTTGGATGTGACTGCGAGATGTCCTCGCCAGTTTTTGCTTTACTTCACTTCATTATTTACTTGAATTTACCTGAGGAATACATTTTCAGGTCACTAAGTAACTAGTCGCTAGTGGTGTCCCGCCGAGGACACTACTAGCGTTAGTGTCCTCGACGGGGACAGGAAGCCAGCGGCCTGTCAAAGATCCACACACAGTGAAATAATAATGTGATGGCTATGAGAAAGTCTCTGGAGCAGGATAATGGGGATGGAGCGAGCGTCCTGCTGGATGACCCAAGGCGCGTCGTTGACCCTCAGCCTAGTGATCCGTCCCGTAGAATCACACTAAAATTCCTTGATTACTCGTATGTAGCAGTAGTAGTAGTAGTAGGCATTCATCAGTCTCAGGAGACTATGGAGTTGCGCTCTGGTTGTCGGTCTGGAGTTTCCTCTCCAGGGCGCAGAGCCAGGGTAGGTTGATATGGAGAAGCTGTTACCCAGGCAGCAGGTCACACCTCTCCACGGCGACGAAAGTCTTAAATGGAAAGGCGAACGCCAATACGATTGGTTCCAGCGCCGTCGCAGGAACTGTGAGTTCCGGGGTTGACCTCGAAATTGGTGAAAGAAGGCACAGGGACTCCAAACCCCAGAGACCTCCGTGGTCGGGGCCGGAGAAGAACCACCCCATCAAGGGCAAGAACGACCCTAGCCTCCTGAAGCAGAGCCTGGGGGCCGCACGAGTCCCAGGAGGTGGACGGCCCGGTCCCGCACCTACGGGTTCCTGGCAGAGGTCGTTACAGCCCTCTTTTACCCGAGGCCGGCCTCCTTCATGACCAAGCAGGAGGAAGAGTGATAATTATTAAATGACTCGTATGTAGTCATTACAATACTAGTACGTGTACCAGAGCTCCTAATCGCTCTGACTCGCGGAAATATTCGATAAGAACGGTTCAAAGTTTGCCGATAGTCTTAACTGTTATCTCTGGTGTCAAGTGTTGCAGTCTTGTGTAGGTCACTAAAACACTTCAGCATTGTCAGGGAGGGGAAAGATCGGATGAGATTTAATGGAGTGATGGGATTGTGAGGATTGGGATTGAGACGAGGGGTTTGATAGGATGGTGGGGGGGGGGGGGGGATTAGTGTTGTTAGTGCTCTAAGCTTCGAAGTCACGCACACATATCACAGTGATTTAATTAAATTTATGTTCAAAACTTCCTCATGTTTCACCCTCTTCCACTGTCCTCTCTTTCATCTCACTCTCCTCGCCACATTCCCACCACCTCTCTCTCCTCTCCCTCTCCCTCCCCGTCTCTCTCCCCTCCCTCCCTCCCTCTCCCACGCCCCTCCCTAACTTTCTCCTCCACAAATCATGGTGCTTGTGTTGCAGGCGTCCGGCTCAGTACTGGAGAGATGCGAGAGCCACGGAGACCAGCTGTGTGTGTGGTGCCGCCACTGTTCAGAGGCTCTGTGTGGCTTGTGTCTTCTGGATACACAACGCCATAAGAGCCATAAGCTCGAGAGGATCATTAACATTGCAGACATCAATAACAATGTAAAGCAGCAAGCCAGGAACTTCTTCGAGTACTCGGAGAATCGACAGAACAAAATTACGAATGAATTACACTTGATCATCAGGAGGATTGTCGAGTTGTGTCACATGAGCAACTCTATTCAAGGTCAAGTCAAAACAGTTTCCGAAGTAATGACAAATTACGGAAATCAAGCTGGAATCAAGCGTTCAATGGAAGCTCTGAGTCAGCTGGGAAATGCTCTCAAGACCTTACATCACGTAACTGGTTCCTTGAGGCGAGGGGAAGAGATGGTAGGACAAGCGGTACAGTCAGGCGCGTCAGATGAGGCAAACATGGACTATATTGGCTCTAGCCGGTTACTGACTGTCAGATCGAACCCAGAGCAGGTTCGAGGATGTGAAGGATCTGACAACGAAGGTGACAGCAGCCAGCCTGAGGGCTCTGCCATGGTAGGAGAAGCCGGCGTCCAAGTTGAGAGGTCTGTCAACGGACTGGGTGCGAATAGTCAGGTTAAGCGATCTTTAGGTGATGAAAATGACAGCATCCAGGTTGGGGAATCTTACAACAGGAGCCATACTGAAGCAGCTGGCAACAGGAGCCAGACTGAAGCAGCTGGCAACAGGAGCCAGACTGAAGCAGCTGGCAGCAGGAGCCAGACTGAAGCAGCTGGCAGCAGGAGCCATACTGAAGCAGCTGGCAACAGGAGCCAGACTGAAGCAGCTGGCAACAGGAGCCAGACTGAAGCAGCTGGCAACAGGAGCCAGACTGAAGCAGCTGGCAACAGGAGCCATACTGAAGCAGCTGGTAACAGGAGCCAGACTGAAGCAGCTGGCAACAGGAGCCATACTGAAGCAGCTGGCAACAGGAGCCATACTGAAGCAGCTGGCAACAGGAGCCAGACTGAAGCAGCTGGCAACAGGAGCCATACTGAAGCAGCTGGCAACAGGAGCCATACTGAAGCAGCTGGCAACAGGAGCCAGACTGAAGCAGCTGATAACAGGAGCCGGACTGAGGTGGTGGCACTCAGGTGTTGTGGCACCATTAGTGACGGACGCCAAATGGGCCTGACCCTGGAAGATGAGCACCTTCACCTGTGTGCCCTGACCCCCTCGCCTCTCCACCCTCACATCACCTTGCAAGTAAGGATCTGCTAGTAAAGATGTACTAGTAGGGTGACAGCAAGTGTGTGCCAGGCAGGGTGTGCTAGTAAGGATCTGGTAACAAGGGTGTGCTTGTGAGAGTGTGCATATAAGGTTGTGCTAGAGAAGATGTGAAACTATCACAACCTGCAACAATGGGCAGGAGCTAGAGAAATTTAGTTTTGAGAGAGAGAGAGAGAGAGAGAGAGAGAGAGAGAGAGAGAGAGAGAGAGAGAGAGAGAGAGAGAGAGAGAGAGAGAGAGAGAGAGAGAGAGAGAGAGAGAGAGAGAGAGAGGGAGGGAGAGGAAGAGGGAGAGGAGAGGGAGAGGGAGAGGGAGAGGGAGAGGGGGAGAGAGGGGGGGGGGAAGAGAAGGAGAAAGTACGTTGGTTGTTGAATCAGGCAACCAGCTACAATTATTGATGTTTCAAGAATAGAGTAGATAGGGATATGGGTTAGAGGGGTAAATTTTGAAGGTTCTCTATAATTCTTACGTTCTCATATACTTATAGGATTGTATGATTTGTAAGTGAAAATGTCATACAGGGTTTAAAACATATATTATGACTTTTGCATGAAAGTACAGGAAGCAACATACCAGTAAATATGTAGGGAAGATCATGTATATTGGATAATGTATTTGTCCAAAACTTTATTTCTGAATACAGAACAGTAGAATAAAGACTGAGACATTGGTAATGCTGAAGGTCAGTCACGGCCCATACATAGACAAGAGACTCAACTTCACCACCCACATACAACACATAGTCAAAAAAGTCTCAAAAGCTGTCGGTATACTTTCTAAAATTAGATATTATGTTCCTCACTCTGCTCTCCTCTCATTATACCACGCACTAATCTAGCCTTATCTTACATACGGTATCTATGCATGGGATTCAACCACTGAAAATTATCTCAAGCCTATCATCACTCGGCAAAAATCTGCTATCAGAATTATAACGAACTCTGTCTTCAGACAACACACAGCCCCTCTGTTTAAGTCCATTATCATGCTAAACATACACTCACTCCACACATTCTCATGTGCTATCTACATGTACAAAACCTTGTTCCTAAATGCTAATCTTGATCTGAAACTTTTCCTTGATAGGTGTAATAGAACCCACGAGCACCACAGTTACAGTTTAGTTCATTTATTATGCACCTCATACCCATCTTGTGGGCGGTAGTGGAAAGGGTTACAGAGGCACATAATGGGCTCAGGGACTGAACCCCACAATTCATTTAGCTAAGCAAGTTACAATATTGATGAGCTAGTTACAAAATTCAATACAAGTCATCACATCAACAATGGGTTCGAAAACAAGTACAGTTTCTAAGTTAAGCAACTGACATATGTGGAGAGCTAGTGTCACAATTGATATGTTTGTCCTGCACACCGCCCCCCATCCAGCGGGCAGCGGTGGATAGGGTACAATCACTTAGTTACTACTTACAGTTAGCAAACTGAGCACCACACCAGAAATAAATATATCTTTGATATCCCCAGAGTCAGACTAAATCTATGTCAACACTCTATGCAAATAAAAGGACCCAGTCTATGGAACTCACTCCCTAATGAATTAAAAAAAAATCCAATTTATGTCGTATTCAAAAGTAAAACCAAAATGTACCTAATTTCATCATCATAGTTTCCTACCTTGTGCTTCAAACTCACACCGTATCTTCCACTTCCCCAATATTAGTACTTAAGACATATATATTCATCTGTGTAATCCCCTCAATTTATATTGTAGTTATATGTTGATATAAAACCTTGCTACAATGTGTCCTTTCATAATAAATAAATAATAATAATAAATATGTTTATTCAGGTAAGGTACATACATACAAGTGATGTTACATTAATGGATTGATATATAGATAGAGCTAGTACATACAATGCCTAAAGCCACTATTACGCAATGCGTTTCGGGCAGGATTCATCTTACTTGATATGTTAGATTACGGACCTCTTCATAACGCTATGCGTGTTGGTGGCTGTACAAGAATGTTAAAATATTAAGCTTATGTAATCTCACAAACCCATTGTACCTTCTTGTGAATAACTTATTATTATTATTATTATTATTATTATGATTATTATTATTATTATTATTATTATTATTAATGCATACATTATTCTGCAGGTACCATTGCTGGAACGTTTTCTTTCTCGAGAGAAGCCAGAAGTTTTCTTTGATCTAAGTGTTGACAATAAGTGCCTGGGACGAATCTATATTCAGTTGTGGGGCGACATGCGTCGTGCTAAACACTTTCTGGCACTCTGCCTCGGCACTCTTGGACCCTCTTATAAAGGCTCCAAGTTTGATAGAATATCTGACCGGAGCCAACCAGGAGAAGTCCTACACTGCAAGGGTTACTCTGATAAATCTGGTCCCAGCTCATTAGGGCTAATGGACAATTTAGAATGGGATGGAAAATACAGACAACTTCAGAAAGCTGGACAACTCATTGCCTCGGGAGGCGGACAAGCTCAAACAGATGGTAGTTTTGGTATATGTACGAAAGATAACTTGTTTAAAACCTTCTCCTGTCCTTTTGGTATGGTGGTGTCGGGAATGGATGTGGTGCGTGAGGCTGTTAATCACGCTGGAGATGTTGTGGTCTCAGAGGTTGGTGCTGTTGCTGTCGATATTAATTGTCAAGATTAATTTAGGTGTCACTTAATTAAATGAATTAAGATTAATTGTCAAGACTCGTCACTAGTGTTACAGTATATTCAGGTAAATTCAGGTTGTTTACCATCTGGTCTCGGTCAGCGGTGTGTGGGTGTAGGGACTTTGGCCTCGGTCAAGGGGTGTAAGAGACCACGTGGTCTCGGTCAGCGGGGTATGAAGACTCTGGCCTCAGTCAGGGGGGTGTGTAGAGACCATGTGTGTCTACACACACTCTCTGTGTCTGTGTGTAAAGACCTAGCTTTGCCCGAAACGCTGTGCGTATTAGTGGCTTTAGGCATAGTATGTACTAGATCTATCTAGACATCCAACTTTCTGATTGTAATTAATTTTGTATGTATGTACTTATACCCGAATAAACATTATTATTATTATTATCAGACCTCGGTCAGAGGATGACGAAACCATCTGGCCTCAGTCAGGTGTTGTAAAGACCATCTGTCCTCATTCGAGAGGTGTACTGAGACCAAATAGAACTTATGCATTACATTATTGACGACAGTGCAGTTTATTCTTGCAGTTTTGTTTTAATCTTGACAATTAAACTGCATTTAATCATTAAATAAAATTATTATTATTATAGGTGCAATTTTAATAATAACAATAATGATTTATTTGCAAGAAGGTACAATGGGTTGGTGAGATTACAAAAGCTTGGTATTTTGACATTCAGGCAAAGCCACTAACACGCATAGCGTTTCGGGCAGGTCGTTAATCTAACATATCTGGTAAGATAAAAAGATACATTGTAGCAAGGTTTTATATCAACAAGTAACTACAACATAAGTTGACAGAGGTGACTACACAGGTAAGGATATATGTCTTAAGTGGAGTACTAATATTGGGGAAGTGGGTAGTACAAGATGCAGCGCGAATTTGAAGCACAAGGTAGGAAACTATGAGGATGAAATTAGGTACTTTTATAATTTACTTTTGAACAGGGCATGGGTTTAATTTTTTTTAATTTATCAAAGAGTGAATTCCAATGACTGGGTCCTTTTATTTGCATGGAGTCTTGACATGGATTTAGTTTGACTCTGGGATATCAAAGACATATTTATTTCTGGTGTGGTGCTCGTGGGTTCTATTACACCTATCAAGGAAAAATTTCAGATCAAGATTAGCATTTAGGAACAAGGTTTTGTACATGTAGATAGCACAAGAGAATGTGTGGAGTGAGTGTATGTTTAGCATGATAATGAACTCAGAGGGACTGTGTTGCCTGAAGACAGTTTATTATAGTTCTGATAGTAGATTTTTGCTGAGTGATGATAGGCTTGAGGTAATTTGCCGTGGTTGAACCCCATGCACAGATGCCGTATGTAAGATAAGGCTAGATTATCCCGTAGTATAATGAGAGAAGAGCAGAGTGAGAAACATAATATCTGATTTTAGAAAGTATACCGACAGCTTTTGAGACATTTTTTGGCTATGTGCTGTATGTGGGTGGTGAAGTTGAGTCTCTTGTCCATATATAAGCCAAGGAACTATCCTTCATGTTTATTGGTAATGTTAACATTGTCTATCTGAAGTTGAATCTGATTTGCTATGCTATGCGTACTAGTGGCTTTAGGTATTGTATGTACTAGCTCTATCTTTAAATCTAACAGAATGTTTGTACTGTAACTCTGCAGCTATGTATGTACTCTTCCTAAATAAACTATTATTATTATTATTATTATATTATTATTATTATTATATTATTATTATTATTATTATATTATTATTATTTGATGAAACAAACATCAATGGTGATCCCTTACTGTCCTTCGTATCACAATTTGTTATATGTATATTCTTGCCACGACATTTGCAAATATGAACGTTAAATAAATTAAAAATATAAATACATAGTTTGTCCTATGTACATTTCTCGTTTTCTATAAATCAATGTGTTTATTTATTTATTTATTTATATATATACAAGAAGGTACATTGGGTTTGTGAGAATACATTGGATAGTACAGTATTTACATTCTTGTAAAGCCACTAGTACGCGCAGCGTTTCGGGCAGGTCCTTAATCTAGCAGATAATTTTAAGTAGGTAATTTCTATCAGAATTGATAAATGATAAAGATACATTGCAAGAGAAAAATGAGATGAGAGAGCTTAGTAAGTATATTAAAGCACATTGTTATATTAAAGCTCTGATTGATTACATTGACAGCTTGATAAGTAATTTAAACAAGATTAATAGACACCATACAGCAGATTGACACCACATATAAGACAGCAATGATCACAATGGTAAAGATGTTCAGATTGGGTACACAAAGATTGTTTATCTGTATCTTTTGCTGGGTAGCAAAAGATACAGATAAACAAGATTTACAAACACCATACAGCAGATTGGCAGCACATATAAGAAGACAGCAATGATCACAATGGTAAAGATGTTCAAATTGGGAACATAAAGGTTGGGAGATTGGGTAGCAATAGATACAGTGCAATTTATAATAGTTTCTCTTGTGGCAAATGTATTTTTCTCATACCGCACACAGGATGGGTATGGGATGCATAATAAATTAACTAAACTAACTTTTTTTCAAGCATAGCTATTTTTGTTGTAAGGATTGGGGGGTGGGGGTGTGGGTGGGTGTGTACTCACCTAGTTGTGCTTGCGGGGGTTGAGCTCTGGCTCTTTGATCCCGCCTCCCAACTGTCAATCAACTGGTGTACAGGTTCCTGAGCCTACTGGGCTCTATCATATCTACACTTGAAACCGTGTATGGAGTCAGCCTCCACCACATCACTGCCTAATTAATGCATTAAACTTGTTAACTACTCTGACACTGAAAAAGTTCTTTCTAAGGTCCCTGTGGCTCATTTGGATACTCAGTGCCCACCTGTGTCCCCTTGTTCGTGTGCCACTCGTGCCATTGGCTGTGTGGTAGGATACTACGTGGGGTGGATTGGTGGGTAAGGGGTGGATACCTCATAAGTCATGTGTGTTTTGGACACGTTATATGAGTTATATATATAGTTTTACTTCTTCAAATTTGGAAAGTTGAAGTCTCCTAGAAGTTTAAGATTTTGATCTGGTCTTTTTAGGCAGTTCTCGACATTGTTTATTCGACTGTTGCATCTGGACATTTGTATACTAGGAGATTTATTGGGCCTTTCTTCATTACTTTGATTCCTGGTCTGATTATTCGAACAATTTGTTGTAGGTAAGTGACCCAGTGAGCAAAATATGGTCGAATATTGTAATATCAACATTATCAACATTGGATCAACGTTATCAGTATAGAACCAACGTTAAATTCAGTGTTACATCAACGTTGTTTTGAGTCTTTAACATACAGACTTACTACCTTGTGCCTCCTATTTACTCTATCATTTATATAAAGATAATTTGGAATGCAAACTTCACTGACAATATACTCTGTAACCCGTCCTCAGACCAAGTCCATTCCATCCAGCGGTCGACCCCAAAGACGCATTCGTCAATTTTAACATGCTGTTCATTCAAAAAAGGAATTTTCTCACATGTAAATTAATATTGTTATATTTTAGCATATTGAGCATATTTAGGCACTGGTCAGGTTAGGTGTTTAGGTTCTGTTGGCGATTATTTGTATTTGTAGTACGTGGGTGAAGCATTTACAGCGTTGCGGTTCGAACAAAATTCGTCAGTGAAGCACTTGTTCCGGAAGTGTTCGAACGTCTACTTCTGTTCATAGACTGTTCAACACGCTTCCACTACACATAAGGGGCATAACTGGCAATCCCCTCACAGTGTTCAAGAGAGAACTGGATAAGCACCTCCAAAGGATACCTGATCAACCAGGCTGTGACTCATACGTCAGGCTGCGAGCAGCCGCGTCCAACAGCCTGGTTGATCAGTCAGGCAACCAGGAGGCCTGGTCGACGACCGGGCCGCGGGGACGCTAAGCCCCGGAAGCACCTCAATGTAACCTCAAGGTAACGTCAACAGTTGTGAGTCAACCCATTCTCGCATAGAAAGATCAAACCTCTTTAATCCAGCCGCCAAACCTCCTGTTTATGAATGAAAAGAGGTTTACACACGACTCACAACTTCCGGAACAAGTGCTTCGCTCACACTCACAACTGATTTCGTTCGAACACTTCCGGAACAAGTGTTTCACTGAAGAATTTTGTTCGAACCACAACGCTATAAATGCTTCACCCACGTACTACAAATGCAAATAATCGCCAACCGAACCTAAACACCTAACCTAACCTATGCCTATATATGCACAATATACTAATATATTATAATATTAATATATATTTGAGAAAATTCCTGTTTTGAATGAACAGCGTGTTAAAATTTATGAATGCGTCTGTGGGGTCGACCGCTGGATGTAATGGACATAAGTCGAGGACGGGTTGCAGTGAGGTGGGGGGAGGACTTCTCATCTTGTCTCATCTTGACCAAACTAAAAAAAAATACACTGAATTATTTGGAATTCGAGTTTTTGAGCAAGCATGTTACTGCTGTAACGCGTTACAATGTGCATGTGGGTACTGAATGTGTTTTACCTAGTATTTTTTCCTGCCACAGATGTGGCCAGACATTTACATTGCTAACCAGCATATATACATTTTCTTCTGTCTTCCATGGGCATGGCTAGAGATCTGGTAGATCACATGTTACCTTGTCTAGTACTGGTAGTTGGTGAGGCACGTGGGGGGGGGGGGGAAGGTGATTACTACCACGGCAGGTAGGTTGGAGGTTGGTGGGGTTGGGAAGGACGGGTGAAGATCTCACAGTGAGGTGGTTTTTACGAGGGGGAAATATAGGTCTTTATTATATAGAGGGGAAAGGTAAAGAGGTATGAAGGCAAAATATACTTTGAACGCGAGTTGGAGAAGGTAACTGCCATACCTGAGAATAGGGGGGGCTATTAGTTGGGGAGGGCGGGCGGGGAAATGGCAGCAAGGTAGGGAGGGGAGGGGGTGGAGGCGGCCACCCGAGGGGGTGGGGTTGGGGGTGTGTAGAAGAGCCTAGAGCAGAAAAGGGACAGTTGAGTCTTGGTGAGCGTGAGTGAGGTTGGCATGTTGAAGGGTGGAGGAGCCGTGATGGTGGCGCCGACCCGCACTGATGACCGCTCGCCGCCGCAGCCTACCACCGCTCACACCTCAGGTAACATAACTCTTGCTTCCGGTGTCGTTCATGTTAATGATCATTACTGCCGACGGTTATTAAGACCACCACAATAACTTACTGACCAACCGGCAAGTATAGAGACGGGGTATACCTCTTGATGTATGTACATACATGTTCAGGATATTTTTGCCCCCTGCTAATGGTAAACTTTTCAAGTACCGTCAGCACAGTAATTCATCCTGTATTTTAAAGGAGTTTTTTGTGGTATTAATTGAAGTTTACGTATTTATGGCAATTACATTCCAAGATTAGTGAAAAAATTTAATTGTTTAACGATAGATTTATCCTACGTTATCGTAAATTACTTTTGCTTTATTTCATGTATTTTAAGCACCAGAGGAAAAGAGATTGTCAAATTATAAGGTGCTTGACTGTGTGTGGGGGGGGGAGCATTATGCCCTTTATGCTTGCTGGTTGACTGGGCCTCGGAGCTCAATGTATATATGGTATTGGTATACCATTCAGTGATACATGTTTATATCCTTAAGTATATGTATATACCCCCACTCCTGTGTGTGTGTGTAAACACTTCAGGAGTTTTTGTTAAACTGTGTTCAGGATATACTTGTTGGTTGTTTAGTAAGCTTTTGTGGTGGCATGATAACCCTTCAGAGGTTGATAGGTCTAAAAGTCCAACATCAAGTCATTTTGTAAACGTTTGTAAACTTTTTGAAGTCCTCTTAGCCACTGGCATGGCTGCCCGTGTGGTCACTCGTCCTTGCTGTCATCATAACCACAGCAAATTCCAATTCAAAATTTTGATTGAAAAGAATGTGTGTACAAATAACATAAGAGTAATGTACAATTGTTGAGACAGGTGATACACATAACAATAAAGCCACTATTTTACGCAAAAAGTTTCGGGCAAAACGTCAAATAATTTAGAATTTTGTTTAATTAATTTAAAGGTGTGAGGGGAGTAAACACATAATAATACTAAGAGGTAAGCTAAGAAAAATGAGAGTTCAAGAAAAATAGCAAATAAATACAATAACAAAGGTGATACTAAATGATGACAGGCATATACTATTACATTATGGAGTCAGTAGTTCTAACAACAGTACAGTATTTTATTTGCATTAATAACAGAGTGGAAATACTAATACGTTGCAGCAGCTGCAACATCAGGATCTGTGGATTGGTACAAGAATTCAATCAACTACGAACCACTTATTTTGATGAAATTGAGCAGTAGAACAGAAGTACACTTACATCGCACGAGGCTTGGATACCCATGTTCATGGGAAATAGGCTTACTGGTTCTAGAAGATGAGAGGAAATGTTAGCACTGGAGAAATGCCCGACAAACCAAAGGAATATTTATCTAACGTAAAGTAAGGGTTCAACTGAGATTTTACAGTGTACAAGTTTTTCTTAAAACCTTACTGAAGCCAATATACGAGACATAAATACCCATACACCGGTTAAGACAGGAACGAGAAGCAAGTAACACTTAGTGCGCCAGCAAGAGGCTTGGGGCCCGCGCTGGAATATCACTGGAAACAAAATGTCCACCACTTTGTGTTTGTTTCCTGTGTGGCGAGGTTAAATATTTGAGGCTGTTCTGGCGCTCCAGACTGTTACTGGACTGGTCTGATGTCAGATGAAGAAAACTGGTCAGGAAGCAGTCAATGGAACAAATTCAAATTAAACCCACACTGAAGGAACGGGTCCATAATTTTTTTTTTTGAGATATATACAAAAGTTGTTACACTCTTGTACACAATGGGTGGGACACAATGGTGGCCCACGTTGTCACACTGAGTGACGGGTTCACAATGTTGGCCCACGTTGTCACACTGAGTGACGGGTCCACAATGGTGGCCCACGTTGTCACACTGAGTGACGGGTCCACAATGGTGGCCCACGTTGTCACACTGAGTGACGGGTTCACAATGGTGGCCCACGTTGTCACACTGAGTGACGGGTCCACAATGGTGGCCCACGTTGTCACACTGAGTGACGGGTTCACAATGGTGGCCCACGTTGTCACACTGAGTGACGGGTCCACAATGGTGGCCCACGTTGTCACACTGAGTGACGGGTCCACAATGGTGGCCCACGTTGTCACACTGAGTGACGGGTCCACAATGGTGGCCCACATCATTGGCTCGCTGTTCACATTCCGGAGGCACAACACCCGCCACGTGTGAGGACACACATCACATCTGAGGCTGATTATGCTGTGGTCAGGTGGTCCCCGGCTTGATACGTCTTGTTTATATTGTAGCCAGATGTTCCTGGTGTGTCACATATATTCCTTAAATATTATGTATACAAATTAACCCATTTACGTTTAACGATTACCAGTTACATGTTGAAATAATGTCATAAATCGTTGCTCTTCTATTAAATGTGCGAAATATACTAATGTGAACATTGAACAAAAAAGTTTAATGCTAAATGTATTCCACGTGAAGGACTGATTACAAGATATATCTACATAACACGAATAACAGAAAGACTTTTGAAAAGCAGCCGGCTTCCCAGGTGTATATAATGCCTAGGCTCAATAATTGTAACGAATTAAAAGCCTAACTTTCAACACTAAAATAATAACTAATCAAAAAGCAATCACCATGCTTGGTCCATATTACGAGAAAATAATATCTTGCTGGCACTATAGCTGTAATACAGACAATAGGCATTATTAACACCATATCGTGCGTCAACAGCTAATTATTATCCGTATTGGAAGGCCTCGAGCCTCGCTAGCCTCCATGCTGCTCCACTGTGGCCGTAACCTTGGCCAGAAAGATATAAATATTCCACTAAGCCACCGCTCAGGGTTGTGTGTGTGTGTGGTTGTGTAATTCTCTAAGGTATGAAGGGAGGCAGAATGGGTAAAGGGAGGCAGCAGTTGGCGTGAAGGGATTAACTTATAGGCTTTATCTTTAAAATATAAATCCTTTATTTTGTCTGGGAACAACGATGTCGGGAAGCCGTCAGAAGTCGTGTTACTCGGATTATCTAAACCTTTACAAATATAAATTTACTCCAGATGTAACTATGAAGTATCTTTAGTTAAAGTTATGGTTGGAAGCTGCGTGTGACAACGGTTTAATTTGTACGCATTAACTGTACCATAAGCGTACCATGTTATACTGTCCAGTCAACTCTATCAACGCCCATTGTTCAGTAGTCACAAAGTGTATATTGGGGTCCCGGCAGTACAGTCGGCTTCGTTCTCCACTCACACTCGAGAATTCCAGGTTCGACTCTTGGGCAGGACAGAAATGGTTGGGCGCCTGTCCTATCGCCTAATGCCCCTGTCCACCTAGCAGTAAATGGGCACCCAGGAGTTAGTCGCCTTGTCCTGGGGTTTCACCCTGACGAGAGTCAGTAGTTCTACCCTGGTTGGGGTTTATTATGTTTAACATAAAATAAAATAATGTGGCTGCTTGTCCATCGACACAATGAATTATTATTTCCATTAAGGTTATTTAGTTTGAATGCTTGTATCCGTAGCGTTGAAATATAGATGTATTTAGTGCAAGGACTAAGTTAAGTCAGTCTCAAAATGGCGTCATGCTCTGCGGGACTTGGGTACAAAGGCTCACTTTACACTTTACAAGCCATTAGCGCGTGATCTGGCTTAGTAAGTGACGCAAAGTAGAGATAAGTGAGCTTGGCCGAGCTGGCGCCGGCGGTACCGTACGCCAGACTAGCGATTGTGGCGACGATACCTTGATGTCGTACACTGGAGAAATGTTTATGAACTGTTGGCACTGCGCAATGAATGGAAGAAGGCAGTAATGGGTGAAGAGGTAGTAATGGGTGGAGGGAGGGAGTAATGGGTGGAGGGAGGGAGTAATGGGTGAAGGGAAGGGTCTGGTTCGAGGTAAAGCTGGAAGTGCGCCAATACAAATTCGCTAAAGGTTTAGCTGTGTGTGTCTGTCACACACACTTGAGGGGATATGAACTATGGCGTGTTCAAGTGCCTTGTGTGTGTGCTTTCATGCGTTGAGTGCCTTGTTGATAGTCGTTTTGATGCGTTTTAATTTAGTTCATTTATTATGCACCCCATACCCATCTTGTGGGCGGTAGTGGAAAGGGTTACAGAGGCACATAATGGGCTCAGGGACTGAACCCCACAATTCATTTAGCTAAGCAAGTTACAATCTTGATGAGCTAGTTACACAATTCAATGTATATTGTTACATCAACAATGGGTTCGAGACCGACCACAAGTACAGTTTCTAAATTAAGCAACTGACATATGTGGAGAGCTAGTGTCACAATTGATATGTTTGTCCTGCACACCGCCCCCCATCCAGTGGACAGCGGTGGATAGGGTACAATCACTTAGTTACTACCTAAAGTTAGCAAACTGGGGATATTTGGCTAATCGTTCTGGAACTAGATCATTTGGATGAAATATTTACACATTCCATTAACATTTGTTATAGATTTGTCTCTGAAATCACGTATCTTTCCGCACTCCATCACATAGTGACGGAGGGTGTGCGAATAATTTAGCTGACAGTTTACATTTGGTCAGGTCTACATCAGTAGGTAATGAGAATTCCCAGAGATACTTGTAACCGAGTCTAAGCCGAGCAGTAGTAACATCTAGTTATCTGCTGATATTATTGGATGATCCATAGATGTGTGGCTCCTCTTGCATGATAGTATGATGATGGATGGAATTACTGGTGTCAATTTCACTTTACCTCAGATCTACAAGATTTTGTTGAAGTTCTTGGTGTACTATTGTTCTCAGAGTGCTTATAGGCAATCCAAGGTTATAATCAACTCCTCCTTGGAAGGCAGTTGAGCGCGTTGAAGACAGGCGTTTAGATGCACTGAGTGATTTACAGTTGTGTGCGTTGGTTATGGTGGTTTTGATGCGTTGAATGCATTGGATTAAGCGTTAATACGTTAGTGACAGTGTAAGCGCGTTAGTAACACCCAAGTTGGTTGGTGGTATTGGCTTGCTAAGTAACTTGGTTTTGATTGTGTTGAAATTACCTGTGGTATAGCTGTGGCCTGTTTCAGTAGTTTGACTTGGGTTGTCGAGCTCTTCCTGCTCCTGTTGTTGAGCTCTTCCTGCTGCTGTTGTCGACCTCTTCCTGCTCCTGTTGTCGACCTTGGTCTCTATGATGGTCATCTGTGTCGAGCCTTAGCAACATATCTCACGAAGGATTTGTTCGCTGTAATGTTCTGTTAAGTGCAATAATGGCCTTTGTCAGGTGCGTCAGTGTAAGTAACGACGCCTGCGTTAGCTTAGTGCCGGTTAGTTAAGCGTCTTTGTGATGAGTTAAGTGTGTTGGTTTTTGAGTGATTAGTTCAGTGTTGTTAATATTGGGGTGTTATGATTTATTAGGTGAATATTCAATAAACTAAGCTAACATATTATCGAGCATGTTGCGCAGCAGTGACATTTCCATTTATATACACAAATTAGTCACAAGCAAATGTCCGCAGGATACATTAATTTAATGACTGTTGGATCTGTTATCTGATAACGAAGCCGTCATGGCTGCCACAGCTGTTGGTGACGTCATATCCTGTGTCATTGCGCTGGCCTACGCTCCTGGCATTATAATGTATTAATGGGAACGGGTGACAGGAGACACAGTGGAGGGAAACCACCTCCCTATAACACTAGAGAAATTAAAGCTAATTTGAATTTTTCGTTATTTTTAGTTCAGTTTATGCTCGCATTTGAATTTGATAATTGGTTCCGTGTTGTCTTTTCAATTAACTTTAAGCGTAATAAATCACTTGTGTACTTTTTAGAAGAGGTACAGCAAAAAATATACTGTGTTTTTGTGTAAACTAATTCAATTATAGTGAAAAAACATTTATAAATAAAGTCTTTGAATTTGAGTTATGCTGCTCCAATTTTCCGACTATGACACTAAATGGTGTTTGGGTACAATAATTATCCTGAACTAAGAGTATATTAGGAAAAATGAGAGGACCTTTGACCAGCCGCCGACTTCCTGTCCCGGTCGAGGCCCCTAGAGAGCTAGTGGCCCTCAGGCAAACATATACACTGAGAACATAACCTCTCAGTGTATATAAGCCGGGCAACCCGTCATCATAAACAAAGGGCAAAGTCCATTCCAGGCACCCACCAAACCCCCAGTTTATGAATGAAAAACGGTTTACACACGACTCACAAGAGATGACGTTCGAACACTTCCGGAACAAGTGCTTCGCTTATGACTTGTCTTCGAACCATAACGCCATAAATGCCACCCCGCCCTCCAGACAGACCCAAAAGTGATTCCAAGCACCCGCCAAACCCCCTGTTTATGAATGAAAAACAGTTTACACACGACTCGCAGCAGATGACGTTCGAACACTTCCGGAACAAGTGCTTCACTGACGAATTTTGTTCGAACTACAACGCTATAAATGCTTCACCCACTTATAATCGCAAACACAAATACAAATAATCGCCAACAGAACCTAAACACTTAAACTAACCAATGCCTAAATATGTACAATATGTTAATATATAACAATATTAATTTATATTTGAGAAAATTCCTATTTTGAATGAACAGCATGTTAAATTTGCTGTATGCGTCTTTGGGGTCGACCGCTGGATGGAATGGACTTTGTCTGAGGACGGGTTGCTGTAAATGCTTCACCCTAACAGTGCACGAGATTCTAGTTTATAATTATGTTAATATATATGAGAAAATGCCAATTTTGATCACGGTACGTGAAAATTGAGGAATGCGTCTATGGGGTCGGCCGCGGCCTGGACGAGCCTAGCCTGAGGATGGGTTGGAGAGCTTTACACTGAACTATGTAAGGGATCAAAGTATTCTTTTAGATAAGAAAAATAAATATTTATATTTAGGCCTTATAATGACTGCCAGTTGACAGTGTTAATTATTCACGCCTTAGTTCCAACACTTGACATATACCATCATTCATCATCTCGACGCATTGACATCAAACATGTGAACATCACACATGTGACCATCACACATGTGACCGCCTTAACAAATCACATGTTCACCACCACACAATCACCAGGTGTAGAATACGTCAGTGATATACGGCATCAACACGCCGGGTACCTACAATAGCCTAATAGTATTGGCGCGAATACTATAATGTATACATATGGTCTCTGGTATGTTTATATACCGTGTCGGTGATACGAAGCCCTTAATTGGCTTGTTAAGGGGCCCTTCTAGCGCAAGAGCGTTGCTGTTACCACCTGGTCACCCATCCAGTTACTGGTCACAGCCGACAGTTTAACCTGGCTCTTGTACTGGGACAAATATTCACTTTAGATGTGATTCGAACAAGTACTTTTAAGTTTACTAGTTATCCAATTAACTAATATTATCTATCGCGCATGGTGTAGCAGACGATCAATATATTGTTTAAATCAAGTCCCAGGGGAATGAGGATAATAATTTATCCTCCAATAATAATTTAGAATATGAAAAAAATATTAAATCAATAGAAAACCGGAACGTTTGAATCCTAAAGTAGGTGGGAAAATACAATTTGTTCGGGTGAAGACGAAGCGGTGTCCGAATGCGTGTCTGCTCCCCCACATGCCTGACTATATATGTGCCTTTCTATATCACTGACTATTTCTGGGGTAGGGAGGAGAGCAGCTGGCGCGAGCACGCGCGCCCTCACACCCTCCTCGCTCCCTGGCTTAGTAAACCACCCACCATTATTACTGTTAGAATTATTATTGTTAGAATTAGTATTATAGTTTTTATTATTTATATTGTTTGAATTATTATTATTGTTGCATTATTATTATTATTATTATTATTATTATTATTATTATTATTATTATTATTATTATTATTATCGGGAGGCTGGGCGCCTCTGTGTGGCAGCCAAGGTAATATATTTCTGTCATCGTGAGCACAAGCACCTCCGTTGCTCATAATCTTTCTCGGATATTCCTATTTCTTATTCTCATTCTCTCAGTCTGTGCTTTTTCGTTATTCCCGTGCCGTCATTATTCCTTTACAGCCTCCCATCCCATAACATTCCTTCACCTTCACGGATGAAGTTGAAGGTCAGAACACCTGCATCGTTTTCACGGTCACGAGGGACGTAACAAGGTAATTTTTGTCAGCGAAAAGGTCCAGTAATTGTCGTCGCAAGGTCACTAGCTCCGTGACAAGGTTGTTACCGTAAAACGGTCACTAGGAATGTCAGGAGTGTGTGTCACTCTGGCTAGTGCCCCAAGTCTACCCCAGTGTGATAAATGTCAGGAGTCTGCGTCACTCTGGCTACTGGCAATACAAACAAGGGGACACAGGTAAAAACTGAGTACCCAAATGAGCCACAGGGACGTTAGAAAGAACTTTTTCAGTGTCAGAGTAGTTAACAGACGGAATGCATTAGGAAGTGATGTGGTGGAGGCTGACTCCATACACAGTTTCAAATGTAAATATGATAGAGCCCAGTAGGCTCAGGAATCTATACATTAGTTGATGGATAGTTGAGAGGCGGGACCAAAGAGCCAAAGCTCAACCCCCGCAAGCACAACTAGGTGAGTACTACATGTATTCACGTGTGGGCGTGAGACATAGTGGGTGTGGATAAGATTTTAGGCGTGATCGTCAGTAAAGATTCAAAGATGGGCGTGATGAATATTTGTGAGTTGGTATATAGATCTAGATGGACATAATAGATATATATCTGGTATACCACTGTCGTTGCCAAGGATCTTCTGTCACCCATCCACTCACTGGCCGAACCTATACACTATGTCATACAATAATTGTACGAGACTGTATGGTAGTTACATATTTATAGTATCACAAATATTATTGGGAAGGAAATAATGCAAATAAAAACAAAAGCTGAAAGTTGGCAACCGTTCTCCGAGTCTGCGCATGCGCAGAATGTTTGTTATTGTTGATGTTTGTCCTCAGGTTCAAGATGGCGCAGCAAGTTGATGAACACACACCCACTCCAACCACAACAACGTGAGTAAATGGTGAAGAATTTGACGAATGTGTACTCATATTGGTGTAAATTTAAAAAAATAACACCTGTGGTCTGTAAATAATGTGTACGCTTGGAGAGGGAGGTCATTTGTGGCCTGAGGTAAATATACTAAAATATGCAAAGTCGATCTTTTAAATCATGTATAAAGAATAATTATATGCTTCAAAACAACTGTATAATATAAGCAGTTGAAAACCAGTAAATAATCATTGCTCTAAGCCTAATCCCAGATTTCTATGTTTTTCTTTTATTAATAATCCAGAGTTCAGTATTTATGCATTTATAATAAACGAAGCCAAGCATGTATAATAAAGTTTTTTGGTGTGGCTATTTTACATTTCAAACTACTCATGAAAATTCTTACATATACATATGTTGTACCTAGTAGCCAGAACGCACTTCTCGGCCTACTATGCAGGGCCCGATTTGCCTAATGGGCCGAGGGATTTTCTTTATTTTTAATAAATTGTTTCCAATTAATTTAAAATATTATTATTATATTATGTTAAGAACATGAATTACTGACTTAGTTATATTAGTTTAGGTTAGGTTAAGCTAGGTTAAGCTAGGTTAGGTTAGGGTAGGGTAGGGTTGGTTAGGTTCAGTTTTATATCTACGTTAGTTTCAACTCAAATAAAAAAAAATTAACTTATACATAATGAAATGGACAGATTTATAATTTCATAAGAAAAAATGGAAAAATATATATTCAGGAAAACTTGGCTTATTAGGCAAATCGCGCCTTGCATAGTAGGCCAAGTATGACGTTCTGGTTACTAGGTACGACATATATATAATATATATATATATATATATATATATATATATATATATATATATATATATATATATATATATATATATGTCGTACCTAGTAGCCAGAATGCACTTTTCAGCCTACTATACAAGGCCCGATTTGCCTAATAAGCCAAGTTTTCCTGAATTAATATATTTTCTCTAATTTTTTTACCTATGAAATATAAAGCTACCCTATTTCATTACGTATGAGGTCAATTTTTTTTAATTCGAGTTTGGTTAACATAGATATATGACCGAACCCAACCAACCCTACCTAACCTAACCTAACCTATCTTTATAGTTAGGTTAGGTTAGGTAGCCGAAAAGTTATGTTTTCATAAGTTAAAAAGGTTAGGTAGTCGAAAAATATTAATTCATGAAAACTTGGCTTATTTGGCAAATCGGGTCATGAATAGTAGGCTGAGAAGTGCGTTCTGGCTACTAGGTACGATATATATATATATATATATATATATATATATATATATATATATATATATATATATATATATATATATATATATATATATATATATATATATATATATATATATGTGTGTGTGTGTGTGTTTGCCTGTAGGCTAAAAGTTGCTAGCTATTATTTGCCGCCTTTCTATCCCTCAGTTATCAAATGTACTGATCTATGCCTAAAGCCACTTTCCTTTCTTAAATGACATATATTTCTCTCATAACACGCACACACAAACACATTCCCAGGATGCTGCTGTCTAACTCTAACTCTAACTGCTGTCTAACAGTACCTATTTACTGCTAGGAGAACAGGGCATCAAGTGAAAGAAACTGCCCATTGGTTTCTTCCTCGGCTGGAGGCTGAAGAATGTTTGTGAACCCTATTTTTGCTGCGTGTTCCCATGAGCCGCCTTCTTGCTTCCCTTTGTTACCTTGCAAAGTTGTGACTGTCTTGGGCCCCTAATCATGGGGCCTCCTGTGTGTCCCTTGCCGAGGTTGTTGGTATCATGTTAGCTTTTTCCAACTATTTGGCAGATCTACCCTGTACGCGATGCACTGTGTATCTAGAGAAGTTGTTTGCATATCTCTTTCATATCCCCTCCTTCACTTGGTGTATGAGAGCCTAATATGGTGAGGTGCTTTCCTCTTGTATATGTTCAGCTCTTGACTCATAATTCAGAAATTCGAAATATTAGTGCTGCGTGAAAACTTATCGATTTTAATGAATATTATTATAAAGGGGTGAAGATGGACTAAAATGTGAAACTTCATACAAAGGCTATCTATTCTTCATACTAAGGCATACATACTATCATTGTTAACCATAAAAATAACGGAATTCGAACCTGTGTCGCTAGATCTTCTAATAAAAGTTGGCTGCCACTGTTGCTTATAAATCATTATTATTATTCTGGCTTCTATTACTGATATTTTCATTATATTTACTACTATTCAAGTTTTGTTTTTTAGTTTAAGACTTACCTTACCTTGAGGTGCTTCCGGGGCTTAGCATCCCCGCGGCCCGGTCGTCGACCAGGCCTGCTGGTTGCCGGACTGATCAACCAGGCTGTTGGACGCGGCTGCTCGCAGCCTGACGTATGAGTCACAGCCTGGTTGATCAGGTATCCTTTGGAGGTGACTTGAGGCAAAATGTTCTACCATCTTGTGAAGCTTAGGATTAATGACCAGTCAACTTTCCACTTTGCTTCTGCGCCTAGAATAAACATCTTAAATTATCAACTCTTTTTATTATCCCTAGCCAGCAGACGTACCAACATCCGCGAGCTATTGCTAGGATTCACAAATTCAATCTTTTATTCCAAAATGGAGATACGAAAACACATTATTTTTAAAATTTAAAGAGCCAAATGGACCGAGGCTTCGCTATCGAGCCAGTGCTATCTAGCGCTCATAACGTCACTAAACTGATGTACTAAATTACCCGAACTTAACCTAACCGAAGACCCACGAATAGAAAATAGGACATCACGTCAATTTTGCTAGCCGCTATGCTATTTGGCGGCTAGCAAAATAACCGACAACCAGAGCGCAACTCCATAGTCTCCTGAGACTGATGGATGCCTACTACTACTTTTACTATGCTATTTAGTACATCACTTTTTGGCCTTAGATCATTGATACGTCAAAATGCACTGCACTGTTCCAGAGGACTGAGTGTGTGCTCCACCTGAACACTCTCTGAACAAGAGGTAGTGGGTAACCTCTTCAACTCTATATTCATGACTGCCTTGTTATCAATGAGCTTGAACCAAATGGCATGAGATACCCGTAGTTTTGTAACTATTTCAATCCCTCACCACTATTAGAAGATATTCGCATAATCTACCCAAAGGTTGCTACTTTGGATTAGTAGACTAACTAAACTCATCCAACTATCCAAAGAGATGGACATATTAGTGGAACGTATAACTAGGTCTTGATCTATACTCTCTAACCTCTTATATAGAATATGTTACCAATACACATGTGTACCTAAGATTGCTAATACAAAAAATGGCGGTGGGGGAATATTGTTTACATGCGTGAGTGTGTTGGGAAGGTTGGCAGGGAGGGAGACAGGACGCTGTTTTTAGCTCGCAGGTAAGATTCAACCTGTCCTCTTACAAAGAACGTCGCATTTCGCTCGTACGCTTTAAACAAGGCCAAAAATTGTCGTATTAGAAAATGGAAGAGGCTCGCGAAAGTGACGTAATGTACCGTTTTCTGTTTGGGGTCCTCTGGTTGGTTAGGAGAGGACACTTTACATTGGCCGTGTTCTTGACGTTGGAGAACCTTAGGACGGACTGGGTGATCACACCCGCCACGGAGACTACGTACACCCACACCTACGAGGTGAAATTAACTTTTTATATGTAAAGTTTCTCTGTTGAGGATAATTTAAACTGAAGGTATAATGTATTTATTCGTTTACCTAAATTTACCATTTGTAGTGACATCGACTAAGACAGGAAGCCGGCGGCTTAACAATTTCATATTTGAAATTGAGGCTACGAGAAGAAATTATCTGACTTTAAAATAATGCAAGATGAGTCTCCATGATAGCCTATCAGTCTGCAGGATGTTGAATTTGATGTGTCACGCTGCATGTACGTCTTTACCTAAACTAAAACTGTAGACAATATTCGTACAGCAGTTCTTGCAAGTTAATGGTGTAATTCAGTTGTAAAAGCTCGCGTACCAGATTTTTTCACTCCCACATTTGACCTTCAACTAAATATAACCTTGGCCTTTTATCTTTATAAATTGTTTTGAAACTAACAATTGTTATTTTCTTCCGTAGACCCAAACATTAAGCGAGTTTTCCAGGTTGCAGAAAATAATAATAATAATAATAATAATAATAATAATTCCAAATTGTAATGAAAGAATATTAACAATTAAAAAATAACATTTTATGCACATAATAAACTGCACTGGGCCTCTCCTAGACATGGAAGTCTTTAAAAAAAATGTTTTAGGTCAAAAACCTTTTGTGATAATGAACGTGTGATGTTAAATGCAGCAACTTGATAGTTTGTTGTAAGTATAGTTTTTAACGTGATGTTATTTTAATTGTATATAAGTGCGGTAAAGACCACAGTGACAATCTTATCAGTCTTGACAAATTTACATTTTTTTTAGATTTAAGAATCTGAACACAGTGATTCGCTCGAGGAAGTAATAATGATGCTGTGGTGGACGAATATATTGAGTACTGTACGAAGCCTGTGTGACCTTAGTATGTCTTGCTTTTACAGCTATGGAGCCGGAACCAAAGCTGGAAGTGAAGCTGGGATTGAGATGGAGACCGAAGCTGGAACCAAAACCAGAACCAAAGACGGAACCTAAACCAGAACCGAGGCCCGTAATGAAATGGAAACCAAAGTTAGAACCAAAGGTGGAACCAGAACCGAAGGTAGACCCCAAGCCGGAACCGAGGCCCCTAACGAAGTGGAAACCAAAAGTGGAACCAAAGCCGGAACCCAAACCGGAACCCAAACCGGAACCAAAGCCTGTAACGAAGTGGAAACCAAAGCTGGAACAAAAGCCGGAACCGAAATCAGAGCCGAAGCCGGACCCCAAACCAGAACAGAGACCTGTAACGAAGTGGAAACCAAAGCTGGAACAAAAGTCGGAACCGAAACCCGAACCAAAGCAGGAACCTAAACCAGAACAAAGGCCCGTAACAAAATGGAAACCAAAGCTGGAACCAAAGTCGGAACCAGTACCGAAGGCGGATCCCAATCCGGAACAGAAACCCGTAACAAGATGGAAATCCAATAAGATTTCAGATACCAAACAGAAATCTGAACCAGAACCGGAACTGGAATCGGAACCTGAAGAAACAAAAGAAGAAGAAGATGCGAGCAGCGATCTCTTGTGTCCTTTGTGTTCGGAACTCTACGACGAGGAGGAGCGGGAGCCCGTCCTTCTCCCTCGCTGCGGACACACCTTCTGCAGGCCCTGTCTCTCCAAGGACGTGAAACGGGGCCACTTTCCATGTCCTAATTGCAGGAAGCGCCATCTGAAGCCTCCCGTCGACCAGATCCCTGTGCATGCGGAACTTTTAGCTAAGGCAGAAGCCTTCAGGGCATCTAAGGTGAGCATCGGGCCCAACTAAATCACAAGTGTTTCAGGGTTCTTTCTCTCTTAAATAAAGTTAAAGTTTGGTCAACAAATAAAGTTGCTTTCCGGGAAATGAGGAAACTTAATTTCCACATTTGGGGGAAGTGGGATTACATAAGTCAGCACTTGCTTGGTTAAACTTTAGTAACCACTTATTGGACCATTCTTTACGTTTGTCCAGGTCATAGTAGTAGTTTCTTGCAGTTGTGGCAGTGACTGTTATCCTGACGGATGTGTACACTGCAGATTGGTGTGTGCAGCAGGCACGAGGAGCCACTGGCCTACTGGTGCCGGGACTGCCGGACGTCGCTGTGTGCCAAATGCTCCGTCCAGAAGGGCCACGACGTGATCCGCACCAAGGTCCTGCTGGCGGAGAAGCGGCGGGAGATGAAGGAACATGGAGTGGCGGTGTTGCAGAGCGTGGAGCAGGAGAAACAGAAGATCCTAGCGAAGGTAAGGGAGTGTTCTCTTCAGCTGCTACGGACTTGCGACGCCAGCGCCCTCGCCGATGACTCCGCCCACGATGTTAGAGATATGTTAGCAGAGACTAAGAGCACCGCTGATCTCCATTACGTGATGGGGAGCCTCATGCGGATGAAAAGTATCCTTGGTAGCCTTGGCAGGAGCTCCAGCGAAGCGGAGCCTGAGGTCAAGACTCCGAAGGTGCGACGCAGGAGGGAGAGGAGAGATAGCCACAGATCCCAGACACAAACCCCACCAGACACCAAACCCGCAACCCCCACCAACACCAGACGGGTAAGGAAAACAACCACAGACTCCACCACAACCACTACCACAACCTCCACCACCAACAATATAAATCAGAGAATCCGTTCTCCACCTCCCAGCGTAAATAAGACCGCTATCGACCCCAACAAAGAGGTGAAGTACGCTCACTACTCGCAGATGTACGGCACTCAGGGCACTTCAGGGAGCTGCAGGGCTGACGTGTCGAGTCAGGGGCCCCTGCTGGGAGTGCTGGACCCCGCCCTGTGGCCCCTGAGGTGCTGCGTCTACGACGACGACGGCAGCAGAGCCAAACTGGCCTGGGAGGATGGACGACTCCACATGTACGCCCTCGGCGACCACATCGACGACGCCCACTTCATGATCAAGGTGAGGAGGGAGGGAGAAAGAGGGGGTGCAGGAGGGAAGAGAGAGGGGGGAGCAGGGAGGAAAGGGAGAAAGACAGGGGCAGGAAGATACAGGGAAGGAGGTAAGAGTGAGAAAGTTAGAGCGGCAGGGATAATGAAAGCGTAGGATGCAGGGAGAATGGTATTGAAAGGGGCAGGGCCAGAGAGAGATTGGAGTAAGCAGAGAGAAAGTGAGATAGAGAAAGGTGTCAAGACAATACTGTGGAGGAATAAAGCATTCTCTCCCCTCACCAGCTGTCGGTGCTGCAGAGCGTTATACCCGAAGACTCTCCGGAAGTCTTCCTGGACCTGACTGCCAGAGGACGTCGTCTGGGTCGCGTCTACATCCGCCTGTGGGGTCATCTCCGGCGGGCGCAGCACTACCTGGCCCTCTGTATAGGCACTCACGGGCCCTCATACAGGGGTGCCAAGTTCGAGGAGGTCTTTTCGAGAGGTTTAAAAGGAGAGTGCCTCCACGCGGGGCCCTATTTAACTCCTAGGGGGGACCTGAGTGCCCAGGGGGTCATGGATAACTTGGAATGGGACGGAAAATATAAAAGTCGGCAGAGAAAAGGGCTGGTAGTAGGCGCAGGTAGTGGCCGGCCGGATAGGGACTCGTGTTTCGATATCTGCACCATAGAGAATCCTAATAGGGAATTTGCCTGTCCCTTCGGGGAGGTGGTTGGAGGGTGGGAGGCGGTTTTGGCCGCCGTCAACCACAAACCGGTCAGAGAGGTCACCATGAGCGAGGTCGGGGTCGTGGTGACTGACCCTGCTCGATCTAACTAGTGATGAAGACGTGTCATTTGCAGACGATGAGTCACAATATCGTGGCTGACAATATCGAGAAATGTCATTATATATTCCCCTCCAGTCACACTACGAGCCGTTCTTGGCGATAGAGTTTGCTGTAAACACGACCCCTCCACCACTCCCCCAGCGTCCTCCAACACTCTCCAACAACTCCCCCAGCACCCTCCACCACTCTCCAACAACTCCCCTAGCGTCCTCCACCACTCCTTCCCCAAGAAATTCCAAGAATCCCAAGAAATTCCCCACGTGCTCATTTATGCTTGTACACCCTCCCTACCTCAGCATATTTCTCTCCTTATCAACGCCACTCCCATCAACCTCACTGGAACGCTTCTGTGGCGACCTTTGAGTACTAATAAGTCACTTCCACTGTGTCTTGGCTATAATCCGTTTTTGATCTACCAGAAATCCACAGAGACTTCCATCCGATCCACGTGGGTACTGGATACGATGGTATCCGTCTCCATGCGGATACTGGTTACGAACGTCAACACGCATTTTGGTGCTTAATGTCTTAATTAATTTAGAAGCCAAATGAGGATATGAAGATTGGAAACATGTGTGGACGAGAATATTTTTAGTTAAAACAATAAATTACATTACGTAGATGTTACATAGAAATTCCCATCGAAAATAATAATTTTACTAAAAAAATAATAGATATATTAATTATAATTTTTGTAGTGAATTATTTTGAAACGTTAACCTAAAAAAAATATATATAATTACTCCGCAACTTATATATATTATTTATCATTTAATTAGTAGGCTATGCCATTATTATAATTATTATTTATTTATGTATTGACCTACGTTGTATAAAAGTTCTTTCAATAAAGTATGTGTAAATGTTGTTTTATTCTTCGTCTGTCGCCTTAGAGGGGGGGGATGGTGGTGGAGGGGGGAGAGGTATGGTGACTAGATAACATAGTGATGGTGGAGGAAACAAGGCATTGACTGAGGATGGGACATGAAGACACGGAAGCAAAACAATAAGCCACAAACAATGACGAATAAAATCAGCCAAACAATAACCAAGAAGAAAGTACACCAAGAAATCTCACTAACATAATATGCATCAATGAGAGGAACAATGTGACTTGAACCCATCAATCGCTGCAGGAGCACCCCGATGGCTAGTTCCAGTCATCTTGTTGCTCCAATTGATTTCCTCGATAAAGAAAATGCTGTAAAACTAATAAAATTACATCACAACAATAAAGGTGAAACATATGATAAGATAAAACCATTATCAGACACCCTCTTTCTCTCTGTCTCGCCCAGATTGCTGCTGCTGCTACTGCTGCAAGCTCTTCCCTGCTGGTAAGTTCCCTGCTGTCGTCTCCCTGACTGGTGAGTGTGTCTTGGTGTAGTGTGTGTGTGTGTGTGTGTGTGTGTGTGTGTGTGTGTGTGTGTGTGTGTGTGTGTGTGTGTGTGTGTGTGTGTGTGTGTAGTGTGTGTCTTGGTGTAGTGTGTGTGTGTATGTAGTGTGTCGTGGTATAGTGTGAGTGTGTCTTGGTGTAGTATCTGTGGGTGTTGGTGTAGTATCTGTGGGTGGTGGTGTAGTGTGTGTATATGTCTTGGTGTAGTGTATCTGTGTCTTCGAGTAGTGTCTCTGTATCTTCGTGTAGTGTGTGTATGTCTTGGTGTGTGAGGAGTTAAGTGTGGGATATTTTGCCATTTCAGGAAACGTCATCTTGCCTTATCAGCTGAGACGATTTGGTTAACATTTAGACATCCTGTCGTGTGTACTCACCTAGTTGTGTTTGAGGGGGTTAAGCTTTGGCTCTTTGGTCCCGCCTCTCAACTATCAATCAACTGGTGTACAGATTCCTGAGCCTATTGGGCTCTATCATATCTACATTATAAACTGTGTATGGAGTCAGCCTCCACCACAACACTGCCTAATGCATTCCATTTGTTAACTACCCTGACACTGAAAAAATTCTTTCTGGCTCATCTGGGTACTAAGTTTCCACCTGTGTCCCCTTGTTCGAGAGACTGTGTATGCGTGCGTGCGTGCGTGCGTGGTAGGAGACACGAGGATGGAGACCAACAATTAAAGTCTTAATATAAATCTTGTGTATCTAGCCATGGACGCTGAGCTGACGTGCGGCGTGTGTTCGGAGACCTACGCCCCGGGAGCCCACGACCCGGTCCTGCTGCCTGGCTGCGGCCACGCCTTCTGCAGGCAGTGCCTCCTCATCCTGGAGAAGACTGCCTCTGCCCCTCTCTCCTGCCCCTACTGTAGGGTCCCTCACGACGGCGCTCCCGTCTCCCAGCTGGCTGTGGTCTTCGCTCTTCTAAACCTGACCAAGAACTTCATTAAATCTAAGGTTGGTTCTTGTTTTAGGAGAGAGAGAGAGAGAGAGAGAGAGAGAGAGAGAGAGAGAGAGAGAATGAATGCTGATTCTCTGGACCCAATCCCAATAATTCATCAGCAGTTTGGAGGGTGGTTGTGATTTCTAACACTACTAATAACACCAATATAACCTCCACCGTCACTACTGCGACACTTAACAAGTGGCGACAGCGGCGGCGTGTGGGCGGGGCTTTGCTACACGTGGACCTCAACAGCTGCCTTGACCACGAATACGCAGAGCTCTTATAGCATTATATTTAGTACACAGAGAGAAGTCACACTAATGTGATTTATCAGCGAGAAAAACCGTAGGAGCCGTGAAGAGGGTTCGAACCTGTGTGGTGGGTGTTCCCCACGCCCGCGCCCCGACAACCAGGCTGCCACATGGTCAAAAGGAGTTTTTATTGTTATTAGTATTGTTTGGGTCCTGTAGCACAGTGGGCTCTGCTCTCAGCTTACAACCGAGGGAGTGGGGCTCAGTCCCAGGCAGAACAGAAACGGTTGGGCAAGTTTTCTTTCACCTGATGCCTGAGTTCATATAGCAGGAAAATTGGTACTTGGGAGTTAGGCAACTGTTGTGGGTTGCATCTTGAGGAATGCCAGTAGTTGGTCTAGGAGACCTGGATAAGCCTAAGTGCAGGCTTCCTGTCCCCGAGAACGGTAAGTATCCTGACAGTGTATCTTACGTGTAATTGTAACACACTGCAAACACATAAATATAATCAAGAGTAGCAAGAATATATATTTGGAGAATAATCAATATGAAATATAAAAAAATAAACACAAATAAAATGTGTAATACAAGAGAGGCCGCGAGACAATGTGTCTGGCTCAGCTGTTATCTTGAGAGTGAGGTGCAGCGCTGACCTGCTACACCGAGTATGTATCACTTACCTGTGAGCATGGACACACGCCGGACACGGGCCATGTGTCCACTCACGAGGAGCGTCCTTGGTGACAGACGCCAGGAGTCCCTTCACTATACCAGGAAAAATACAGTCCCTCAAAACTTCTCTTTGTGTATGCAGACGATGAGTCACAATAACGTGGCTGAAGTATGTTGACCAGACCACACACTAGAAGGTGAAGGGACGACGACATTTCGGTCCGTCCTGGACCATTCTCAAGTCGTTTTTTTTGTGTACAAAGGTTAGTCAAGCTGTGTTATGTCCTACCTCCTGCCAGACGGCTCCTCTGGACAACTGTGGCCTGGTCAGTGGTGTCTGGCCGGACACCACTCGGCTCTGTGCAGTGTTCGAGCCAAGCTTACACCCTCCAGCATGTCGGCGAGACTCTTGGAAACCGTCCGCCTACACTGACAGGCAATTTGTGTACATAAACTATCAGTTAACACAACCTCTCTCCCTCCCTACAGGTGGAGCAGGTGAGGATAATGGCGAGGGCTGACGCGGCCCTCACACTACCACAACTACTCCCACGAATTTTAACCTTATTAACCCTGACATTACGTCCCCCTACCAACAGCACGGCATATGTTCCAGTCACAGCTCCGTAATAGAGTTCTGGTGTCATGAGTGTGAGGTGGTGGCGTGCGGTCACTGTCTCCTTGATGCTCAACACCTCACTCATCACGCCACCATCACTTCCGTCGACCACGTTCTACGGGAGACGAAGGCCCAGGCTATCGACGCCGGTCGTACAAAACTTTCCTCCATCAATGAAGAAAAGTTGAAGTTGTTGGAGAGTCTTGAAAAGGGTATCTTGGCTGTCTGTAAGAGCTGTGAAGATACGAAGGCGCTCAGTGACTCCGCGAAGCAAACGGAAGAGTTGATGGAAGAAGCCAAGAGCTCTCAAGATATGGAGTCTGCCCTCCGTGTCTTGAGGCTGCTGGAGAATGACTTCGAAAGAAAAATATGCCACGACGATAATGATATGGTTCATCACCCCGGCGACAAGACAATGGACCTACCAGAAGATATGGACAGGAAATCGCAAGAACACGATGACACGCACAAGAACGAACAAGAACAAGGTGACAGCCACAGAGCCTCTCAAGATCAGTCATGTGCACCAAGACGATCTTTATCAGATTGCATGAGGACAACGGGCCCTGGAGACCTATTGCAACGTCGGCATCAACGTAACTTCAGCTCCGACGCCTCAATTTCCGGAAGTGAAGGCACGAGCTTAGTACACACAGAGAGAACACCAACCTCGCCAGCTGATTGCAGCACCTACCTCGCGCTTGGAGAGACAAACACCTCGATAGTTAGAGTTTCACATGCACCCAGCGCCGCTTGTGGGGACGAGATTGAGGAACCTCGAAGTATAACTTCTCACACTTCGAGAAACAGTGGAGAAAACTCAGCTGAATGTATAACTCTCGCTACAAATGAGACAGATCAGAGAACAGACACTTTCCAGGCGAGTGGAGGCATAAAATTCACAAGTTCCAGCCGCAAATCGCTGCCACACATTACTCCAGCAACTCTGAGACATCTACACAACACTCCAGCAACTCTGAGACGTCTACACGACACTCCAACAACTCTGAGACGTCCTCACAACACTCCAACAACTCTGAGACGTCCTCACAACACTCCAACAACTCCACTCCAGATATCCTCCGGAAGTTCAGCTCCATCCGGCTTCGCAGACCTGACGACGGAAGAAGTGTCTCAACTCCCAGCGGAGGAAGAGGGCATCATCCATTGCCATTTGGAGGACGTGAAGTGTACCGTGAAGAGTCAAGATGGGAGGGAGGGCAGGATGGAGTGGGAAGGAGGACGTTTACATATATACTGCCTCACCAAGCAGCCTCTACAGTCTCCCTTCCTCACCGTACAGGTACACATAACTTGATGTGATAAAAGGTTTACTTGGACTTTAGGTATAAATTACGTCATATTGGGGTCTTGGGGATAAAGTATGGTACCTTACGGTACTCTGTAGCTTATTTGGGATACAGTGTGGTACCACCGGTGCGCTGTACCAACTTTCCAGTACTTGTCGCTAACTTGGGATACACTAATTTGTGGTACTTTATTTTAAATGTATGTTCCTTGAGATCGTTTTCCTGCCCCTTGAAGTGGTCGGTACAGCAACGGTCTCGCCTCTTGCAGGGTCCCCGTTCGATCCCTGATGGCCCGTAATGGCACTGATCCTTCCCTCTGTGATATCCCAGCTCCTTGTCCTCGTATCCCAGCTCCTTGTCCTCGTATCCCAGCTCCTTGTCCTCACATCCCAGCTCCTTGTCCTCACATCCCAGCTCCTTGTCCCTCACATCCCAGCTCCTTGTCCTCACATCCCAGCTCCTTGTCCTCACATCCCAGCTCCTTGTCCTCACATCCCAGCTCCTTGTCCCTCACATCCCAGCTCCTTGTCCTCACATCCCAGCTCCTTGTCCTCACATCCCAGCTCCTTGTCCTCACATCCCAGCTCCTTGTCCTCACATCCCAGCTCCTTGTCCCTCACATCCCAGCTCCTTGTCCTCACATCCCAGCTCCTTGTCCTCACATCCCAGCTCCTTGTCCTCACATCCCAGCTCCTTGTCCCTCACATCCCAGCTCCTTGTCCTCACATCCCAGCTCCTTGTCCTCACATCCCAGCTCCTTGTCCTCACATCCCAGCTCCTTGTCCTCACATCCCAGCTCCTTGTCCCTCACATCCCAGCTCCTTGTCCTCACATCCCAGCTCCTTGTCCTCACATCCCAGCTCCTTGTCCTCACATCCCAGCTCCTTGTCCTCACATCCCAGCTCCTTGTCCTCACATCCCAGCTCCTTGTCCTCACATCCCAGCTCCTTGTCCTCACATCCCAGCTCCTTGTCCTCACATTCCAGCTCCTTGTCCTCACATCCCAGCTCCTTGTCCTCACATCCCAGCTCCTTGTCCTCACATCCCAGCTCCTTGTCCTCACATCCCAGCTCCTTGTCCTCACATCCCAGCTCCTTGTCCTCACATCCCAGCTCCTTGTCCTCACATCCCAGCTCCTTGTCCTCACATCCCAGCTCCTTGTCCTCACATCCCTTCCAGGGGCTATATAACCGTACTGCTTTGGTGCTTTCTCCTTATAATTAATAAAACACATGTGATAGTTTGTTTACATTTTAGGACCGGAGAAGTGTAGCAAATATTTGTATTAGCTGTGAGCCGGAGCGCGGGGAGGTGGCTCTCAACACTGGCCTCAGGAGAGAACCTCCCACGCTCTCTCAAACTTAACCCACACACTTCACAAGCACTCTCTTCACACTGAAACATCTCACACACACTCGCCTCACACTATCACACAACATGGCATAGGGCTCAGAGCCAGCCGGAAACCTTGTTTATATATATATATATATATATATATATATATATATATATATATATATATATATATATATATATATATATGTCGTACCTAGTAGCCAGAATGCACTTCTCGGCCTACTATACAAGGCCCGATTTGCCTAATAAGCCAAGTTTTCCTGAATTAATATATTTTCTCAAATTTTTTTCTTATGAAATGATAAAGCTACCCATTTTATTATGTATGAGGTCAATTTTTTTTTATTGGACTTAAAATTAACGTAAATATATGACTGAACCTAACCAACCCTACCTAACCTAACCTAACCTATCTTTATAGGTTAGGTTAGGTTAGGTAGCTGAAAAAGTTAGGTTAGGTTAGGTTAGGTAGGTTAGGTAGTCGAAAAACAATTAATTCATGAAAACTTGGCTTATTAGGCAAATCGGGCCTTGCATAGTAGGCTGAGAAGTGCGTTCTGGCTACTAGGTACGACATATATATATATATATATATATATATATATATATATATATATATATATATATATATATATATATATACAAGAGTTCTTACATTCTTGTAAGAACATTGTTATGATTCATAATGAGATTACTATCATTGTGTAGGATTCCCATCATGTCTGTTATAAACTGTGAGTTAACTGGAAGCGGACAGCCTGTCCTTTGAGGTGCCTATGGCAGTTAACTTCGTGTTCTTAATTATCCATGTTCGCAGCAAACAGCTTATTCTTAGATCAGGGGTATTCAACCTGGGGTACGTGTAGCCCCTTGAAGGTACGCGTAGCCCCCTTGAAGGTACGTGTAGCCCCTTGAAAGTACGTGTAGCCCCCTTGAAGGTACGTGTAGCCCCCTTGAAGGTACGTGTAGCCCCCTTGAAGGTACGTGTAGCCCCCTTGAAGGCACGTGTAGCCTCTTGAAGGTACGTGTAGCCCCCTTGAAGGTACGTGTAGCCCTTGAAGGTACGTGTAGCCTAGGTTGAGAACAGTCTCACAACACAGACCCATGCCAGGCCACCGCTAACTGTCTCGTCCCTCCCTGACAGCTGTCGATCGTGGAGTCGTTGCTGTCAGAAGGACCGGAAGTGTTCCTTGACCTTGGGGTCGGCGAGCGGCGTCTCGGGCGAGTGTACATCCGTCTGTGGGGTCACCTTCGTCGAGCGAAGCACTTCCTGGCACTGGTGTTAGCCACCCACGGCCGCACTTACAAGGGTGCCACTTTCAGTAAAGTGGAGAGCAAAGACCGTCCAGGAGAGTGCCTCAGGGTCAGTCACTGTGTCACAGCCGATTGTGGCTTGGGGTCAGAAGACTTGGGGTCGGGAGGCCTGGGGTCAGGAGGAGAGCCACTGGAGTGGGGCGGAGAGTACTCCAGAGCCAAGAGGACAGGGTTGGTGGTGTCTTCCAGCGGCGGGAAGAGCGAGTACGACGCCTGCTTCGACATCTGCACCAGAAGCAACTCCGCCAAAAGGTTCTCCTGCCCCTTCGGAGAGGTGGTGGCCGGCCTCCAAGTGGTGACGGAGGCCACACGTCATCATCCAATTTCTAGCGTCACCATTATTGACGCCGGGGCGGTTCTGAGTCACCAGCCAAGGTGAGCGGAACCACTGCCTGGTTCTTCAAGTCACTCGAAATCAAAGAAATATTAATCACCTGTTGAGTGTTTGAGTGTATAAGACCAGTCACTAGGAATGAAAACCGCAATAATGATAATTACATTAATAATTACTGGTAACTAAATAATAATGCTAAAAGAAAACAAGAACAAAATAATAATAATAATAACAGAAATCCCAATAATTTCATACAAACAATACAGCTACTTATAATTAGCAGAGGAATATACTGAGAGTATATATAATATACTACACTGAGAGGTGTAATACTGAGAGTATATATAATATACTACACTGAGAGGTGTAGACCCCGCTTTTCTGTGTATATACACTGAGCATTGTGCAGGACTAAAGTATACTTGATGGTTGGTCAATAGGCTATCGTGGTGGCCTTAATAACCCTCCAGAGGTTGATAGGCTTTAAGCCCAATGCCGAATAATTAATTATAAGTACTTGAGGCTGGAGCAGCACGTACATCTGCCTTCATATTCCACAACTACAAATTTCTTGGTATAAAATATACTAATTATTATCTTCATGTTCTAGCAGACATTTTTTAATGAGAGCTGCCTTGGGTTACCACGTTTCTATATTTCTTATTTTGTTCTATATTTTGCCGCAATTTTATAAAACATTTAACCTCAAAGGGCACTAAATGGCTCATATAATAATGTATTAAGGGATGGAATACAAGAAGAACATTTAGATATAGTAAACAAAATTAACGTTGGAGATGTGTGGCGTCCACAAGGACGGGTGACCGCGGTGTGTTGTGCTCCTGTCAGCTCTCTCTAACATTTATTTCACTTTCGAGCTCAAAATCCCTCATAATACTTATGTGGCATCATGCTAAAGAAAAGTGAGGAGTTTTATAGCCAGAAAATGTTGTTTTACTTCTGAAGTGAGATAATAGTACTTTTTTTCTTCTTGTTTTAAAGATATTAATGAGGTAGTGACGTGACGTGTTCTCACAACATGTCCGAGGAGTGATAGTGGCACCTAGGTGGTCTGGCACATCCTGTGGCCCTCACGACATCCTCAGTGCCTCACTTACCACACTCCACCACACACGGCCGCATGCGCCTCCCCCATACCCCACAAACACTGGTCAAATAGCATCATCATTATTGTTCCTTTGCGGAGGCTGCAACTTCCCTTAGAAACAGAGGGTTGTGGGGGTGTTGAGTCCCAACGCTTCGCAAGCTTTCACAACTCTACAGCAGTCTTACTGGAGTTAGTCACGGTGCTGTTAGTCTCAACAACTCCGCTACAGTACTAGTGGAGTCCACCACACCGCCACAGACCCGCTGGAGTCCACCACACCGCCACAGACCCGCTGGAGTCCACCACACCGCCACAGACCCGCTGGAGTCCACCACACCGCCACAGACCCGCTGGAGTCCACCACACCGCCACCGTTGTAATCAATCTCACCACAGCAGTTCTGTGGTTGATGCCACTAACTACGAACAAGACGCTCTTCTGTAATTTTAACAAAAACTGCTTCACAACAGAGCCTCAGATACGTCACAGACGCCTGGCGATACAAGGACGAACCCACAGCCCCGTCTTTTGAAAAGATTTCCTTCGCCAGGCGGTGCCGAGAATGGCACTCTGTTGTCTGGCGGTCCAATCCCCGTACCAGAGCTTCGTTAAGAAGTCGAATTAGAGAACTGCCGAGACGACGCTACGCCCAATTCGTCTAACCTTCGTCAGGAGGCAACGGAGCGGAGCATCTCCTGCCGCCGGACGCCAAGAACCTCCTCCAGGTGAGTCTTGCTGCTTGATTATAGAAAGAAACACAAGTAAGACGCTTCATCGCAGTAGATATCTGACGACTTCCAGTACAAGATAATTTCTAGTTGCCAATATTTTGTGTATTATTTTCTTGTAGTTTCTAATCATAACTTTGTGTTTTATTATTGTTTGTGAGTGTACAAACAACAATAAAGTACACCTGAATGTACGGTCATTCGGGTGTACTTTTAGTTCGTTTAAGTGTTTTTTAATTTTTTCCTGTAATTTTTTTTATTTTTATCTGTGTTTACTAGTGTCATGTTTTCGATCATAATTAAAAAATCTTCTTATTTAACACAAAATGTTTTAAAATTTATCTTTGAATGTTAACTAACAAGGAGACACAAATGAACGACGTTGAAATAGGGAGTGAGCTAGTGAATAGTAATCACCAGAAAATGGGGAGTGAGCTAGGAAACAATGATCACAAGGAAATAGGGAGTGAACTAGGAAACAATGATCACAAGGAAATAGGGAGTGAACTAGGAAACAATGATCACAAGGAAATAGGGAGTGAACTAGGAAACAATGGTCACAAGGAAATAGGGAGTGAACTAGGGAACAATGATCACAAGGAAATAGGGAGTGAACTAGGAAACAATGATCACAAGGAAATAGGGAGTGAACTAGGAAACAATGATCACAAGGAAATAGGGAGTGAACTAGGAAACAATGGTCACAAGGAAATAGGGAGTGAACTAGGAAACAATGATCACAAGGAAATAGGGAGTGAACTAGGAAACAATGGTCACAAGGAAATAGGGAGTGAACTAGGGAACAATGGTCACAAGGAAATAGGGAGTGAACTAGGAAACAATGGTCACAAGGAAATAGGGAGTGAACTAGGGAACATGGTCACAAGGAAATAGGGAGTGAACTAGGGAACAATGGTCACAAGGAAATAGGGAGTGAACTAGGAAACAATGGTCACAAGGAAATAGGGAGTGAACTAGGGAACAATGGTCACAAGGAAATAGGGAGTGAACTAGGAAACAATGGTCACAAGGAAATAGGGAGTGAACTAGGAAACAATGGTCACAAGGAAATAGGGAGTGAACTAGGGAACAATGATCACAAGGAAATAGGGAGTGAACTAGAAACAATGATCACAAGGAAATAGGGAGTGAACTAGGGAACAATGGTCACAAGGAAATAGGGAGTGAACTAGGGAACAATGGTCACAAGGAAATAGGGAGTGAACTAGGGAACAATGGTCACAAGGAAATAGGGAGTGAACTAGGAAACAATGGTCACTAGAACTAGGAACAATGGTCACAAGGAAATAGGGAGTGAACTAGGGAACAATGGTCACAAGGAAATAGGGAGTGAACTAGGAAACAATGGTCACAAGGAATCAAAAAGCAAAACCAAAAAGTACCTAATTTCATCTTCGTAGTTTCCTACACTGAGCTTTAAATTTGCTCTGTATCTAGTGTTACCCAATTTCCCAATCTTTATGTACTTAACCCAAACAACCTTATCATTGTGTTCATTGTTATCTTCTTTTATGTGCTAGCCATATGCTGTATTGTGCCTGCTAATTTTTGTCAACTACCATTCAAGCTGTCATTGCAATCAGTCTGAGCCACCTATGTGCTTTAATATACCTACAATTTTCTCTCATCTTTTATTTTTTTTTCTTTCTTGCTTTGTAACTGTTATCATTTTTTATCAATTTTGCAAGTATTTACCTACTTAAAATTTTCTTAGATTAAGGACCTGCCCGAAACGCTGCGCGTACTAGTGACTTTACAAGATTGTAATTACTATACTATGTATCCGCACAATCCCAATGTACCTTCTTGTATATATATAAATAAATAAATAAATAAATAAATAAAGGAAATCATCTTTGACATAAAATAGAGTATATGTGTAAAAGAAACCTGTTTAGGTGCCAGATTTCCGGAAAGATGACTTTGGTGGATCAAGGAGTTTCTTGGGAAGGATGTAAATTAATTAGATGGAATAATAATGACTCCCAAATGGATAACTATAGGTCTGAAGAACCTTATATGTAGAAAAGAAGCTTAGTACAATAGGATTAATAATGGAGGAAGTCAGTCTAGAACAAGAATGTGGTCAGTGGGGTGCCACAGGAGTCCATTTTGGGGCCAGTCCTTTATGTCCTATACATCGATGACATAGTTGAGAATATTACAAACCACATCATTGAATTTGCAGATGACACAAAGATTTATTGTAAATTGGGAAATGAAAATGATATTGAAGCTTAACAAAGAAGGCTTTATAAGCCATTTGATAGTCAGAAGACCGGCAAATGCTTTTAATATTGATAAATGCAAGACCCTGCATGTGGGACACAAGAACCCGCGCCACAACTCCCAAATTAATGGCATCAGCAGATTGACGAAGAAAGGGACCTTGGAGTCAAAATCCACCACTCAGTGAAAGTTGGCCAGCAGGTTGGAACAGCGGTCAAAAAAACTTACCAAACACTAGGAATAATCAAACGTACTTTTGACTTTAAGGAAAATGAAGGCAGTGATTCAATTGCATAAATCTCTGGTGCGGCCCCATTTGGATTACTGAATCCAAGCATGGAGACCTCATCTCCAGAAGGATATAACTGCTCTGGGGATGAAGCTCGTGCCTGCAGTGTCCTCACTCCACCGGCCAGGCCAGGCTGGAGTACCACAAGGAGTACCAAAGATCATTGTGTCTTGAGTTACAGATGTTTGAATGTGTTGGATCACTTGTTATAATGTTAATTGTTACCTAAGTCTGTAACTAATGAAGCTAAGTTGGGTCTAACTTTCAAATGTGACATGTGACACGCTTTGACATATGACACTATGTAACAGTCCTTGACACCATGTGATACCATACACGTTGACGTATATATGTCACCATATGACACACGTTGACACATATATCACCATTGACACGTGGACACACGTTGACACACACAGCACTACTCACCTAGCCTAGTTGTGCTTGCGGGGGTTGAGCTCTGGCTCTTTGGTCCCGCCTCTCAACTGTCAATCAACTGGTGTACAGGTTCCTGAACCTATTGGGCTCTATCATATCTACACTTGAAACTGTGTATGGAGTCAGCCTCCACCACATCACTGCCTAATGCATTCCACCTGTTAACTACTCTGACACTGAAAAAAAATCTTTCTAATATCTCTGTGGCTTATTTGGGTACTCAGTTTCCACCTGTGTTCCCTTCTTCGTGTTCCACCCGTGCTACGTAATTTGTCTTTGTCAACCCTGTCAATTCCTCTGCGAATTTTATAGATTGTGATCATGTCTGCCCTTAATCTTCTGTCTTCTAGGGACGCGAGGTTTAGTTCCCGTAGCCTTTCCTCGTAACTCATACCTCTTTGTTCTGGGACTATATGACACCCGTTGACACACCCATGACATGTTGACAGAGGCAGCATGGAGGATGAGCTGACGTGTGTGGTGTGCTCGGAGCTGTACGCAGCAGGCACCAGAGAACCGGTTGTGCTGCCCTCCTGCGGCCACACCTTCTGCAGGCAGTGCCTCTACGGCGTGGTGGAGAGCCAGGGCGCTCTGGCCTGCCCCACCTGCAGGAGCCCGCACCCGGGGACACCTGTACAACACCTGCCTACTGTCTTCGCCTTGTTGAACATATCGGAGAACTTCAAGAGGTCTGAGGTCAGTGTGGGAGGGAAGGACAGAGTATTTTAAATAAATAAATACAAATAAATCAGTTAAGACAACAGGGTACACTTGTATAGTCTCCTGCTAGTTTAATTCAATTTTTAATTCAATATTATTTATTATTATTATTATTATTATTATTATTATTATTATTATTATTATTATTATTATTATTATTATTATTATTATTATTATTATTATTATTTTATTATTATTATTATTATTATTTTATTATTATTATTATTATTATTATTATTATTATTATTATTATTATTAATTCTTATCATTGTGGTGGGGTGGGAGCAGCGAGGAGGGTGCAGAGAACACAGGTCGCCTCTAGAGTTCTGGTGCCGTGGCTGCCAGAAGCCTCTGTGTGGCCACTGCCTCCTGGAGGCCCACGTGCGGGAGGGCCACAGCGTGGACCGAGCCACAGTCTTCGTGGAGGAGAGGAAGAAAGAGATTCACACCCGGAGCGCCCAGCTGGTCCAGAATATACGTACCAGGACCGATAGTGTCATCAGCGGCATCCTTGAGTTCATAGGACTCATCGTACGAGGCGCTGAGGAGAGCAGAGTCCTCAGCTCCTCGGCTCAGACAGCGGAGAAGATCTTGAAAGACATGACTGGAATTCACAGCATCGAGTCGATGCTGATGTCTTTGACTCTGGTGGAGAGCCTCCAAGCGGAGGTCAATAAGTTTTCAGCATCCTCAGCCCCTTCAAAGGAGGGACCGCCTGAAAGAGGAGATAGAAGGACGAGGTGTGACTCCTGTTGCCAGTTGGAGACTTCCTCGTCAGTATTCCGCCAGGTCTCCGTCAGTGAAGCCGAGTGGCAAGAGACCCAGATAGAAGAAACTGAACAGATTGCTCTCCAAGATGGTCAAGAGGGACAGAACGCCACTTTGGAATTCTCAGAGAGTTCGAACCCCGGGACGAAAACAAATCCGGAAGAAGTGAGAGAAGTGAGGCGCAGTAGCAGCGTTTGCGAGGATGAGGCGCCAGATGGGTCACAAAGTACACGTGTTGGTGTGCCAAAGACTCCCTGGCCACTTCGATGTTGTGTGATGAGCTCAGACCATCGGACTGGAGAGCTGAGGTGGGATCACGGCCGCCTTCATCTCTATGCCTTGAGAAACCACTTGGATGATGGCCACTTCATGGTTCAGGTAAGCCTTTTTAAATTATTGTTCCGCTGACCGTAGGATAGAAAGTACAGCGCATTCTCGGGTGTAACAGGAAAATTCTGTGAGTAATGATGTTTTACTTAAGCTAAGGACACAGACCTCGGAGCGCTGTGCAGTTTCGATGAAGCATAAAACAACTGTGCCACTCGTACAGTTCAAATAACAATATCCTGTATCCAGATATATAAGCACCCCGTGGGTCTGTACCTAAACAGATCACCGCCACACAGGTTAGTGTGGGAGGTTAGTGTGGGGAGGTCCATGTGGGAGGTCAGTGTTGGAGAAAGGGAAGGACAGAGTATTTTAAATAAATAAATACAGGTTAACCTAAATACAGTTCTGAGGTTAAGTAAGGGGTTAATACTCAGCTGATTCTCCAGTTACTCCTTTAGGAAGTGTGGTGCTTTCTTTTATATATTCTGAATTTACTTGAGGACCCCCATTTCTAGTGGTCTTGGTGGGTACAAGAAGCCACCGGCTTGTCAAAAGTTTTAGTATTTAAAATGTTTTAATATTTACGGGTTCGGCGGGAAGGAAAGGGGGTATCAGGAGTCAGATTCGGAATCAGGAGAAAGCACCAAGCCATCACAACTATAGCACTTGGAAGGAGGGATCAGGATAAGGATTTGGGATGGGACGGAGGAAAGGAATGGTGCCCAACCACTTAGACAGTCGGGGATTGAAAGCCGACCTGCATGAAGCGAGACCGTCGTTCTACCGTCCAGCCCAAGTGGTTGGGCTTGCTTTGGCGGGAAGACGATTCCATGGGTTTATTATTCTATGGATGTGAAACATGGTAATATATTGAGGTCATGCAGTGTGGCCGGACTCGCCTCCCTGGACTCCCGCTTTTTAACGTTATGCTAAAAATTATCATTGTAATATATAATACTTTGCTGGCTCGGCAAACACAAGAAGAGAGGGAATCTGCACGTTATATTTATATTAAAAAAAAATCAAAATGTTTATTTAGGTAAGGTACATACATAAAAGAGATTTTACAAAGAGTGATGGATTTATAGTTAGGGCTAGTACATACAATGCCTAAAGCCACTATTACGCAAAGCGTTTCGGGCATGAAAAACTTAAATGACTAAAGCTTAATACTAATTGAGCATAAAGAGTAAAATGAAAACATAGCTGAAAAAGCAGCACAAATACAATTATGTCGACAAACAGCTCTCTTTAAAAAAAAACAGACATTGGATGACATTAGAGGGGTAAGGTAGGTTACAGGGAATTTATTAGGTATAGCTTCGCTTTTATCTTAAACTGGTTGAGAGAGGTACAGTCTTTAACATGGTTGGGAAGGTCATTCCACATTCTGGGCCCCTTGATTTGTAGAGCATTTCTAGTTTGATTAAGTCGTACTCTAGGAATATCAAAACTGTATTTATTTCTGGTCTGGTGCTCATGGGTTCTGTTACAACCTTCTATGAAGCTTTTGAGGTCAGGATTGGCATGACAGTTTAGCGTTTTATATATGTATAATACACATGAGAGAATGTGCAGTGACTTAATGTCTAACATATTCAGAGATTTGAGTAGGGGTACCGAGTGATGTCTGGGGCCAGAGTTGGATATTGTCCTAACAGCAGCTTTGTGTTGAGTAATTAGAGGACGTAAGTGATTTTGGGTAGTAGAACCCCAAGCACAAATACCATAGTTGAGATATGGTTAGACGAGGGAGTAATAGAGAGTCACCAGGGCAGGGCGAGGTACATAATATCTGATCTTAGAAAGAATGCCAACAGTTTTTGAAACTTTTTTTGATATATTTAGAATGTGTCCCTGGAAATTCAGCTTGTGGTCGATGAGAACGCCAAGGAATTTGCCATCTAATTTGTTACAAATTTGGGTATTGTTTATTTTGAGATTTATTTGATTAGAGGATTTATTGCCAAACAGAATATAGAAAGTTTTGTCAATGTTAAGGGTGAGTTTGTTGGCAGTTAGCCAAAGATGGACTTTATTTAGCTCAGTATTTACTGTGGCATTTAGAGCAAGGGGGTCAGGACTGGAGTAAATGAAGGTTGTGTCGTCAGCAAATAGAATTGGTTTGAGGTGTTGGGAGGCATTTGGAAGGTCATTAATGTAGATGAGAAAGAGGAGAGGGCCAAGTATGCTGCCCTGAGGAACACCAATGTTGATGGGTAGGGTGGGAGAAATTGAATTATTCACAGAAACATACTGGAGCCTGTCAGTAAGGTAGGATTTGAGGTATTGCAGGGAGTGTCCTCTGAAAGAAAATCCAGGTATCTGGTTAAAAAATGAAAGTATAATGGATTTTGTTAACATTTGATGTAATACATTGGATATTAATTCACTGTGGCTGTGTTTTAAGTCTAATAGTTACCTTTCCCCCAACAGATGTCGCTTCTACAATCACTGATGAGCCGAGAAAAGCCTCAAGTGTTCCTGGATTTAGGTATGGAAGGGGCAAGTCTTGGTCGTGTTTACATCCGCCTCAATGGCCGCCTTCGTCGCGCTCAACACTTCCTAGCTCTGTGTCTGGGCTCTCTAGGCCCATCTTACAGGGCCAGCAAGTTCCACGGGGTGGCCAAGCCGGGTGCCCCTGGAGAAACCCTAGCAGGGGGCAAGTACTTGACCCCTGAGGGAACCAGCGTCCAGGGGCTGATGCAGGGCTTGGAGTGGGGAGGGGAATACATCAGTGAGAAAGTGGAAGGACTCGTGGTTGGAGCAAGGGGCGGTGAGCCGGAGTTGGATGCGTTTTTCCACATTTGCACACGCGAGCACAAAGGGAAGAAGTTCGCCTGCGCCTTCGGGGAGGTGGTGGAGGGCATGGATGTGGTACACGCGGCCGTGAAGCATGTCCGCGTCAGAGAGGTCACCATTGTGGACGTGGGAGTCGTCATTCCCACCTCCCAGGAGTGAGGCGCCTAACATGCTTACCGAATGACAATCCATTTGAGTACAACTATCTCACAGTCTAGTGGTCCGGGTTCAATACCCGGATAGGACAGAAACGATTGGGTACGTTTCCTTTCACCTAGCAGTAAACAGGTAGCCGAGAGTTAGACAACTGTTGTGGACTGCATCCTGGGAAAGGTTGGCCAAGAGGGACCTCGATAAGTCTATAAGGACCTTACACTGTTAGATTAAGGACCTGCCCAAGATGCTATGTGTGCTAGTGGCTTTACAAGAATGTAAAACTTCAATGCTCTGTACTCTCATAAACCCAATGTACCTTCTTGTATATAAATAAACAAATAAATAAGAACAGGCTTCCTATCCCAGGCAACAGGAATTAAATTAAGTTAAAAATTATAGAGGCAGGTGATGTACTTTTGAATCATGAAAATGGTGACAACTGTATTTGTCTAGGACAGCGCTCGGGGGTCGTAGCCCTAAGGGTCCGGGTTCGATCCCCGGCGGAGGCGGAAACAAATGGGCAGAGTTTCTTTCATCCTGATGCTCTTGTTCACCTAGCAGTAAATGGGTACCTGGGAGTTAGACAGCTGGTATGGACAGCTGGTATGCTGCTTCCTGGGAATGTGTGTGTGTGTGAAAATTAGGACTTACCCGAAATAACACTGTGAGTGCTAGTGGCTGTACAAGAATGTAAGAATTCTTTGTATATATATAAATAAAAAATAATGTTGATTACTTCTAGGTGAAAAGATATATTGCATATTAATATGAGTAAAATAGACACGCATGATATCGGTTGAATTAAGGTGTGACTGTCATTAGTAAGATTATCATAAGTAAGAGTATCTTACGATTACTAGTAGCAAGATCACATCTTGTAGTATTAGTTGGTCCTGTGGCGCAGTGGTAAACGAAGCTGAGTCACAACCAGATTGTCCAGAAGCAATTGGGCAACGTTTTCCTTCACCTGATGTGTCTGTTCATCCAGCAGTAACTTGGTACCCGAAAGTTAGACAACTGTTTAGAGTTGTGTACTTGGGAATTAGGTCAGTGGTTGCCCCCAGTCAGTGGGACCTCGAAAACCCTATCGAGGTCCCGTTAGTACAGTTGGGATCGTTCTCGACTCACAATCGAGAATTCCGGGTTTGAAAATCCCTGGCGGGACAGAAAAGGTTGGGCGCGTTTCCTTTCACCTAATGCCGCTGTTCACCTAAGAGTAAATAGTTTCCCAGGAGTTTACATTCTTGGAGGGTGGGGGGGGGGGAACCTCGATCCAAGACTAGTATGTATATATACACTGGCTGCCTTTCCCCTGACACAATGAATTATTTATTATTATTTATATTATTATTATATAAATAATTAACAAATTATTCAGTCCTCATGACGCAGTGATAAGACACTCGCCCGTCGTTTCGCGAGCGCTTTGTCCTTGGTTCGTGGGGAGGATTGACTTCTGTTCCTAGAGGCTGTTCCTTAACTGTAGCCTCTGTTCACCCAGCAGTGAATGGGTACATAAACGATTTGGCGGGTCGTATTCCGGGGAAAACTAGGATTGAGGACCTGCTCGAAACGCTATGCGTGCTTTACAAGAATGTAAGAACTCTGGTATATATAAATAATAATAAAAAAATAATTAAGCAGGTTCTTGTACTCAACTATATATGAGAAACTGTAATTGAATGCAAATTACGAGTAATTGAAATTAGTGTAGCAAGAGTACTAGTAGTAAGAGTGGTATGGGTGCTTCTCCCACCACCACATACAATAGAGGTTTGTTCTTCTCAATCAAAACTAAACCATAATAAAATACAAATTTTGTTTTGTTAACCCTTACAAACGTGTCCTTCGTGACGTCACAGAGAGCTTGCGGTGACGCAATACAAAAATCATCCAATTCACCATCAAGGATGTTGACTTAACATTCTCATCACCATTAATTATGTTAACGCATCATAGTCACACTTATTTAATATATAATTTAAAACAAAAACAAGCTTATCATTTCCTTAGTTAAATTGTTATGTGGTTATCAAAATAAAAATAATGTGAAATATTTCTCCGTATCGTGGGTGGCATGGACTGCATCAGCTGTGCTGGGAAACATTGAAGGGTTACCAGGTTGTAAACTGCTTCAGTATCTCAAGATGTCTGGCTCTTGCGGTCGTGTTTATGTCGTGTGTAGTGCAAGATGAACCCAGCTTAAAGTATGTCTCCATTCACCAGGTGATCATCGGTTATTTGCAGTGCTAAAACGATTTTATGTGGTGGTATACACCGATACACAGGGTCGGCCTAACGGGTATTTTATTTATATTTTGAGGGGAGCTTTAATTACATATTTAATTGAAAGTATAATCTGATTTGTACCAGTTTTGGTATGTAAGTAGCACAGTGGTGGGTACAGTTGGTTCACAACCCAATGGTCTCTGGGATTGGTTCAATTCCCAGCAAAGACTTAAACGTTTGTGCACGTTTCATTCCCCCCGGGTTCGGAACAACATTCAGCACCAACATTATAGTGAGAAAATGTGTCATATTTCTTCATTACTTGCGTAATGCTAGGAAGTTTTGGGTAATTAGACGGACACGCATATATAAAAAGCTAGGCCAGTGCTGAGGGTCAGTAGTTTGACCCTGTGGTGGGGGGGGGGGGAGGACCTCAATACTGTAACAGCCTAATGTATATACATACAATGGCTGCCTGTTCCTTGACAAACGAAACTTTAAAAAAATTAGCATTATGGATATGTTAGATATAGGCTTATGGGGCACTTCACTATAGTATTTGTATACAAATAATATAACCAGAATTACATGGGCAGTATAATGCAGGTCCCACGTGGGTCTGTGTGAGCATAACCCTCTTGGTAATGCTTTTTCAATTATTTCAAAGAATGTACAGCATGTTCTCTGATACAGTCCACATTACAAAGTCCATGGGGAAAACTGTATGGATAATTCAACATTATTATGAATGTTCCAATTTCCTGCAAGTTTAGTAAGGTTGATTTAAGATTCATAAGGAAACAGAAAAGAAATGTTGGAAAAAAAAGTTTATTCACCTTCTGTAAACATTCTTGTAGAATAAATAGCCGTTACATTTTGCTGCTACATCCAATATTTCTCAACACTGCTTTATGACAGGTATCAATTCCATCCTGTGAATTTTAATTTAAAAATATTAAACATTCACTACCATTTAACAAACTGATTCCACCTAGTCGTGTTCCCCGTCACTTCTCGTGTTACGGGGAACTGATTCCACCTAGTCGTGTTTCCTGTCACCTCTCGTGTGACGGGGAACTGATTCCACCTAGTCGTGTTTCCTGTCACCTCTCGTGTGACGGGGGAACTGATTCCACCTAGTCGTGTTCCCCATCACCTCTCGTACACTATTCACACACAGTTGCCACTCTCTTTAGTTAAGTAGTTAGTGCAGTTAAATCACAAATGAATAATCCTGGAATTCAATTTCCAGGCAAGGTGAGATGTTTTAACTCATTCAGGTGTTCACCTAGCAGTAAATTTTTACCTTTGAGATATGCAGCTGTTGTGGTTTGTATCCTGGGAAAGATCAGTGATTGGCATTGGTGGATGTTGATGAACCTAACAGGCTTTTTGTCACCTAACAATGGGAAACCATGTTTGGCTTGGTCTCCTCCTCCTGCCCCCGTCATATTCACTCGCCACCATTCTCTCAAGTAGCGTATAGCCTGTCGATGTACACCTAGCCACGGATGACACTGCATCCACAAACTCGCCCATCCAATTATAGACTTCAGTGAACGGTTTTTCCTACAGACTTCAGTCTCTGGCCATGTAATACTCATTTATAATCCTCATTGTTCAGATCAGGAAACCTGTACTTAGTCTTATTGAGGGCCCTCAACTACTGCTAGGTGAACAGAGGTGTCAGGTGAAAGGAAACATGCCCAACCATTTCTGTCCTCCCTGGGTACTTAAAGCTAAGTATAATGGGATAACTCACTTTCTATCTAAATATGTACAACCTAATAAACAGTAGCCTAAGATTTTGTCAAGAGCTTGTATGACAAGAGCAGGTAGGGAGATGTTAAATGGACTGCAGGTATTGTAACACTAGTTACAAGCTATTTATAATGATTCAAGAGGAGGGTCCTTGCACATAATTCAAATCACTTTCTCATTACAGTATAGCATTGTACAATATAGCAGCATCCTTTGTCTATACTTAAGTAAAAATCTCTCATTAAAATACAGTATAGGCATTTATACATACAGTATCATAATGATCCCATTATAGAATAATACAATTAAATCATTATTTTCATTTCTAGTAAATAGTACAACCGAGTCTATTTTTCACTTGCAGCCAAGATGCCTCGCCACAGTAGGGTACAGCAGGAAGTCCTTCACTTGTATAAGCAGTGTCTTCGGGCAGCCGAGAAGAAGCCAGGTTTTTACAACAGTGTACAGCATGAGTTTCGTAAGAATTCAGCTGTTCCAAAGACAGACATACTCCGCATAGAGCACTTACTCAGACAAGGCTGGCGGAAACTGAAGATGATGCAAGATCCGTTTGTCAATGGTATGGGGCATTTTCAGAAGTGAATGAGTGTGTGGTTAAGGAATATACAGTAATGGTATTTGAAAAGCATATATTTTTATTTTTATAATATATTATAAGTACAAAAAATAGTACTGAACTGTATTTTGCAGAAATTTCAAATACAATTATCTCAGTCAGGTCTGCCAAACCAGCCTTAAAAATGGCAAGCAATATTATTCATGTTGAAAAATTGGGATGTTTGCGATACTTGCCCGTTTGGAATTACCAGAAAACGATAGCAGAAAGAATTGCAAAAAATGTAAAGGATGGGAAGACACCTGGCCACACACTACTGCTTGTGGAACACAAACCAGGTGTGTGCTAAAGTCCTACTTTAAGGCTCAGCTGTTTTTTTTCATGTTGATTTAATGATTTAAGGTATTTAGTACTACAGTAACTTGTATGTGCGGCAGAATATAATATAAATTTTTATTTTGTTATGAAATTCACTTGATGGAAAAACCATATATGAGTGTGCACACACACACACGATATAAAGTGATTGTAGGGAATATTTTGAAATGTAATTAATAATGATTTTTAATGCACAATTTTCAGATAGTTTCCTGTGTAATATAACTACACTTACATCATTGTCTTATGCTTACAGTATACACAACTGGCCTTCGTGAATATGAATATACAGCTGAGGTGGAAGCTCGACTGAAGTCGACAGGTGCGGACTTCCACCACACAAACCGTGGGGGACTTATAACCTTCCATGGGCCAGGGCAGCTGACAGTTTACCCCATTTTACACTTGAAATCCTTCAATTCTGGCATTAAATGGTAAGGCTCAGTTGTTATCCCATCTCATTATTTTTACATAAATCGAAGTTTTACTCATAATTTCTAGATTTAATATTTTATGGGATTGTTCTCATCAATTATATAGTGATAATAGTAATATTTTAAAAAATATATACTGTACTGTACATATAACATGTTATTGGTAAATTAGTTGTTACAGCAAATTTATATTAAATAAAGCCACTAATATGCAAATCATTTCGAGTATAACTTAAAATAGCTCGGTTAAATTATTTATAGGTTTAATGGAGCAAACCAAAATAAATGAGAAGTAATCTAGCATACATGAATTATTAAAAAAAAATTGCAAATGATATGTAATTTAATATTCACAATACAGGTAATGACACAACCTCAAAATTTACTCCTACTTTTGATGAGGAAATGCAAGTTAAATTTGTTGCATGAAGTTAATTACTACACATAAGGGGCATAACTGCCCAACCCCTCACAGTGTTCAAAAGAGAACTTGATAACACCTCCAGAGGATACCTAATCAACCAGGCTGTGATTCATACATCAGGCTGCAAGATGCCGTGTCCAACAGCCTGGTTGACCAGTCTGCCAACCAGAAGGACTGGTCATGGACCGGGCCGTGGGGACGTTGAGCCCTGAAATCATCGCAAGGTAACGCACGGCATTTATAGCAACTCAATGATTGCCTGAAAAGCAAGATTTATATAAATATACAAATACTCAATTTATAGAATTGATTCAGAGTGAAGTCACAGAACAAGATGTATATGAGAAAGTATTGATGATGTATGAATCCCTGGATTTCCTAGGCACATGCACTACCAATTATAATGAAACATCTTTGATCATTGCTAAATTGGTTGTTTAAAGAAAAATGTATACATGACTGTATTTTTAGCCTTATTTCACCTCCAGAGTAAATAAGATAAAATCCATGCTTGATTCATTTAAAAAAATTGCTGCAGTGAAGTTTCACTGAATTACTTGTGTTTATTAGGTATGTGTGTGCTCTGGAACGGACTGTCATACGGACTTTGCAGTTGCTGGGAATTACTGGTGCGCACACAACACCTCACACTGGAGTGTGGGTTGGTGAAAATAAATTGTGTGCTATAGGTAAGGATATGTTTTCTTTGTATATGATTCGTGACCTTAGTGTTTAACAGCTTTCATGGGAAGATGGCTCCCTTCTTCTGCTACTGTTCCACTTACACAGTGTGCTCATTCGAAAAAATCTTAAGTCTACCTTTTACTGGTTCTCATAGGAAATAAATAATGACTACCTCATCTCTATAATTACCTAACATTGAATATTCAAGAAGTGTGTTCTAGTTACTTGATTGGAACTATTTAGTACAAAGTTTTTTAAGCATTCTCAGTATTGACGATCTTGACCACTACGCCACGGACACTGCTGTCATATCATAGACATATCTTGTGATATGAAGTTTTTCTGGTAGTTTTCCCAGCTTGCTTCCTTTATTGATAATTATTTTCTTCACAGTAAGCTCTTTCTAACCAAATACTGTAGTTGCAGAAAATTGTATACCGGGTTGATGATGATGGTTGGTTTTAACAATGTAATTGCATGAAATACTTTCTCTAGCTTATTTTCCAAAGGGAAAATTATGCCATGCTTTTTTCTCCTTAGTTACATCAGGTTTTGTAAGAGTTGCTGCTTATTTCTTCATTAGGTCTACTGTTGCAAGATGTTGCAAACACAACTATCTTGTTGTGAAATGAGGAGTAGGGGTCTAAACCTGATTACATTTTCACCACCCTATGTCGTCAGACTTCTTTAACTAAACCCAACCCATCCCAACCATAAGAGATAAAATGCTGTGTTTTGTAAATGATATGCACAGTGTATGTGATGTCATTATAACATCATAATTTTATTCTGGCTCAGGTTTTAGCATCTACTGGAAAGAGTAATTTTATTTCATAAATGATTGAACTACATGTTCCATTATTATAGAAATGGAGGAAGGGTGATGGTTATAGGTATAGATATGCAAGATAATATTTGTTCTATATTTTTACAGGTAGACAGCTTTCTGATTTGCATTAGTAAAGGTAAATTTTGAAATGGATAAATTTGCATACATTTGATTTTTCTGTATATTTCAGGTATCCAGGGGCGTCACATAACAACTCATGGCTTAGCCCTGAACTGCAACGTAGATCTGAAGTGGTATGATCACATTGTTCCATGTGGGCTGGACGACAAGGGTACAACAAGTGTCAGCAAGGAACTAAACAGGGATGTAACAGTAGACGAAGTAGAGCCTTACTTTCTAAAATCCTTCTCCGAGGTATTTCAATGTAAACTTGTTCTTGCTGCTGATGAATTTGTTATGGAATGATTAGTTACTACTGGTAATCAAAATTTATTACTATTAATGTAAAAAAAAATAAAAATATTTACTTTGGGCCAAGTTTTATTTTAAAAAGTAATGCAACATTAAGATAAAAAATATTTTGTTCCAATTAAAAAGTGCTCCATGTCCTCTGATGTAACACAAAAAATATAGATTTGACTTTGTGCTGAATTAATCTACTATTGTGTGTGATGTATTTAGGTGAAAGTTTTATGGTATTTTTAGTAAGCTTCACGTACCTCACAAATACATAACTTTAATTTAGTTAGCGACTAATCTATTATCCACAAGAACATTGTTCATAGTTGTGTTCATTACGCTTTGGATAACATACCATATAAACAACTCAAATATCTTATCTATCCATTTCATACACCATTTGTTTACCCACACGGCCCACCCTTTAGAGGCAGCATGCACCTCGGCCACACACTTACCATTGGGATTATTTAGAAAAAATGCAAAACCTCTCTAATATGTTGGCCAATGCGTTACTGTAGACAGAGAGAGAGAGAGAGAGATATCGACCGACCTACCTTTTGTAGTACAGTACAAGAAAACCCATACCATTCCTCTGCAAGTTCCGAAGTGAAGCATACTAGAATTTTTTTTTTTCATAATAGTTAATAAAACTTGACAAATATTACAGAGGTGTTTTGTTTGGCTCTAATGATTGCTCATATATATATTTCCAAATCAAGATGTGACAGTGTAGTATGTATATATTTCTAGTTTCTGAAAAAATAAATTATTTAAATACTGTAACTGAAGTGTGGCTATTTATTTGCATTTGCTATAAAAGTGTGCCTTTTGTTGCTACCTAATCACACTCAAGGGGGACAGGAAATACATGACCAGACAAATTGTAATGGCTATGGGGCATGCAGATTGCTTCCAGAAATAGGCTCATGGAACAGGGTATCATTAGGGAGGCCTGGAAGTACTAGAACTCTTGTAATTTCAGTTAAGCAATACAGATGCCCTGATTGAAATGATAATCACAATTCGTTTTATTTTGTAGTTTTTATTTGCACAAGCAATAATAATAAGGTTTTATAGCTAATAATTCTTCTATCCTCATTCAGACTTTATGGGGATTTATGACAGCTTTTTATTTAAAGCAAATTAAAAATAAAATTAAGATTAAAATGTTACACAATATTAAAGAACATATTTGATTAATATGGTTATTTGTGTAATCAAATATAACTAATGAAACTTAAACATTCAGTATTGTTTTAAGGCAATAAGAATATATTAAAATTGCACTCACTGGTAGATTTTTATATCTGACTCTTCCATGGTAATAATTTTACAGATGCTTCATGTCTCCGACTACGTGAAACCATAAGGTGAAGTCTGTACTAAGGCTTATTTATCCAGCTCCCTCCATAGGCTATTTAGATATTTATAATCTACCTAAACTCACTCACCTAGCCAATGCACGAGGCAATTCACCAACCCCTCCCATAAAACAACAGCCCAGATTCCACAATCGTGGAATTTGGTTTTAAACATACCTGTCGAGTTTTCTATCCCCCCCCCCCCCCCCCCCCAAAAAAAAATCTACCAAAGATGTGTTTTTATGTACTAATTGTTGGTCTTGGAACACCGATTTTGGGCGCCCCCCCCCCCCCCCATTAGATCCTTAACTAAAATTTGAGGTTGGAATGTATTGCAGCATAATACCAACTTTATTACAGTACATTGTCGAACAGTATTGAAATAGCCGTATGCATCAATGACTAAGCCTTCTTTGGTGCAATGTTCTTTATACAAAACCAATCAAGACTTATGTACATGACATCTTGCTGTTGGTCTGCAATTTGTTTTGGAAAGACTGCTATCAGATTTCTTTTTGGATTCAGCCATAGAATCCAAGTTACTGGGAAGTATCCAAACATTTCAGTATACAGGAACTTTTCAACATTTAAATATTTTATAATGTTTTAAGTAAATTCAAAATAAATATTTGTTAAGGATATATTAAATATGCACCAACATGAGTATAAAGACAAGGAATATATATATTTATACTAACTATTCTGCAGATAATTTACAAATATAAAACCTTGTTGCAACAAATGGTTGAAACAGTGCTGTACATATGAATTTTTGCTTTAAGTTATATAAATTTGCACTTTAATTCTCTAAACTTAAAAAAAAAATGGAAACATGAGAATATTAAACTTATTCCCATCATTAGTCTACAGATCATTAATTCTCTTCAACGACACATTAATTGCTTATGTGCGGACCTGAAAGCGACCAGCCTTGGTGATGTACTTGACACCCTTGAATGGCTTGTATTTCTCTCCATAAATGTCAAGGCGGTTGACCTTGAGGCCTGACAAAGCCAGCTGCGTGATGGTGAACTGTACCTAGAGGACGAAACATTAAAAACTTGATGACATGATTGTAATGTTATGTAAAAGTTCATAAATACAGTAGTGTTAACTCAGTAAACTACTTAGTAAACTAAGTAGTTAGTACTGCTTAGTTAACAGTTTTACTTTATAAGAAGTAATTTTTTTTTTGTTAACATGAATTCAAGTTTCTGAAAGCTAATACTTGTAAAGCAATAATTTATTGGGCCATTCATAAGTTTTAACATAAATTGATCAGTTATTAGTTATTGTGCTCTATGGATTTATATCAATTGCACCTATGGATTGTATACAACTCTGGAGTTGTAAGGAGGTCTACAATCCAAGGTGAAACCATCAGAATTTATTATTGTACTTTTTAATGATTCAAATTTATAGATGAATGTTTAAATATAAACAACATGCTCATAACAACAATACCCTCCCCACCTACCTTAGACAAGTTCTCATTGTTTTTTCCCCCCTAGCCAATATAGTATGGCTGAACATGAACTTGTGCCCAATCTCAGCAAGCCTCCATATTCCTACCTCCTGGTATATATATACACACTATAACATTCTTTCACATTTAGTAACTACAGCTGTATAATTGATTTTTTCCTGCAGCAATTGCTTCGTAACTTTACTTCATTCTCTAATTAATATTCTACAATAAATAGACTATACTTTGATAACCTCATTTATAAATATAATAGTTGGCTTTAAAACTTTGATACTTTCAGGCAACTTAGAAAATTCCACAATTTCTGAAACTTGTACAGTGAACAGCTATGATACTTACATTTATTGTTGGATTACTTTCTGGGGAAGGAGCGCCACTTTGTACACTCATCTGAAGCATAACAAATGTCTAAATTATTATCACCTCTTATCATGATTACCATTCTTAACTTTCATTTGGATAGAGAAGACAAGAAATATTATTAAAGTGGACTAAGGATATTCAAATGTGACTCGTCTAATCATAATGCATGATCTCAAATGTGGACATTACTGTACATCACTAAGAATTGGTAGGATCTCCAACATGTCACAGACTAGGTATAAAATGCTTATTGTAAATTATAGGTGAAAACTATACTTTGAGCAAGCTATTCTGCTGCTTTCAGAGATATGGGAGCCAACCTGTACCACAGAGGCTTCGGTTTGTGTTTCTCAATTGTCTGACACAATTGAGACCATAGAGTCTGTCATATCTTTCTCAATTGATTTTATACCTCTGAAAGTGGCAGAATACAAACTGTTATTCACTCCTTAACTAAGTCGTCTTCTTTGTCACTTTTTGTATGTTGCTCAGACTCACTCATCAGATTTCCCCATTATATTGCCCTTCCCGAATTTTATCATACACACAAAATGTTCAACACACAAACTATCTCTTCAATCTTGCAATTCACCAACTTTTGCACCTCTTTTTATGACTATCATTCCTCCTATTTGCACTCTTAATACCATAAATGATCCTAGGACTCCATCTTCACTGTTGTAACTGCCACACCAGCACTTCACATCCAGATACAAGGGAATGACACACCCACACGTCTTGCTCCTAACCTAGCCTTTCACTTCAATAACAAGCTTCTTTCCCCATTTATTTATTATGCACCCCATACCCATCTTGTGGGTAGTAGTGGAAAGGGTTACAGACACATAATGGGTTCAGGAACTGAACCCCAAAGTTTATTTAGCTAAGTGACAATCTTGTGAAGCTAGTAACAATTCTTAGTATTACAGACATATTTGTATGAATGTATCAATAGTCTTTTTATATCAAGTGATTCAAGAAGAGGCCAATAAGTCTCTATACAAGGCAGTTTACATCTATGGCAAGTCAGGTAAAGTTACTAATCTTGCTCCACACCCACCAAACTAGGCAGCAACATTAGTCATATGCATGCATTCCCCAGACTTGTGCAAGGAGACTTGAAAATAGCACAAGCTCCTCTTGTTAGTTATACAATTTAATCTAAACTTTTCAGATTTAGGCAAGGATATCAGTAAATACTTACAAATGTATTTTATCTTAAGGTACTCAAGCAAAAGAGCTTTATTTCTAAACATTCGAAAAATACAACACTATACTAAGTCTTTTAAAGGTTGGTTAATTTAACAGAATCCTTGATCACTAAGGCAACACTGGAGTAAGTACTGTACTGTAAACAGTGATTGTAAAAGATGGACATCTAAATTCAAGGCTATCTATGAAGATAAATTAACTGTATAATATGTAGTTAATCCTTAGGAAATTAATAATGATTAGGCCTACTTACATTTCCACGCATATTGGGTAATTTTGTTGGATCTATGCGTCCTAGTTCCCACCGCAGCACCTTTGAAACTGGGTCAAATGTATACTTCCCCTGAGAGACTGTCAGGTTGCAATTCAAGACACACTTTGGCATTGGTACTTCCAACACTACCCCTTCAACCTAGAAAGAATGTAGCAGCCTTAAAAAAATATGCAACAATTTCCAACTGTGTGTGTCTACACTTTGTGGTTGGGTAGCATAAAGACTGGTAGCATTTTTGCAGGTCAACATATGATCCTTGAAGTGACTGGGCACTCTACCCCTCATATCCTAGTTCTTAGTCATTATATTCCTTCAAAGTGCTATACAGTACTGTATAGTCATACTGGCTTGGCACTTTACCTTACTTAACAACTTATGCTTTTCTTGCCAAATTTAGACAAACCCAATAATAAAACTGGATATTATATGGTTTAGACACACCATATAATAAAACTGTTGCTTGGGGTGGGTCACTCCAAGCAACAGTCTGTTGGACCAAGCTCTCACAAGTCAAGCCCAGGCCAGGCTTGGAGGAGTACAACTCCCAGAACCCAATCCAGGTACAAAACTACTACAGGCATAATACAATATATAACAGGCTGGATCTAATGGAGAAACATTCACATTAAAATATTTACCCAAAATGTACATACAGTACCTACATGCAACCCGTTCTCGCACTTGCTTATAGTCAATATTGGCTTATTAATAAGAGCATATGTGACATACTAATTTATTGTGAATATTTTAGTTTACCTTGAAAAGCTTAATAGAAAACACCGACCTAACCTAACCTTCTTAGTATGTTAAGATAAGCATCTTATTGCTTCTTAATTACAATTATTACTTAACCTATACCTACATTGATATTACAGTTTTATAAAAATAATAAAACAAAACCAAAATATTTAAATAAATTGTAAAGTAACTCGGGATATTGTATAAAATCTCTATTGTTTAATAAAACTGAAAAAGAAATTCCTAATATGAAAACTGGTGTTTAGCAAATCTATAGGAAGAGTTTTTACCTTAAAAACAAAATATAACTTCACATATACCACATATGTACCTATTAATCAGCCAAATAGTGACTACAAGTAATAAGTCATATATGTACTGTCTTGTGCAAGAGCAGGTTCCAACATGAATATCAGTAGTCCATGGCATCCACTCACAATTCTTCATACATTTAACATGGCAATTAAAAACCGTTCATTTTTTACAGTAGTTTAATGAAGAGCTGTGATTGTACCACTGTATAAAAATAAAGGAGAATATAGTAAGTGCAAGAATCAGAGAGGCATTAATGTAATATGCATAACGGAAAAAGCATGTATAAAGTGACTGAAAGACTTATCAAATTGACAGAGGACTCAGAAGAGTGGTGAGCATGTGTAAAGTTGGCCAAGTTCTGTTAAATGATGTGAAAATTTGTTATATAGGTAGCAATGTCTGTCTTTGGTATTAATGTAGGTGAAGACTATAGTAGTGTGATGTCACCTTGGTGGTTCACTATGTACAGTGATGGGGTCAAGAGGACGATTAAGGTAAGAATATAAAAGAAATGTACAGTGTAAACCTTGTACAGTATATAGGCCAAATACGACCAAAATTTACGTAACTAGATAGTTTTTTAGCAAAGTGATTTAGACTTGCTGAAAATTACTGTACTGTACTTGCTGTACGAGAGAAGACTTGATACAATGTGGATATAAATAAAGTTATGGTGGTGAAGAGAGAAGGAAATTGCATGTGAAATGCATACGAATAGTGTAGTGCTGAAAGCTGTGGTTGGGAAAACAAAATAGGAATAGATGCAACCAAAAGCTTGTATAATAGAGTTGTCATGCAAAATCTTGTGGGTTGCAAGTTAATGGTGTGATATGAACATGAGAAATCAAGAGTTAAGAGTAATAGAAATGGACAATCTTGAATGCTTTTCTGGTGTTAAGTGCAAGACATAAAAATGTCAAAGATGTGGAGAGCAAAAATCAATAAAAGTGAAGAAAGCATACTGAGATGGTGTGAATATGTTGAACGAATAACCTATGGTAGATTGGTGAAGTGTGTACACTTGAGGAGAGGCGGATGGATGTGGGGACAGTGTGTGAGGAAGCGGAGAGTAAGCGTGAACAATATACATGATATTTTAAGGGATAATGCTGAGTAAAAGCAGTCAGCAAGAAGGTAGTAAATTTAATTACTGTATATGTAAGGTGCAGGTATATAACAATTCATAAGGAACTATATCTGGAATGTAGGTGTGCTTGTTTATGAAACTTATATTGTGAATGATATAAGACATTTTAAAGGTTTTATAGTAAAAAATATATTACTATATTACAGTACAAATTTTTAGGCAATGCCTTGCCACTCCATAAAAATTAGAAATATTGTAATAATGTCTACTGGCAATACATGTACAGGTACACTACCAATCACAAAACATGAGATGGATGTGCTAGGAATACCAGACCACGAATGTTACCACTTATACTAAAAAGGGGTCAGAATTCATCACATACCGCTCGTCCCATGGTTTGCTTTGGTCCTACAGTGATGTCTAATCTTCCTCCGCCTACATCTCGGAAAGATATATTGTGTCTTATGTATACAGGAATGGCAACAATCGACTGTGAGCTGATGTGGTAGGACAAGAGACGCGAGTTGCCATCTGGAGGGACGAAAGATAGCACTCTCTCCGACTGGAAAATAAAGAAACATTAGATACCAATGTCATAATTCCAATAACTACTAAATTTTCCTTTATTACAAAACTAAATTTCTCCCATAAGTTCTAAGAATGCAATATTTTTTTTTAATTAAATTATTAATATTACACATAACTAATAGAGTAGTGAGAATAATTGTTGCAGTCAGGCAAACCTAGTGACTACCTGTCATCAGGATGAAGTCCACAAACGAACATACCATCTCAACCTGGCTGATCAGATGCCTTCTAAAAAAAACTTTTCATGTCTGCACTTGAAGTTATTAATTAGTAACAGACTGAAAAGTTTTGGAACTAAACAACCAGAACTTATTATTGAAACAATAATAACTATTTACAAAAAGTACATAGGAATCCGTTACATTGGTTAATTAGCAGCTACAGAATTTGTACATTATATAAAGCCACAAATTATACACAACATTTCAGGCACTAGGTCAATTACAATCCTGCTCTCTCTATTTTCACTAAAGGCAATCAAGGGCTGCTCTTCATTGGAATCGCTCCATAACAGAAAAGGAGGCACAAAGACAGATCACATCTTGCACCAGTTCAATCTCAATATAAGCCTAACATGTATATACACACTGGCTGCCTGTCCCGACAATAAATTATTATTATTATACTGTTGCTGGACTTTAAACCACATACGTACTGTACATGCCTCTTGGTGCTTAGCCCAATACAGGGTATATAAATACATGCAGAAATATATATTACAGGAATTAGTGTAAATCACTTTATAAAGTAACTTACTATATATACTTGTATACCAGCTTGGAAAAGCAAACTTACTTCCCAGCGTTTCAACCGCACACATGGATGAAACGAGACGTCATCAAAGAGCCGTGGGTTAATGAATGTTAGGGTGAGGTCTGGCATTCCAGATAACTTTATACAGCAATCAATCTGTAAAGAAATAACAATAAAACATTAAAGTATACATATATATATCACAATGGTTGTACTCTTCAAGTCACTTGTGTTGTCCCGTTTTGAGTACTGCTCAGTACTCACTTCCCCCTTCAGAGCAGGAGAGATTGCTGAAATAGAGGGAATACAGAGAACATATATGGCACGCATAGACGCGATAAAGCACCTAAATTATTGGGATCATCTCAAAGCCCTCCAAATGTATTCACTAGAAAGAAGACGAGAGAGATATCAAATAATATACACCTGGAAGATACTGGAGGGCCAAGTACCAAATCTACACAGTAAAATAACAACGTACTGGAGTGAACGATATAGAAGAAAATGCAGAATAGAACCAGTGAAGAGCAGGGGTGCCATAGGCACAATCAAAGAACACTGTATAAACATCAGAGGTCCACGGTTGTTCAACACCCTCCCAGCAATCATAAGAAATATTGCCGGAACAACCGTGGACATTTTCAAGAGGAAACTAGATTTATTCCTCCAAGGAGTGCCGGACCAATCGGGCTGTGGTGGGTATGTGGGCCTGCGGGCCGCTCCAAGCAACAGCCTAGTGGACCAAACTCTCACAAGTATGGCCTCGGGCCGGGCTTGGGGAGTAGAAGAACTCCCAGAACCCCATCAACCAGGTAAATGATGAGCTCAGATACAGTATCACCAGCCAACTGTCATTTATTTATTTAAATCGGTAACAATTTCTCAACTTCAATTGTCTGCGATTTCTGTTTTGTTATTGCTTTCACTCCTTTTGCAACATCAGCTGCTTTGATTGCCTCTATATTTTAAGTATTGTAGATATCGTCGATTTACACGTACCAAACTCGGTAACAAAAACAGACATGGGCACAACTTTCGTACTTAGCTATAAGGTCTTTCTTCATCTCTATCATGGTTCTAACCAATTTTCTTTTTGCTTGGCTTGTATTATTAACTTTCTTAGGTGACATTTACACTTAGAATACCCAAAATATCCAAGAGAAAAGTGTAGTAGGTTGCACACGGAACGACAGCTATGGCAAAACTAATGCATCAGGGACACATGTTTATGGAGAGTGCCAAGCAAACGGACAAATACCGTACATGAACACAGCATCAGTGTGTTGAAATGTTCAAGTTGGGAGTTGTTCGAGTACTGAGGTTCCACTGTACAGTATATATAATCTATCAATAAATAAGAAAAATAAATAAATGTATCACTTATATACTAGGGTTTTCCACCTTGTCAAACCATTTGCTTACTATAGCTTGTTGTCTCGGACATATTACCACTTTCCACATCTACCTTATTATTATCATCATTATTATTATATCCTCATAATAAACACCATACAATTATCTACTAAAGAATGAGTGCATTTATTGTTCTCTAGGAAATACAGGGAACATGGAAGTAAACACCTAATTAATTCATAGCTCATTTTTCCCCTTGGCAAAACTGCAAAAATTTGAATTAACAGAGAAATTCAAGTACACTATACTTACATATCCCTGGATTTCAGCAGCAACAGTTGCCCCAGATTTATCAATAATAGCATCCACTTCCTCTGTGACATCAAAGTACGCCTCGTTGTTCGTGTACTTGACACCAGAGCGGCGCCACGGCACATTACTAAGCTGCCCAGTTGGTAAAGTGGCACTTACACTAACAAACAAAAATAAAAATTATTAAAAATGTATATAGTACTATGCTAGCAAGTTATTACAAATCTCCCAGCTATAAATTGTTAGGAGAATTAACTGAATATGATAAATTACACAAAGACTAAAACTGGCGAGATGTACTGAAACAGTGAAGAGTACAACTTGACTCTCAGTTCTACCAGACTACTTTCCTGACACGCCTAGTGTAAAAGCATCGTCCAAATACACCAATTGTAACACTGTTCCGTTAGCATCTCTAATTTGGGTAAACCATGAACTTGAGCCGCCTCATCAGCACAGAAGCCCATTATGTCATTCATACAGTATGATCAGCGATTAAAACACGAGTGAAACCCCATACAATTAGCTAATACAACATGGAAACCTTTCCAAACATCCATACTATACAATGATGCATTTGTTCCTTATCTTGGTTTGTTTCCCCTGTTTTATCAACTATCCATCTTCTCATGTCTATGCTTTTATTTCAAATACTGTACCAGCAAACCAAACCATATTGCCAAATTCATTCTCTCAAATTTAGTAATAAATCAGTGCTAGTAATAGTCCTCAGTTTTACTATAGTAATTCTTAAAAGAAAATTTTATATTAGTGCAAAATAAAATAAATTTTAGATTTGTGCAAGCACATTCAACAAATCACTCTACAATGTGACGTCAGTGATAATTTTCTCGACTATACAACACAGCCATAATAATACAAGTTGTGCAAGAGTTCTCTATTGCAATACAGTAAAGCCACAATCATTACAGGTACAATAATTAGCAAATGTTGCTGAAGTATGAATGCATGACAACAAATAAACATCTTTGTACAGTATTAATGCTAATTAACTGTACACAAAAACTATGCATATTCAACTTTGGTGTCAAATTACTTATATCATCAGTGTGTTGTACACGCGTTCCCTACTCTCGCACTACTATACTCCAGGTTTCAAATAAAGAAAAACTTACCGATATTCTCTGGAATTTGAGAGATAACAATGAATAATTAGAAAAAGATAATGAACACTCGATAAATACTCCAAAATGAATGTAAACTCTCTTTATAGTTTGTGAATATTAACCAATCCAAATAAACCTGCCTTAAGCATTAACAGACATCACAGAAAACAAAGGCTTCATCAAACTAAACAAAATACGAATATCATACATCATACACTTATGCTACTGTACAGAATACTGTACAGTCAAAATTGTACATGTATATAATAACTGTTCTTATCGATCAGACTGACATTTTCCAGAAGGTTAACATCTTCCACTACTACATCTGATATACAATCGTTATACATACACCACCCCCTATTATTATCATATTATTTCACAGGGCTAAATTCTGAAGACTAAATATGTTGGAAACTTTAAGTAGAATACAAAATAAAGGAGAATGTAGTAATAAGCTTTGCAAATTCTTAGGTTTTGAAAATTACAGTATAAAAAGTAATGTGTAACCTTGGCAGAATGTGTGGGGTAGAGGAAGGAACCACTGTAGCCAGAAGCTTCCGGCAAGGAGAAATGCAACATGACATTGAAATGGTAGGGGAAATATGAGGAGCTACAACTTCATATTGGAGATGGGCACGAGGGCTGAAAAAAGGGACAAGAAGCACAAACTATTTAAAAAATAAATATTAAGTTCAATGAAAGATTAAAAAAAAAAGAAATAAATACAAAATATTGTACTAACTTTGATTTGCCTGTAACAGTGTTGGCAATGGTGCGCAGGATGTTTGGAGGCTTGATGAGCTCCTTCAGGATGTTGCTCTCTGTGGCCAGCGGAAATCCATTGTCCAACATCTCGTCCAACAGCTGAAATACAACAAATTTCCATCACTTGAAAAAAGTTCCACTTACAGTCTTGCACTGTAAACATTTTGTGCTATATTATCCTATCATTCACATTCATCAGTTACCATGTTCTTACAGGAGCAGCTAAGACAATTGCTATACTGTATTCTAAAATGAGCAGTTAAGCTAATACCCGACTCAGTTTTCAGAACCATGTCATCAACTACTACACCATTTCTCTTTTTATATCTCACCTAACAGAAAATGAAAGTAACAACATTCCATAAGGGCTCCAGGATGGACTGAAATATCACTTAAATTTATTTATGTGTAGGAAGTCGGGTTATTTATTTCAGCCCCATTATTGTGACTCATTTCTCTCCTTCGTAAGGTGGGGGGAGGCACCCATTAGACAGAGATGGTCAATAATCATAGTGAGAGGAGTTTAAGATGTATATAACATTCTGCATGTTCTTACAACTTTTATTCAGTTTCAAACTGAGAAAAAGCCAATCAGTAAGTTTCAACACACTGTACATTAATCAAAATTGCACTGTGAAATCATGTCACGTGATATACAGTATGATGAAAAAATACCGAAGTCATATGATTGCCTGTGCCAGAGAAGCTCAGAAGGTACAAGTTCAATCCCATCAAATAGGGATTGACGGGAAATTCCCCTTCAATATTTCTCATGTAAAAATGTATTAACCATGTATAAGCAATAAAACACAAACAACTCATTTACACACTTTACAAGCTTGGTTCTAGGGAGTAATTCACTCTTCGCTGTACCACAGTATATTAGTACAGTATATAAATCAAAGATAAGAAGCCATTAAAAAGGGGCACATGTGATAAAAGGAGAGTTTATTTAATCACCATTTATATCAACATGAACACTGACCGACAGTGTACATAAATAAAGTAATAAGGGTATACATTAATAAAGTAATAAGGGTAATAAGGGAACCTTATTACCCCTTTAATAAGGAGTACCTTCCCATTATTAGAGACAGGAAGCCTGTACTGTACTTAGATTTACCAAGGTCTCCCCATGGTCAACTGCTGACCTTCCCTAGGATGCAACCCACAATAATTGCCTAACTCCCAGGTACCTATTTGACTGCCAGGTAACTAAAGGCATCAGATAAAACAAAATGTGGCCAACCATTTCTATCCTGCCCAGGGACTAAACCCAGGTATACACACCTAGGTTTATTTTATAATATTTATATATATAGGGGTAGCACCTCTGGTGCAATTGCAGGGACCCACATCCTCGAAGAAGAAAACAGACTTTTCAGAGAAGACCTTGTGGATTCTCACTGAACACTTTAATCTTTTCTTCACCTACCACCCCTATTATTTTTTTTGTATGTTTTGTTTTATTTTATTGCAATGCTACAGTTTACAGAGAACACACATATATATATAACAATATAACAATCAGCGTTCGAAGATATATATATATATATAATATATATATAATATATATATATATATATATATGTATATATACATATATATATTTTATTTATGTTTTGATAGAATGTTATTTTGGTACAATAATGGAATTACATGTTTGTGTATGGAGAAGTTCGTGTATGAGCTTCGTGTTTGGTGAAGATTATATGATGGATCTCCAAGAGTGTAGTGGAACTTCAGTAGTAGAGTGGAACTACATGTTTTTGGTGAAGCCGTGTAAAGGAACTTTACGTGTACAAACTGGAAGGTTATCCCAACGCAAGGAGAGTGTGGGTAAGTCCGGTGGCTCAGTGGGGTGTGTACTTATGACAAATAGGCCAGAGTTGAGCCGATTCCCCCAGATAAGGCGACATTGAGCCCCTGCTCCATACGCGAGACAAATACAAGGAGACTCAGTGTGCACTCCATTGTCCATTGATTGATTGACAACAGCAGCAGTAAGTACTGTAGTGTCATCATTACTTTAGTTATTATATTATTTCATCAGGGGGGGGGGGGGGGGAGCTGTGCTGATAAATAGAAAAATAGTATTAAACCCTCCCCTGATACAAGCCAGTACAGTAAATATGTGGAGGATTGTATAGTAATGTACAAGAGATGTGGTAGTAGTGAGAGGGGTGAGGAATTAAATGTGGAGCAAGCAAAACAATCAAATGAGGTGGTATGGACATGTTAGAAGAATGCTCGAGAATCATTTAACAAGAAAGAGACACAATGGCGAAATTAAAGGAGGGAGGGAACTATCAGGACAAAGCTGAAAATGCCCTTCATTGCTGAAATGAAGGGAATACAGAGAACATATATGGCATACATAGACGCAATGAAGCACCTAAATTATTGGGATCGTCTCAAAGCTCTCCAAATGTACTCACTAGAAAGGAGACGAGAGAGATATCAAATAATATACACATGGAAAATACTGGAGGGCCAGGTCCCAAATCTACACAGTAAAATAACAACATACTGGATTGAATGATATGGAAGAAAATGCAGAATAGAACCAGTGAAGAGCAGGGATGCCATAGGCACAATCAGAGAACACTGTATAAATATGAGGTCCACAGTTGTTCAACATCCTCCCAGCAAGTATAAGAAATATTGCCAGAACAACTGTGGACATCTTTAAGAGAAAACTAGAAAATTTTCTCCAAGGAATGCCAGACGAACCAGGCTGTGGTGGATATGTGGGCCTCTCCAAGCAACAGGCTAGTGGACCAAGCTCTTACAAGTCAAGCCTGGCCCCGGGCCAGGCTTGGGGAGTAGAAGAACTCCCAGAACCCCATCAAGCAGGTATCAAGCAGGTAAGCGCCAAGCCATAACGACTATATAGTACTTGGAAGGGGTCAGGATAAGGATTTGGGATGGAACGGGAGAAAGGAATGGTGTCCAACCACTTGGACGGTTGGGGATTGAATGGCAGCCTGCATGGAGCGAGATCATTGCTGTTACGGCCAGCCCAAGAAATTAAAAGAATCACATGGTAGAGGAAGATAACCAGAATCCTAGAAGTGAAGAGTGGAACAACATACAAAAGAAAGGGTCATGTGGTGGGAAGAGTCAAAGCTTGAAAGAGTGAAGGGTTTGAGTGATGGTAGAGCCTCCTGTAAAACCTCTGGTTACTGTACTCCATGACTATGCAACACTTCACAAACAGTGAAGTCTCAACAATTTATGGCTTACATGCTAATGCTTATCTATGCTTCTAGATATTAATGTTTTTCTTGCCCGAAACGCATTGCGTAATAGTGGCTTTAGGCATTGTATGTACTAGCTCTATCACAACAATGTAACATCACTGATGTAATACCTTACCTTAAACATCTAGAATCTGAATCTAATTTCCACAACAATAACATCACTGACTAATTCTAGTTATATTCCACAACTTACCTCATAGACCACTACATAGTGCTCCTTAATTATTGACTCGGTACACTCTCCAAAGTAATCTTCAAACGTGTCAACCACACGATGAAGGAACTCTATCACAAACAGAGGTGGAACTGGAATGATAAACAGAATATGTTCAAAGCACTTTAAGACATGATAAAGAATCTCAGGAATTGGATTCATATAAAAAAAGAAATATCGGATGAATCTGCTAGAGAAAAGTAAAGTGTGAACAGGAATTAGCAGATCCATTATCTATCACAATTAAATGTGTCAAACAAAACATATGGTATACATAGGAAGTAACAATATCAGTAAACATGTAAATGCTCTCACAGTTCAACTATGACCAGACTACAAGTACCTCCTGCAGTTCAACATATATCGAGAACCACATCATGAAATGCATAGTGTGGATAAAAACAGGGACATACACCAGAGCATTAAATCTTAGTCTAAAAATATAACATTTAGGATATCAATTTAAATTAACACTGCAAGAGAGGTATGAGCATGTATGAAGTTTGCAAGATTATGTTAAATGCAGTGGTTTTTTTTTTTTTTTTAGTGTAGAAAGTAATGCACCTGCAAACATTTATAGTCTCAAATATCAAATGCAGATTTATATCTTACCTTCAGTCATGCAAACAGCAATAAAGAAGAGGTTACTTCTTAACACGCTGATGAGGTAGTGGTGTGGCGTGGTGATAACTGGTGGAATGTCCTCATTGTTATTAGCCTTCCTCTGAGCGTCAAAGAAATAATCGCAGATAGATCGAGGGATGACGCTCTTCCAGTGCTTTTCCATGAACACATCCCTGTAACCATGCTTTATATTAACCCTTAAATGGCTAGAATCACTAAATGCAATTTTTTGTCATGAACACCAAGATGTACTTTTATTCAGCTGGTGTAAAATGGCTGGTGTAAAACAGTCTGGAGTTGACAACGGCTTTGATCGACCGAAATGTTTATTTATTCAGGTAAAGTACATACATACAAGGTGAAATACAAAAGTTGATGGATTTATAGATAGAGATAGTACATACAATGCCTAAAGTCACTATTACGCAAAGCGTTTCGGGCAGGAAAAACACTAAGACTAAAACTTAATACAGTACTAACTTAGATTAAAGTATAAATTGTGTTGAGAAAAAATCAGAAAAAAAAAATGAAAAAAAGTGGGAGGGGAACATGGCAGAAAAAAACAAAAATACAATTTGCTCAACAAACAGCATTGTTTAAAATCGTAGACATGGGTTGACATTTAGGGGTGAGGTAGGTTACATTGAGTTAATTGGGTGGTACTTAGTTTTTATCTTAAAACTGGTTGGGAAAGGTACAGTCTTTAACATAATTGGGAAGGTGATTCCACATTCGAAGTCCCTTGATTTGTAAAGCATTTCTAGTTTGACTAAGTCGTACTCTTGGAATATCAAAACTGTATTTGTTTCTGGTGTGGTGCTCATGGGTTCTGTTACAACCTTCAATGAAGCTTTTGAGGTCAGGATTGGCATTACAGTTCAGCGTTTTATATATGTATAATACACATGAGAGAATGTGCAGTGACTTAATATCTAACATATTCAGAGATTTGAGTAGGGGTACTGAGTGATGTCTGGGGCCAGAGTTGGATATTGTCCCAATAGCAGCTTTGTGTTGAGTATTTAGAGGACGTAAATGATTTTGGGTAGTAGAACCCCAAGCACAAATACCATAGTTGAGATATGGATAGATGAGGGAGTAATAGAGTGTCACCAGGGCAGGGCGGGGTACATAATATCTGATCTTAGAAAGAATGCCAACAGTTTTTGAAACTTTTTTTTTATATATTTAGAATGTGTCCCTAGAAATTCAGCTTGTGGTCAATGAGAACGCCAAGGAATTTGCCATCTAATTTGTTACAAATTTGGGTATTGTTTATTCTAAGATTTATTTGATTAGAGGATTAATTGCCAAACAGAATATAGAAAGTTTTGTCAATGTTAAGGGTGAGTTTGTTGGCAGTTAGCCAGAGATGGACTTTATTTAGCTCAGTATTTACTGTGGCATTTAGAGCAAGGGGGTCAGAACTGGAGTAAATGAAGGTTGTGTCGTCAGCAAATAGAATTGATTTGAGGTGTTGGGAGGCATTTGGAAGGTCATTAATGTAGATGAGAAAGAGGAGAGGGCCAAGTATGCTGCCCTGAGGAACACCGATGTTGATGGGTAGGGTGAGAGAAATTGAATTATTCACAAACATACTGGAGCCTGTCAGTAAGATAAGATTTGAGGTATTGCAGGGAGTGTCCTCTGACTCCATAATGATGTAATGTAAGTCCACAAATAACCCAACAGGGAACTCATTTTTATTAAGAGCTGCATGAATCAAGTTAATCATACTAATAAGTGCATCGTTAGTGCTTTTTTTTGGGTCTGAAGCCATATTGACAAGAGCCATGTATATTGTGTTTGGCTAGATATCAAAATCTACAAGCTAATCTACAAGCAGCAAGTAAAGCTGCTTGTAGATTAGGGTCAGTATGTACTGACCCAAATGCATGGTGGCAGCCCTTCTACTTCTACCTATCTACCATTCTACTTCTACCTATCTACCCTTCTACTTCTACCTATCTACCCTTCTACTTCTACCTATCTACCCTTCTACTTCTACCTATCTACCCTTCTACTTCTACCTATCTACCCTTCTACTTCTACCTATCTACCCTTCTACCTCTACCTATCTACCCTTCTACCTCCTACTCACTTCCTATTCATCTCTCCCTCCGCCTCTCTCCCCCTTTTCCCTTTCACCTGATGACCCTCCTTACTCCTCCCACCTACTGCTCCCTCCTCTCTCTACCTCCCTCACCCCAAACCCTCACTAATTACTTCATTATCCATTTCTTCCCTTTCGGTTCTCTTATACGTTTGGGGCAGTGAAATGTTCTAGAGTTTTCTCTCTAGAGTTGCGGGTAGCTGATCAAGTCACGGCGCCTTGTAGTTGTAGCACCTAGGTAATCAAATACCTAGGTTACAAGGTGTTGAGCTAGAGAGTTTGCAGTAGGAACTCTGAGGGAACTCTAGAATAGTTAACTAACTGGGGGCGGGATACCGGACAAAAGAGAGCTGTTCCCCCCTCCTTGTTAGTTAACGGGGGGGGGGCGGAATAATGGACTAAAGAGAGCCATTTCCCCCACCCCGTTACATCGGGAGCGTCAGTAATTCAACCTGGGGGTTAGGGGGGGACCTCAAATAAGCCTATTATGTACAGTACTGTATGTATAAACTGGCTGCCTGTTTCCCGACAATGAATTAATTATAATTAAAAACTACTGTATGCATAACCATTTCCATTTCTGGGGGTCTTACCTACATCTTATCTTACCCACCTAATTACTCTTACCTACCAATCATCTAATTACCCAAAGCCTCCTAGCTTTGTATCTTGAGGTTATCTTGAGATGATTTTGGGGCTTAACGTCCCCATGGCCCGGTCCTCAACCCGGCCTCCTTTTTGTCACCCTCCCCCCCAGGAAGCAGCCCGTAGCAGCTGTCTAACTCCCAGGTACCTATTTACTGCTAGGTGAACAGGGATATCAGGGTGAAAGAAACTCTCCCCCACTTGTTTCCGCCTCCACTGGGGATTGAACCTGGAACCTTAGAACTATGAATCCCAAGCGCTGTCCACTCGGCTGTCGAGCCCGTCAGTAATGAATCGAATCGAACTATCAGGAGAAAGCGCCAAGCCATTACGACTATGTAGCACTGGGAAGGAATCAGGATCAGGATTGGAGATGGGACGGGGGAAAGGAATGGTGTCCAACCACTTGGATGGTCTGAGATTGAATGCCGACCTGCATGAAGCGAAACCGTCGCTCTACCATCCAGCCCAAGTAGTTGGACTGTCAGTAATGAAGAAATATGACATTTACCCACTATAATGTTGATGCTGAATGTAGAACATGAAAAAAACATTTTTACTCTGAAATAATGTCATTTTATAACGAAATTGGGACCATCTAATTACCAAAGCCACAACATTGTCACTTGGCTCGTCGCCTCCTGTAGTGTCACCTGCCACCTAGTTTCATCTAATTTAGTTATAAAGTGACATTATTTATGGGTAAAAATATGTTTTTTTCATGGAATTAGACGGACCGTATCCTACATCAAAACTGGCATAAATTAAAATATGTCTTACCCGGACGAGTTAATAATAAAGAGGCTGTGAATCATGGTTGTCGCCTGTCCAGAAAACACTCTGGGTGGCTAAATATAATGAACTACAGGCGTCACTCTGCCACCATCAGTGACAGCTGACCTCCACTGTTTACAACGTGTCCGATCACAACCCTGGCATCGGCTTCCCTCTACCAGCTCTAGTTGTCATACTATTGAAAATCTACATATAAATTCATAATATTTATTAATATTTATTGTTTTGGTATGTTGTATAATTTCTAATTCAACAGATTTTCGGACTATATAAAATAACATTCGAAGCTCGAAACGCTATGCGTGTAATGGCTTTGTAAGATTATAAGAACACAAATGTTATGTATTCTCAATCCAATGTATCTTCTTGATTATAAATAAGTTAATAAATTTATCTGAGTTTACCTGAGAGCCACTAACACTACTGTCGGCGAGGACAGAGAGCCAGCGTAGCGTTTCGGGAGGGGGTCAATGGATTTACCCTTCTATTGTCAACCAATGTCTGTTTTTATTTAAAGAGCGCTGTTTGTCGACATAATTGTATTTGTGCTGCTTTTTCAGCTATGTTTTCATTTCTTGTTTTCATTCTACTCTTTATGCTTAATTAGTATTAAGCTTGTCATTTAAGTTTTTCATGCCCGAAACGCTTTGCGTAATAGTGGCTTTAGGCATTGTATGTACTAGCTCTACCTATAAGTCAACCAATCTTTGTAAAAATTTCTTGTATGTATGTACCTTACCTAAATAAACATTTATTTATTTATTTATTTTTATTTATTAAAGGACGGAGCACAGCAAATTGTATAGTTAATTACTTAACTATGATACAACCATCAATGATACAACTTCTTCCACTCTACCAATTACCGTTGGAGTGCCACAGGGCAGCATCTTAGGACCTCTTCTATTTCTTATATATATAAACGATCTGCCTAATGTCTCTAATATTCTCAAACCTATATTGTTTGCTGACGATACTACCCTTATCTACTCAAACCTCAACCCACATACACTAAATAATGTTGTGAATAATGAATTAAAAAAAGTCCACTTATGGATGTCAACGAACAAACTAACATTAAACATCGAAAAGACTTACTACATCTTATTTGGAAGCAAATCATCAAATGCAATTCAGCTACAGATAGACAACATTAACATCAGTAATAAAAATGATGGCAAGTTTCTTGGCCTATTCCTAGACAAGAGACTCAACTTCAGCACCCACATTCAACACATAACTAAGAAAGTCTCTAAGACAGTTGGTATACTCTCCAAAATCAGATATTATGTTCCTAACTCTGCTCTCCTCTCACTATATTATGCACTAATCTACCCCCTATCTTAATTATGGTATCTGTGCATGGGGGTCTACCACTGCAAACCACCTTAAGCCCATCATCACACAGCAAAAATCTGCTATCAGAATAATAACTAACTCTGCTTTCAGACAACACTCAGCTCCCTTGTTTAAATCCCTAAACTTGCTAAACATTAACTCCCTCCACACATTCTCTTGTGTCAACTACATTTACAAAACCCTGTTCTTAAATGCAAACCATGCTCTGAAACTCTCCCTGGACAGATGTAATAGGACCCATTATCACCACACCAGAAATAAATATCTCTTTGATATCCCCAGGGTCAAACTTAATCTGTGTAAACACTCTATGCAAATTAAGGGACCTAGTCTATGGAACTCACTCCCTAGTGAATTGAAAAACTGTAAAACTTTTGCCTTATTTAAAAGCAAAACCAAAAAGTACCTAACTTCACCTATTTAGTTTCCTACACTGAGCTTTAAATTTGCTCTGTACCTAGTGTTACCCAATCTCCTAATTTTTATGTAATATCAAACAACCTTATCATTGTGTTCATTGCTGTCTTCTTTTATGTGCTAGCCATATGCTGTATTGTGACTACCAATTTTTGTCAACTACCATTCAAGCTGTCATTGCAATCAATCTTATATTGTTTCTGCTGTATTGTGCCTACCAATTTGTTGTCAACTACCATTTTAAGCTGTCATTGCAATCAATCATAGCTACCTATGTGCTTTAATATACTGTACCTATAATTTTCTCTCATCTTTTTTTTTCATTCCATGTAATCTGTTATCATTTTTTTGTCTATAAATTTTGCAAGTATTTACCTCCTTAAAATTTTCTTAGATTAAGGACCTGCCCGAAACGCTGCGCGTGCTAGTGGCTTTACAAGACTGTAATTACCATATTTGTATCCTCACATTCCTTATGTACATTCTTGTATATGCATAAATAAATAAATAAATAAAACTTGGCTAATGACACGGCTAGGTACTCTGTATTTGTTGACATCAAAGGAGCCTTCGACAAAGCACAGGGGATTGCGATCCTGGACGAGCTTGCATGCATAGGTGTCAAGGGGAGACTCATGAAATGGGTTGAATACTACCTCACAGGAAGGAATGCCTAGGTTTGCTTCAATGGAACAGTCTCCAGAACAATGAATATGGAACTCGGGACCCCCCAAGGCGGAGTCTTAAGCCCTACACTATTCAATGTACTTATGAACGCCATTGCAAATATTGATTTTCCGGAAGGAACACAACAAGTGGGATATGCAGATGATGTTCTAATGCAAGCTCCCACCTTGGGAAAAATTGAACAGTCCATTGAACTCCTTGGAAGGAAATGTATTGAGCTCGGTTTCACTCTCTCCACAAACAAGACGAAGGCATACTCCCATCACAAGCGGAGAGCAAATGAAGAACTGCAAATTAATGGTGTAACACTTGAATGGGTTGACCACTATCGGTACCTTGGCGTCACTGTCGGCTCTAACAAGGTAAAGAAAAAGGAGCTCAATCAACTCATAGGAACATGCAAAAGTCGACTCAGGGCACTGAAAGCTATGACCTGGAATGGACATGGAGCCTCTATTGCCGTGCTTAAAATGATGTACACAGCCTATGTGCGCTCCGTCATAGACTATGCCGCACCAGTTCTGTGCACCAAAGTTCTGTCCCAAAGCGATATGACAAGGCTTGAAAGCATTCAAAATGAAGCCATGACAATCATTCTTGGAGTTCCAAGAACTGCCAAAACGTCTAATCTACGAGAGGAGTCGTCCCTTCCCAGTGTTAAAAGCAGAATTCAGGAGCTGAATGCTAAGCTTGCAATTAGGATAGCCAGAGATCCCCATTACAATGATATTGCTAAGAAAAAACTGAGCTCTGTGCTACTTTCAGGGGGCAACAGGAAAAGCAAAAAATGGCATCACAGATCAGTCTGCTACCTTGAAGAGCTTCACCTGCTTGAGCAAGCCCGTGAGCTCCTGCCTGTAGAGAGGTTACCTCCCTGGGAGGATGACTCAGGCAAGATCATCATCAATGAAATGGCAACGAAAAAATCCAACATGATACCACAAGAAATGAGGCACAAGTATCTCGAGGAAATTTATAAAGAAGCCGAAGATGAACTAGATCAAATCTACACTGACGGGTCATCTAATCCTGTCAATGGCAGGGCTGGTGCAGCATACACGGTAATCAAGGATAATACTTTCCAACGCAGAAATGAAGAAGAAGCGCGTATTGAGAACTATGCCTCTTCAACGCAAGCAGAGCTAACTGCCATTGTTATGGCGTTAAGGTTTCTTGAACGGAACACTAATGGTGCAGTGATTTGCACCGATTCAAAAGCAGCACTGCAAAGCCTAAGTAAAAATCAGGCAGAAAATCTTGCAATAGTCGCTGAAATTAAGAGAGCTGTGAGAGTACTTACCAATCAGGGAAGAGTCATCAAGTTTCTGTGGATCCCCTCCCATGTTGGGGATCCCCTCCCATGTTGGAATATGTGGGAATGAACGAGCAGATGTGCTGGCTGCTGAAGGCGCTGAAGGAGACCATATTGAATACTTCATACCCAAGACTCAACTACAAATTAGAGGTATTATCAGGCAACATCACCGTGACAAGGTAACTGAGGAAAGGAGGATAGAAGCACAAACCAATGAATCTGTACGATGGTACAACATGGTTGCAGCTGGCAATCCCAGTCATTATGGCCGAAGAGGAGGAGGACGAGGGAGAGAATCAGTAATAGCGAGAATCCGTCTTGGATACAAATATCCATGGAGATTTGGAATAGAAACAACAGTTGATCAGCGAAGTTGCAGAATCTGTGGTGAGAGTGATGGACACCGCCTTGACCACTATCTACGTGAATGTGAACACCTGAGAGACATTAGGAATATGTGTAGAATAATAAACCCCACATTGTTTGAGTTAGGAAAACACTATTTGTCAAATATTGATACTGTTCTTAAAAGATTTCCCTATTTTGCACCCGCAAGATAACGTAAGCTTTTAAGGGTTGATAGATGTTAATCTTCTTGTTTGAGGAGCTGTTCACTTGAGACAGTTAAGCAAGTCCCAGCTGTGTCTGGGTACAAGTGACAGGATGAACAACCCAGCGGGGTTTCTTCCTATTGGGGAGTGTTGTACATGCTGCTATGGCGATGTGTCCACTCACAGGATGAGTGGCGCTGCCCAATAAACTCGCCCCTCGGGGCAAAATTTAAATTTTAATCTAACAGATAATTTTAAGAAGATAATTTCTAGCAAAATTAAAAAATGTATACAGGTACACTGTAAGAAAGTATAAAAATACATTGAAAGAAAGTATAAAAATACATTGTAAGAAAGTATAAAAATACATAGTAAGAAAGTATAAAAATACACAGAAAGAAAGTATAAAAATACATTGTAAGAAAGTATAAAAATACATTGTAAGAAAGTATAAAAATACATTGTAAGAAAGTATAAAAATACATTGCATAAAAAATTTGACAGGATTAGTAGGTACATTAAAGTAAATTTAAGGGCAATCCGCAGGTACATTGTAGCATAATTTGAGGATTATTGCAAGGTATAATGCAGTAAACTATATGTTCAGTATAACAACCATAATATAAGCAGATAAAGAGTCACAATAATGTTGCTGAAAAATGTTGACCAAACTACACACTAGAAGTTGAAGAGACGACAACGTTTCGGTCCGTCCTGTGGTCCAACTGAATTGTGGACCATTATCACAATCGACTTGATAATGGACGGACCGAAACGTCATCGTCTCTTTAACTTCTAGTGTGTGGTTTGGTCA